TAAATATAACAATATTTAGGGAAAATTACATGACCTATCTTTAGAATAATGGGCATTGTATACATGGTAACTGTAGTTTACTGTACGTAATATTTATTTATTATATAATATTCCTATTACCAGTTATTGAAGTTAATTCGTAATAATATAATCGGAGTAAGATATTTCTGAATTAAGAATATTAGCTTTTGTGACTGTTGATTCGTAATATTTAAAAACTATTAATGCAAATAAGCAAATAAAAATAGATAAGCAATATTTTATGTCAATTTTGACTCGGTCTGTAGGTGTTTTGTTGAAAGAACTCGTCACTGTTCTTTCGATATTAAATAACAACCATGTAAAAAATTAGCATTTACCTTGCTAACAAAAAAATTTTAGGCATCTTACTGGGATAAATAAAAGTTGACTGGATGTGGCCATCATGTTATCAGATAAAATAAGTTAGTTTTCACAGCGTCGATTTCCTTAAGATAACAAAAAAAAACTTTTTCTACAATTATGTAATATATATTTTTAAATAATACAAGTGTTAAACAAACCTCTTTGTTCATACTAAGACCATTTATATAATAACACTAAACTTTGTACGTTGACCGTGGTTAATTACGATTCCTCATGTTCAATTAGGACAAATTTTAGAATTACTTTAAATTTTATTTATAGTCAATTGGAATATTCAGAACCTGAAATAAAAAGTTTCTTTGTCAAACAATAAAACTTTCCAGGAAACGCGAAAAACGGAAAAATCTCTCTTTTTCTCTTAATAATATAGGCATATACTTGGCCATTTTGTTCTTTTATAACGCTATGATTTTAACAATGATATTAACAATCGCATTTAATTCAACTCAAAATAATGTAACTTTTTAAATTGCGAGGGAGATTGAATGAGCGTGATGATGGACAGGAAGAAGACAGAGAGAGTGAGTGAGAGAGAGAGAGAGAGAGAGAGAGAGAGAGAGAGAGAGCGAGAAGGAGAGAGAAGTACTTAAATTAGAGAGAAAGACTCAGGTAGAAAAAGTAATGAAGATGTATAGATAGCGAGATAAATATATAGAATTAGAGTGTGAGAGGAAAACATAAATAAGATTGAGATGAGATTGAATACGAAAGATAGGCGAGTTAGCAAGAGAAAGACAAACAGACAGGAGGAGGCAGACAGTGAAAGGAAGAAATAAAATAAAACACACTATAAAGCAATTATTGTGGATTATTTCAATAAATAAATTTAAAATTATCACACTAGCTCAGTTTAAATAACAATATTATTTTACGAAATCGATTATGATGATGACGAACGCTTTATTAATCAATCGAACAAGTCTTGGTTTCAAGGATCATTCTTACATCTAATGTGAAATACAATGGTTAATAATTTTACTCTACTTCTAATTTATTGAACAATAATTATTTCGAATAACCGTATTTTTGTTGTCAGTACGTTCCATCTATTCGTTTTACATTGAACTACGTATGTTTTCTTAAAATTGCTTATTGAAATAAATATTCTAATTTACATAATAATTGAGCAATTAAAAAGTGAATAACTAATAAAATAAAACAAGCTAACAAAAATACTTTTCAATACAATTCAGTACTCAGTAAGCATGAATTATAAATCAATGCCAATATAAATCTACAAATAAAACTTCACTCGCCAAATATTAAAATAAAAAACTGTAACAAGGCAAAACAACAAAAGAAGTTAAATTTAAAACATCAATCATAACTAGATAAGAGATGATTTTTAAGATTATTCTGGAAATCTTTGATATTTTTACATCGTTTTATTTGTGTAGGGATTCTCGAAAATGTCATTGCACCTTTTACTATGAATAACCTATTAAACGTTTTGGAGAGAGAGAGAGAGAGAGAGAGAGAGAGAGAGAGAGAGAAGGAGAGAGAGAGACAGACAGACTTGACATTCAGGAAGATATACCACCAAATAAATATTGAGAGATACAGTCAAAACAATAAGAGGGAAGGAAAATAGAAAGAAAGTAAATTTGAAAGACAGTAGACAAACAGACAGACAGTGTACGAAACAGAGCGATAAAGACAGGATAAACTAACGGTGTGAGAGAAAGAGATAAAGACAGTCAGACAGATAAATTGGTAAAAAGAAAGACAGACCGTCAGGCAAATACAGAGAGATACAGTCAAATATAAAGAGATATCGACCAATTTTTAACACACAAATCTATTTCGATATGGCCTATATGAAAAACAAATTTCATTGTTACTGGCAAGCATTGGGGTGTTGGGCATGAATAAATAAATAGAGAGAGAGAGAGAGAGAGAGAGAGAGAGAGAGAGAGAGAGAGAGAGAGAGAGAGAGAGAGAAAGAGAGAGAGGAGATAGGTACAAGGATATATAAAATGTAATGATTTTATGTAATTATAAGATGGAGAGTTTTGTATATCGTTATAAATATACAAATTATTATATTTTTGTACATACATATTTAATAGTAATAATAATAAAGTATCTTTATTGATAACAACACATTTACAATTTACTTATTGTATTTAATAATTATAGACAAACCCCATGTTCATATAACCGTTAGGGGAGTTGCTATCTTTAATATTATAATAATAAAATATTAGTAATATATTACACTTTTAATTATTTATAACGCTGGTATATTACTTTCATTCAAAACATAAAATGGTTACCGAATTTACTATCACATGTACCCAACCACATGTTATATTTAGAATTAAATATATTTTCAGTGTTAGTTTATACCTTGAAGCTACATTTAAAGTACCTGCGTAAGTATGTGGACTTACTAAAGCTATTCAGGCTATTTTGTGATTCGGACTAAAGATAAATTATTGGTTTAAAGTATACAATAAATTGGGTTCGTGATAAAAGCAAGAGAGATAATTAATATAGAATATAATGAGGACGTAATCATGAGAAAAGTTAAAATGAAATTAAACTATTATTATGTACAAAAGTTATTGAATTCACAAGGTTTATATAAGCTATCAAGAAAAGAAATACATAATAAATGAATATAATAATGAATATAATATTGGAGCTTAAGAACAGATCAAATGAGCTAGATATTCAAAGCCGGATTTAAGCTTATATATCTAAATAAATTTTTTTGTAGTGTCATTTCAAATATGTGTTCCTTCTGCAACACGAAAGATTTTTTATTGGGAGATATCCAATTCCAGGGAAAAATAAAAGGTTGATATTTGGCAAAAGCTCACTTTCCCCAGAAGAAATTGTTGACAACTTAAATGGAAAGAATTGGAACATGCTAAGTGATTGAATTTAACTTTACATAAATTGTTAGGTATTGCACATGTACTTGGATTGTGTTGTATGTGTCTTGCATGAATTAGACTATAAGATGATGAGGTATATATACATATTTATTTATATGCTGCGTTGAAGACAAAGTTTACGAAAAATATAAGATTCCGTGGTAAAGGTAAGATGAATTCGTTTCTGTGATGACACAAACTTACATTTTTTATTAAGGAGTTTAATATTAATAAGTAAGTAAGTTGATGGGTAGGAAATAAATTCCGCAATAGGTTAGTTCTTGCCAGACTACTCGCCAAGTCCTCAGTCGTCCAGATATCCACTTCTAAACTTATAAGAATGTAAAAAACCGTAAAAATCACTTTTTATAAAACAAAAGTCACTGAAGATGGTCTATATTAGGCCGAAACGCGTTTGACGTAATAAATGCCTATTGAGGTAAAGACAATTTATTTCCTACCCATCATCTTATCATGCAGTTCCACAAATTCAGAATGGGAACCGTCAAAAAATTAATAAATAAGTAAGTTGATGGGTAGGAAATAAATTTCTTTTCCTCAAAAGGTTAGTTCTCGTCAGACTATTCGCCAAGACCTTAGTCGTCCAGACATCCACTTCTAAACTTATAAGAATGTACAAAACCGTAAAAACCTCTTTATATAAAACAAAAATCACTGAAGATGGTCTAAATTAGACCGAAACGCGTCTGACGTAATAAATGCCTATTGAGGTAAAGAAAATTTATTTCCTACCCATCATCTTATCATGGAGTTCCACAAATTCAGAATGGGGACCATCAAAAAATTAATAAGTAATGTGTGGTGACCGTTAATCGATAATTATTTAAAAATCGTGAGATTCTTAGAAATACTTTGATTGAATATATAAAAAAGATATTTTGCATTGTATAAATTCACTTTTCCACATCCAAAATGTAATTGTTAAAATGTAAACAATGTTTGTAAATCCCAGGCTCTGAAGATGATCTCAATAAAGATCGAAACGTTGGCACGATAAAGAAAATGTTTTTCTGAAACCTACATCACACCAGACCGCATCTCATGATTTCTAAATAATTAATAAGTAAGATGATGGTAGGAAATAAATTTCTTTTCCTCAATAGGTTAGTTCTTGACTACTCGCCAAGTCCATAGTCGCCCAAACATCCAGTTCTGAACTTATAAGACTGTAAAAAAGCCGTAAAAACCATTTTATAAAAACAAAAGTCACTGAAGATGGTCTATGACAGACCGAAACGTATCTGACGTAATAAATTGTGGGAAAGACAATTTATCTCCTACCTATCATCTTATTATGGAGTACCACAAATTCAGGATGGATAAAATCATTAAAAAAATTATAAGTAACATTTTTTTCTAGTTTATTACGATTAAAAACATATCTAATGCAGATAAATTTTGGCAGCCTTCCTCTAAACATCATACTCAAACAATTCAAAAAATTATTTAGAGCTTTTTGATACTAGGGCTATTAAATTTCTTATAGTAAATGTTTGGAATGGATTGAAATAGTTATAATATTTTTTAAACGTATTTTTGTATGTATAGGTAGTGAAGTTAACACAATAATGAAGATATTTCTATGTGCAATTGTGTCCACAAGCGCAGTTTAAAAGCAAATTGCAAAAATCAGTCTTGAAAGAGCTTTTTATTGTTCGTCGAGGGGTTGAGGCGGGGTGGTCGAGTGGGAGAAGGGGTTGCGCAGTCTGCCCCCTCCCGGGACCTATCTCCCGGTCTCAAGACATTACTTAACTAACTCAGCGCCGACTGAACAGCACCAGTTCCTCAACCGTTACCGTCTCAGCACGACAAGAAGTGAGTATTAAGACTTTCTCAAAGAGCAAACGATAAGTTTACAACAACAACAACTAAAAAAAAACAATAACTGCCACTGCCAACCTTAAGAGGGTAATTAGACGTCGGAGGCGATCAAAGTGTGGTGTGCGCGAAAGTGATGAGGATTGGACTGTTCGAGGAGACGACAAGGAGAAAAAGTGCGCGAAAGTAGTTTTTTTAATATTATACCTATCCTCGAGGGAAGGTGACCAGGCGAAAGAAAGCGAATCCGCATGTAACGCCCTCGTACTCGTTGACCTCTGAAACCTGTATCGTTTAATATTCAATGTTTACCCCTTTTCAAGCGGTTTTCAATATCTTCATTCTCGTTTTATTATTTTTTTATTCGGATTTTTTTTATATTTACGAATTAACATTACGAAGCCGTTACAGTTTTTATTTCAGACTGATGAACTTGGAAGTTGCACAAGCTTATAACTGTTATGCTGAGAAAGTGAATGAGCTTAGCTATCGACATGATCGCCGAATGCAAACCTTTCGCCAGATCGGTCTCGAATCTTTTTAAAATTCACATCGACGCACTTTTTTTCACAGTTCGCCAGTTCAAAAATCAATCGTTTTACAATTATATACCAAGGTATAACGAACGATTTTTTGAAAAACAAATTAACACATCCTTTTCTTTTAATTGACTTCGCTGAATTTTAATTTTCAGTGTATGGAATATATGCACGGAAAATCAGTGTAAGCAAACGTTTTTACTTCTCATGCGAATCAGATCTGAAGGTTGAAACAAGTAAAGAGAAAAAAAGTCGATATTCCTTAAGAATATAACACAAACTATTTTATTTTGAAAGGAATAATGCATTTTCCTCTTATTTTGGCCCACAAATCAAAATAAAATCTTGAAGAATCTTAATTATATTAAATTATTAAAAAATTAACTGTTTTTGATACCGAATCGAAACCATTAACTGTCGAACAAATTCGATTTGAAATTAACCTAATATTCTCGTTTCAAATAGAGAAATTCCCTTATTAAAACGATGTTTTTATTGGTTTTTATTTTTTTAACAAAAATGTAACACGAACGGTTTTCTTTTAAAAGGAATTGTGCTTTTCTCATTGTAACCCATAAATAAAAACAATATCTCAAAAAAAATTAATAATATTAAATTATTAAAAAATTACACTGTTTTTTTTTAAAATATCAAATAGAAACAGTAGAATGTTTAGACCTGAAATTAACCTGATATTCTGGTTTCAAATAGAAAAATCCCTGTATGAAAAGGTTGTTTTTCTCTTTCTAAATGAGAACAGCAGAAGTCATATCAACTCTCAGGGTGTCGATTTTGTTTTAAAAAAGGGCCATTTGTAAGTTTGTCGTGTTCGAATTCATGGCCGCTCGATTCGAACCCGGGACCTTTACCTTACAGTGAAGAGTTACACGTAAGCCGTTGCGGCCACCGACGCCCAATAATTGTTTTATTACTTTTTAACTTGTTGTTGCCCAAAAAAGTTCTCTACAGATCACCTTTCGAAATTTATTCTTATTGAATTACAAGTGCTTCCGGTTTTTTGAGTCAATGTGTTTCGCCTGGAGACCTGGAACATTTCATTACAAATATATTTAAAAGTCATGGCTGTATTGTTTGGATATTTTGGACGATGTTTTCTTATATTTCGACCTCAACAGTTAATCTTATGATTTTTCCTTCTTGAAGGTGGGATAATAGGTCATCTCAAAAAAAACCACAACCAGTTTTTATCCACAACGCTTCGGATTTATTTTAATCCTTCCTCAGCTGAGTTAACGCAATGGTTAAAAAAGTGGTCGTCAGTCATTAATATTTTATAACATTAATGGCGTTTTTGATAGTTTTTTAATCCTAACTTGTAAAATAATGCAGAAATTAGCTCTCAGGTCAGCTTAATAAATTTAATTACATATCAACGTCTCGAAACAATTTTTAAGAAAATTCAAGACAAGACTTCTTCCTATTGTAAATAATAACTATTCAAACTAACTAACTTCCTATTGTAAATAAAAAAAATACAATTGTAATATTACTCCATCGTTCTCTTTAAAAATATATACCTTACACTTAGAGTGCTTCTATATAAAATTATCGTATGTTTATTTTATGTGAACTTAATGGTCAGTTTTATTTTTTCGTGTTATAATTAATCTACTGTAAATTTTAGCCATGTGATTGGCCTGAAAATTAATAATTAAATATAAATTTTCATTGGTTCGATATTTGATTTCAAAAGTATTTATTAATAAAATAAGAAACTTATGTTGACACCTTTACAAAAAAATGTTTACATTGAACACTTAGTTTACTTAAAAATAGATTAAAATTTATTTTTATTATTTTTTTCGTTTATGAAATATATTCTATTTATAAAATTCTTAGTTTATTCGGAATCGATGATTCAGCCAAAACGCGAAAATCTTTTTAGGAATCCTCGCGAAGTCAACGACCGTCACACCCGGGCTTTCCTTCTCTTTTTTTTTCATTTTTGTACTTTCCTTAAATAATTATAAGTATGATGGACAAGGCCCTTGGCCTAGTAACGCACAACGTCTAATGCCAAAGTAAAAGTGACAACACCCTCATTGCATTTCTACTCTTACGATTGCACACTGCGTTTTTCTTCTTTATAGTAAAACGTCTTAAACACACCCAAAAATAAAGGCGAAACTTGTATAAAAGTACTTTAGACGAAACGAGCAGTTTTTAGAAAAGTTACAGAAAAACCCACAAATTATGAGATATTGAACACAAACTCTCTTCAATTAGACTAGTAACAATTAATTAGCCGCTTTTCGAGCTTAAATAGACAAACTTTTATAGCTAAAAGTTAGTATAAATTTTTCCAAATTGTCAAAAACTCTTTTAATTATACGATCTAGTCGATCATCTTTCGATGGGTCAAACAAAGCCTTCTTAATCAATACCAGTTTTTATAAAAATACAGTCTCGTTCACTTTATATTTCTTAAAATTTGTCAAAGTAATTGGTTTATAATTAAATTGAAAACTTCAACTACTTCTCTCATTTACTAAAAACCTAATTTTCTCATAGTCTCTTTCTTAAATTAGTATGAATCAATTTAGTTTCTAACAATGATATAGTTAAATTTTAAAGCTTTTTCGTTAGTATTTTCCAAAACAAAAGCATTGAATATTTAAACTTCAAAATAATTGACTTGAAAATAAAACATTTTTTTACCTGTATTGGTCCAAGTTAATGGTAATTAACTATCTAAATGGATTTTACTTTCTTTTTTTTTTGCAACAGCATAGGTCATATAAACCCTCAGGGTGCCGGTGTTTTTGAAAAAAAGCCCATTTGTAAGTACGTCGGGTTCGAATGCAGGGCCGCTGGATTCGAACCCGGGACCTTTACCTTACAGTGATGAGCGCCGTGTCAAAGACAACCTTGCGGCCACCGACCCCCGATTTTACTTATTGTTGAAAAATGAAAAACTACTTTTAAAAAAAACAATTTATATAATAATGATAATATAAAAAATCAGTTATTGTTGTAGCCATTCCATATCAAAAACCCTTTATCGTGTGATATTTTAGTTAAATAATTGTGTTAATTTAGAATGGAATAACTGTCGAAAATGAGGTGTGAAAGATCTAGGGAAAATTCCCAATGAATTGTTATAACACTGTATTATACATAATTTAAAAACAATAGCAGTAACCTTTTATATAACACGTTTATTATATTTTTCATAGCGTATATTCATTTTTTTTTTTCAAATAGGATGGTTTCGTAAATACTGCTTAACTTGAAAATACAAATAAATACTAGAAGAGTAGGTGTTTGGGCAAGTCTTGGACACCCAATTGCCAATAGAAATGGCGAAAGCCGTCGCAAAATGAGAAAAGCCCTTGGCAAAAAGAGGTAATCGCAGCTATTGGATCTCTAATTACGTTGGACGCTAATTGTGAATCTCTCTTAAATACAAGGTTGTGCAAAGATAAAACGCCGTTGCACAAGTTCCTATTTCATATAAAAAGGGATACCAAAACGGATGGGTTTTTATTGTCAGGAAAATGAGGCCTTCGATTCCATCTCGAAAGGCTTTCTATGGAGGGCGTGGAATTCGGATGGGCCGCATTTCACGTTCACCTCGGATAAATCAAACCGGTATTTAACAATAAGTAATTAATATTATCCAGTATTGGTTGTTTTTGTTAAGAATAACTTGAAAATTACGACAAATGGTTCTATCGGTCGATGAATTATCGTCTTTTTAAAATGGATGACCTCAGGTTCTTTTCTTCCATATGATGTCCACCTCTACGGTCATCTTTATTTTAAATGTTTAGTTCAATCTGTTATCAACGTTTTAAATTATTTCATTCACTGTTGAAACTTACAAAAAACATTTGTAATAATTTATCGAATAGATAAATCCAAGTAAGATGGTTTGTAACAAGTATGTATTTACTATTAAAATATAAATTAAATACAATAAAAAATTGCCTCTTTGGTCTAAACCATGTGAATTTTTATTAGCCTACTTTCAACGATTTTGTACTCAGGTGCTGACAAAGTCTTATAAATTAGTTGCGAGGAATTAAAACTGCAACCACCTATTATTTGAGTGTCAATAAGGAAGACTATTATGCCACGGGCTATTGCAATAATCGGTCGGTTTGTTCCGCACGTGTTTTTCGACAATGCGTCATTCTTTTAGCATGAATGAAAGAACATTTCTCCAGACGTGAAGAGCGAGGAAGGCTGAAAAGCCTGATGGGAACTAGTTCCGATCCAGTTCCTGCTCCTTAAGTGATTTCACACTCGGGCTTCCTGGTCCGGCTCTCCCCCCGGGGTCTCTTTGACAAACTATTCGCCCTTAATTTGGATAGTTTCGCGATGTTCGGATTTGATCGCGGGTGTAAAACAGCCGGACGGGAAACCGTTTATTCGCCGAGCGACACCACGTTTTTTTTTTTTACTTTCACTGCTTTCTTCTCCACGTGAAGTCCATGACCTTTCGTCTTCCGTCACTTCACCCGGTATATCCTTTTTTGATCAATCTCAAAGATGTAACGTATTTTTGAATTTGATAAAAAGGTAACTTCAATCAGTTATATATTTACCATGCAGGCCGGCTTATCAGTTTCGACGACCAAGACTACCTGTCGAACTCTCCTTGTTTCATTGACATCAATCGGATCTTATATTCAGGAGTCTACATCTTGCCCTAAGGTCATACTGATTTATGAAAACCGCCGTGGGAAACTCAAGCCATCAAAGTCCTAGGATCTAGTTTTAACAAAAAATAAAATTTTCAAGTTAGGTCTTAGGTACATTTGGAAAATTACTGTCCCTATGAGTTGTTAATTTATGCATCCTTTGTGCCTGGCATTATCCATATGTGAATAATGATCCTATTACATAACACCTCTAACAATATAATCAAATTTCCTTTTCAAAAGTATTATATAATAAAAACGAATTGATTGTGATTTATAAATTAATATTTGTTAAATTTATAATGTTATAGTTGTAATGCTCGATTTTTTTTCTTTTTCAGCCATGAGGGCAGTCTTCATATTGTTGGCGCTTTTTGGGAGCGCGCTGTCGGCTCCCGTGTTGCCTGAAGAGGCCCCAGAGGAACAAACGGTCCAATTGACTCCTGAGTTGAAGTTTGAAATGATCAGGGTAAGTCCTCAAGTCCCTCGGTCTCCTCTCGCCGGACCAGTTTAGGGACGAAGTTTTGCAATCCACCAGCCTAGATTCGCTCCCACCCTGGCCGCCCGGGGAGTTATTTTATTTTCGTATCGACCGCCGATTCTCTTTCTTCGCTATTATTTCCAACGCAAGGTCGGAGCAATTTTCGCTTTTCTTAGTTAAAAACCAATTGCTTCACTAAGCGGCGTTACAATTCTCAATTTTTAAACGATAGATTTCAAGGATTTATTTTTATTTTTATTTACACGGGGCAAGGTTGGGAAATGGGTTTTGTGGTGATTTTGGTTTTGCAAGTGACCCATAATCACATTTTGGATACCAATTTTCACTTTTTTTTTTTTTTTTTTTTTTCAAGAAAGTACTACTAGTCTTTTTTCCTTTTCATTTTTTTCGCAATAGGCTTTTATATAATCTTTCATTCTGTGGCAATATGAAATGTAAATTTTTGTGGCCGGTTCGGACGGATGGGGACAAAGACCTCGGCACATTATGGCGAAAAATTACTGAATGTTTGATCATTTTGGTTTGACTCAAAAGAGATATAATGAGACAAAATTATTCCAACATTCCTAATACTGACCCTTATCATCTTGCATTAAAACTCATGAAACAAAATCATATTTTTCTTGATTTATAGGGGCGTCGGTGGCCGCAACGGTTTAGGCGTTGACACGGCGCTCATCACTGTAATGTAAAGGTCCCGGGTTCGAATCCAGCGGCCCTGCATTCGAATCGAACATACTTACAAATGGGCTTTTTTTTCAAAAACACCGGCACCCCGAGGGTTTATATGACCTCTTCTGTTGCGAACCCTTGTAAAAAAAGAAAAAAAATTGCGGTCTTGATGTATAGGTACGAAGGTTAAGTTAAAAATATTCGAAGACGAAAAAATAATTAAATTTTAATTCAGTAGTTTTACGAAACCCTCCGTCCTTTTTACCATTGTTTTATTAAGTTATCATTTTCGTACAATGATTGTTTGATAGTTGAATGACAGTATTATCTGCGAGGTTTGTCAGCCTCGACATCCTAGATAATTAACTAATTTATCTCGACATCGTGAGTTCAATAGACATGCTGTTTCAAGGATGTCCTCCGTCACGCGTTAATTTCACCGAAAACATTGACACATGAAACGAGATTGCCTACTTCCAGGTTTAGCAAGATTCTCCTTAAGAAAATCAGATAAGCACACACTCGCTCGTGCGCTTTCGCATTTTTGTTCAGCTCAGTTAAAATACCACAACCAGAAGTTCTCACCATTGTTTTGAAAAATGTTCCCATTGCAACTAAACAAATACTTTACAATTAAAGAAAAAACTAATTGATTTTTTAGATTTATTTAAGCTCATATTAGAAAACCATGTTGAAAATGAATGAAATTCAATATGATTTTTAGTGTGTGTGGTGATTAGTGACCGTTTGTCGAAGATTATTCAGAAATCGTGAGATGAGGTGTGGTGTGAAGTAGGTTTCAGAAAGACATTTTCTTTATCGTACCAACGTTTCGATCTTTATTGAGATCATCTTCTTCTTTTCTTGGTATAAATTCACTTTTTTCCACATTCTACATGTTTTGTTAAATTTAAACAATGTTTGTAAATCCCAGGCCCTGAAGATGATCTCAATAAAGATCGAAACGTTGGCACGATAAAGAAAATGTTTTTCTGAAACCTACATCACACCAGACCGCATCTCACGATTTCTGAATAATGATTTTTAGTATCGACAAGGAAAAAAATTATAGATCAAGATTATCTATTTATTCTACAAAATATGACAAAAAACGGTTACATTAGAAACTAAATTAAGCCTACTGTCTAATATTTCTTCAATCGACGATTTCAGTAATGCCACCTGTCATTAAATGTTATTCATGCTATCATTTAGTGAAAGTTTGATGTTTACCATGTGGCGTTTGTTTTCCACTAAAGCTCTACATCAATAAGTTTTTAAAATTATTTTCTGATTTCTAATAACAAGAAATAAACAATTGAGTAGTTTTTTTTAGTTTTATACGAAATAAAAGCTGGAAACTGGAATCTTAATTTAAAACCGAGCCATTGCATAAAAATAGGTCACAGTTATTGAGTCACTATGAGAAAGGAAATGCCTAAAAAAGTTTTACGAGGACTTGTTTCAATCAGATGTGACCTTTGTCTTATCATTTTACCGTATTTTACAAATTTGAGTAGTTTAACTGTTTTACAAGAAGTATTTTTGGTGTAAGTTTCAATAATAAAAGTGTATCGTAAGTAGTGAAACTGTAAAGCAGCTTTTATAAGTGGACATGCCAAGACTCGAAATGTCGTTACACCGGATGAATAATAAAACTCTTCCAAGCTGACAACGCGAATAGTTTAAACCTTTTTTTTTAATAGTAATTAATAAAAAATTTCGTGTAGAAAATGAGCCCTTGAAAAAGAAATGGGTTGTTTTAAAGTAGATCAAGGTCGTTCTTAATTCATCCAGGGGATGCGACAATTGAAAAAAAAAATTTTTTTAACAACCCCCGGGCACAAAACGCCCGCGTAATTTTCCTCTAATTTCTAAGAAAACGTCAAATTATAATATTCAAAAGGCAAGCGGCATTCGATCGAGTCTGATGTAATGGTACATGTGACCTAGTGGCATACACGACTCCAGATCCACTTTCGCTGACGTGGAGCTTCTTGCGCAACCCAACGGTCCCTTTCCGCCGTGGAAAACCAAAAAAAAATCTTTCCAATTAGCGGTTTGAAATGGAAAAATTTGGGGCTGGGCGTAGTTCGATCGGTTCCTCGGGTTATTTAATATGCCTGTTTAGCCAAGTTAAAAAAAAACTGTTCACGTTCGGTCCAATTATTGACAGAAAGGCAAGAATATCATCTGGATTCCTCTTTTATATTGATAAAAAAAAAAAAAAAAAATCATCTGGATTCCTCTTTTATATTGATAAAAAAACAGAAAATATAAAAGAAAGAAGCTTTTGTATTTAGCTCTGAAGTAAATGGGTGAGAGTGAATGGCAATTCTTACATAACGGTATGAAAGAAGCATAAAACCTTAAACAGAGTGTATGTTTAAACCTGTCTTCTTTAAAGTGTTTATTTTTCTTTTTTTTTTAATAAATTGAAATGTGATTATTTAAAAACTATATTGAAAGAAAAATAGACATACAAAAAAATTATCCCGCCTAACATAAACTTGTGAGACTTCTTGTTGTCAATAACTTGTTGGATCGTATCATCCTGATCTGCCTTTCTGAGCTGTTTTGGTCAGACGCGTTTCGGCATTTCAACATCTTCAGTGGTGTGTCTGTTCAACTTTATGATGAAAGACGATGAAAGAATTTATTGTTAGATAATTTGTGGTCTGCTTATCGATAGTTAGATCATCTTGGGTGATCCCGGTCTGCCTATTCTCTCTGGTTTTAACATGTTTGGCATTTCGTCATAGTCAATCCAATAAACGCACCGCTGAAGATTGCGAAATGCCGAAGCGGACAGCAGCGAAGATAGGCGGATGTTAGTAAAGGTTCAAACTGCCAAGCTCATAAACGCGCGTCTATGCCATCATGATCTCTTTCGGCCGAGAAGTCTGTTTTACCGGTCGTTGCACTCCGTCTCTTTATGCAGTTTCCTGGAGAAAGGAAAAATTGGGAGCGGCCGGCCGGGATCTTGTGTAGGTCAGCCTACGCGTACCACCCCGCAACATTCGGCTGAGCGTTATTCAAACGATTAAAAGAGGCCGATTTCATCACGTTTCTAACACATTTCACACTGATGCAGATGTGACATAATTGTCTTAATAATTAATACTTGATAACTTCAACCTCGGCTGAATCGATAAGTCCACTAATGCTGGCCATATTGAGAACCGAATACTATAATTAAAAACTTACAAATCATTTTTTTACATATAACAAGGTGAACAACAAGAAACATATCTAACAAACGACTAATTTAAAAAAAACTGATGTTAACCTTCTTAAAATCCGAAAGCTGTTAAAAAATTATAAGTCAAACTACAAAGATTTGGAGCCAAAATATACAACTTTTGCAATTAAAAACATAAATAAATAAAATAGGTGGTAACAAATAAAACAAAACATTCCAGGCACAACTGTAATGACCAATTTAGCCAAAATACTTTCCAATTCATTTTCTTCCCAAGGGTAAAATGAAAATTGTGCAAATCTTGGGTTCTTCCTACCAGGACCGAAATGGAGGTTGGTTTCTTGATGTTAAGCAACTTAAACTGCTTTTGACTTGTTTCGCTTCCTAAAAGTCCCTTTCACTTTTTATTACTAGTCCTAATTCGATAAAGCCGAGTCAATTAAAAAAACTGCGATGCTCACCCGATGCGCACACATATCTTTTTTTTAATGTCGATAACACTAGTTTCCTGAAAGCTTAATTTAACATATATCATCAGTAATAAATATTATCCACACCCTAGACACCAATTTATCACATGTCGTGATTTTACCCTTTACCCTTTACCAATCGTGATTTATTTAAAGTAGAAATTTGAGTATATGAAAAATGTGAGACGTGCAGTGTTGATTAAAAGATACAAATGACTCTGGGAAGATGAGCAAGAAATCTTATAATGGAACTTCGTTGGAAACGGTCGTACAAACTAGATTTTAGATTACACAACTGAGAAGACGGTCACGTTATTGCCCAACCTTTTGGTTTTAAAATCTTTCAGGTGTAAGATTTATGCGACCAGCAGGTTCAAGGTAACAAGTTCAACAAACTTTTGCCTGTTCTTCAGGAAAAGGTTCGTCCTTAAGGATCTTTGGATCGTATTTTCCGAAACTCGGTTGACCCGAGATTTCTACGATTTCTGTTAAATTTGAGACGTTGCCTCATTTAGACATATTTTGTTGATTTATTCTCGTTATTCAAGGTATTCTATTAGCCAATAGAATAAAAATAGTTTGTTTGCCACGATCAAGTTTTACTTGCAATAAATTGAATACAAACAAATTTTCGCAATTTTTGCTATGAGAATATGTTTTAAATATGTTTATCCAAAAGTGATATGGAAAATATTATTGTCTTAGTTTAGTTCCTATTTTGTATGTTTTTCTTTATTTTGTGCTTTTTGTTATGTTAAAGATGGGAAATAAATATTGCCCAGGACAGATTAAACTGGATTAAACCCACACCCCCTTTTCACATTGTGACCATTTTTTCGCATTTGGCATAAAATGAGCGGTTAGCAATTTTTTAAAGATTTAATTACTTTTTTTCCTACCTTTTATCTAAAAGTTAAATTGAAAGTTCTAAAAGGGTGCCTGCTTAAATAAAATTTAATGCCCTTTTTAATGGTTTTTATTGGATTTCCCCAAAATTGAGTAGTTCAAGAGCTACGAGTAGATTTAAGAAGAAAACGAAGATACATTAAAAAAATTCACTATTTTTCGTGGTCCGGTTGACCAATTAATAACATTCAATTAATTAAGGTTTTTAAGTTGAGATAAAAAAGTCAGTGTCACGAGCGGGATTCGAACCCACGATCTTCGGCTAGATACGCCGCTGCTCTACCACTTGAGCTATCGTGACTTCGTTCCCCTCGGGCACCAACTTCCCATCTCAACCCCACCTTTTGAATTTTCCCTCCTTTTTGCCATATTTCAAATGTCGTGTAATCGGATTGGATTCTCGGCGACAAATAAGATGGCCACGGAGAGCTTTAGTGAAGTGTACTTCATTTTAATCAATTAAATTCACTATTTTTCGTGGTCCGCTTGACCAATTAATAACATTCAATTAATTAAGGTTTTTAAGTTGAGATAAAAAAGTCAGTGTCACGAGCGGAATTCGAACTTATCTCAACTTAAAAACCTTAATTAATTGAATTTTAAAAAAGTTGAATATCTGCGAAAGGGTTGAGAATCAGATCATGTTTCATGTCAACTTGCTTGTTGCATTCTAGGTGGAGAAGCACCTGACGAACTTGGTCTTGCGAGTAGTGAATCACTCAGTATTTCATTTCCTTATCTTTAATCAGGGTTTAATTAAAAAATAATAATCAACAAGTGTGATCAAATTGAACACAAAATTATTGTTTCGAAAGGCCAATAGATTTTTAATTTAGAAAAAATATTTTTTACAGAAGGAATGAATTGTATAATTATAGGTGTTCATTTATGATATAACAACATCAAGTACTAATTTTCATTTTTTTTTTTTTTTAATCCAATCTGTAAATCTGTGTTATTTTTGTCCGCCAGGATCTTCAAAATGAAGTCTTGAAAACCGCCACGCTGAAAGCCATCGCAGAGACCATAAAGCTCGAGCAAATTGCTGAAGACAAGCTGCTCGAAGCTGCCGTCGAGACCCTCGAAGAAGAACCTTCTCCTGAAAGGACGGAAAAGTTGAAAGAAGTGAGTGGATAATTACCTAATTAAATTTATTCTTAAATCTCGAATCAACGGAACTCTTCTTCTTACTGAAACTTCAGCTTCACCTTTTCAATTTTTATTATAAACTAAAACTGCAATTTGTCCAGAACATCAATTTTTTAAATTTTGATTTAAAATATATATATTATTTTTCTTAAGGAGAGGAGATAATTGAAATATGAAGTCCATCAAAAATCTTCAGAGCTCGTACTTTGATTGACGTAATTATAATTTGACTTAACGTTTATGTATTTTTAAATTTTCTTTTGTTAAATATTAAATAAATAATTTTCGAATAAACAATTTCAATGCTTCTCTTCATAATCTATAAATATTAAATTATTAATCGAAGGCAAGGTTGAGTCAATATAAAAATAAATAAAATTGCCTACAGTTGTAAAAGCTCGTGACTTTTGTAATACAAAAGTAACGCCTTATCAACATTTTATGTTCATATTGTTGCAACATTGTCTCTCTTCTGTTGATTATAGTCTTCGAAATCTATCACTATTATGCTAATTGACTTAGGTTAATGATTCAGAATTGATATTGCCCTTTTGTGCTTCTGATGCAAGCGCATCTGTCATTTTCCGCCAACAATTACATTAATAAGTGGCTAATAACTCTCAAGGGGTGAAAGAGAAAATTTGTGCCGGTAAGAAAATGTCCTTGGTATTTTTTGTTTCCATCGAAACTGGTTTTGGAATTTCAAAACAAATTGAGAAACGATCACCCACACAGACAGCGACTGTTTCGACAGTGGTTATGCCCGATTGAATTGATTACTTTTCCTCGCATCCCGACTATTTTCAATGATAATTAATTAATTGTTTATTTATAAAATAAAAGACTGATTATAAATTCTATTAATTTTCTTTAACAATTAAACTCACGTATAATTGCATATATATTTGCATTTCGGCAGCGTAATACTTTTTATTTCTACTTTATTTTAAATATTAAGTATAATAATAATTCACTAGTTGTCGTGGTCCGCTTGACCAATTAATATCTTTCAATTAATTAAGGTTTTTAGTTGAGATAAAAAAGTCAGTGTCACGAGCGGGATTCGAACCCACGATCTTCGGCTAGATACGCCGCTGCTCTACCACTTGAGCTCACGATGTCAGGATAGCTCAAGTGGTAGAGCAGCGGCGTATCTAGCCGAAGAGCGTGGGTTCGAATCCCGCTCGTGATACTGACTTTTTTATCTCAACTAAAAACCTTAATTAATTGAAATATAATATTTGTTGGCAAAAATAAATTACAGTTATACAAAAAAAAAAGTTTTGCTTTACATCAAGCGACAATGGCTTCTGTCGAGTTGTCATAAAATAGTATGAATTGAAATAATGTATATAAAAAATATATCTAAACAAAACAAAATATAGTTTCAATGATTTATAATTTTTATGGAATGTTTGTTTGAAAGGAAAAACAGTGTCATGAGCGGGACTAGAACCCGATTAATATAGTTACAATTGATAAATAATTGTAAAAAGGTGGAATCAATATTCAAAAAAGAAGTAGATTGCACAACATAATAAACAGGGAATAAACAACGATATTATATTAAACAAAATTACGTGAAATCAAACGAAAGTTACTGAATTTTTTTACTTTCTATTAGATTCAATAAATTAAAGCATCGTTTACAAACAATTACAGCAAGTCCCAGAGTTTTCCCCCATTTAACATATTTTTTAAATTTAACCATGATCTAGTTGTTTTTGTTTCAAATATCTGTATCTAAAATCAGAAAGAATACGTCATATACTCAAGAAGTATCTTCATTATATCTTGTTTTACCAAGGGCAAATGAGTACACTACGTTCTGCCTTAAAAAAAATAAGTTATATAGTTCAAACGTACTTTAAACAATAAATAAAATATATAATATAAAATCTTAAATACTAATTTATCGACTCCTTTGTAATTAATTATGTAGGACGATTGTTTCTGGTAGTGTTTTGCAATATGTGTTGTTTAAGTGTGTCCAAAAACAAGGTTTATTTACCTGTTTCTAGACAGAGGGCATAATTTGGAGTATTATTTGCCAAATCTTAGTGGTCTCTATTTTCTTTTAAATACATATAATGGACAAGGATAACTAGGTTGAAATGCGTCATATTAGTCATTTTTGAATGAAGCAACATGAGAATTACGTTCTTAATTTGCTCCCTTCTCTCAAATGCCTTTCACTTTTACAGCAAAGTAATGTTTGACTTTTTTTAAATTAACGGTGTACGAATAAATTGTAGATACATGTCGATTTCGAACTCGGTTCAAGACAAAATGAAAAACACCAATTTTTAAGTTGAACTCGGTTCAGTAGCGAACTGAGTTTAAACCATGTTGGTCCAACAGGACCTCATTGTGCCAACGATTTGGTACGTCATGAGGCGATAATAAGAATTGAAGAACCGTAAATAATGGTATAATTAATCTTCTTAACATAAAAAATTAACATGCCGTTAATGATTTATGTGCCCAGCAACTGTGTAATTCTTAAATATAAGTTTTATACGTGAGCGTTATAAAAGTGCAGTTATCTAGGCCGCATTTTGAACCAAATCAACTTAAAGTGTTTGTCTTTTTAAGTAAAATAGGAAAATAAATAATTGTATTAGTAAATACAATAAATTCAAGAGATAAAAAAGAAAAAATGGAAAAGAAAGTCCCGGCTAAATTGCACAAGTTCACGATTCGCGCGTGGCCGGATTTGATCTTTCCGCCGTTTGACCACGTATGTAGTCCAGGATTTACGAGGTTTTACAACTCCCTGTTGCAGATTCAAAGCATTCATTTCAAAACATCGATCCGTAAACCAACGCCGTGTCGAGATCTTCGACTTGACGAAGAGAAAGTCAGACAGGCGAAGTTAGCGAATCGACGCCCGGTTGCTGCGACCTGTTTATTTTTAAAAAATATTACTCTTGATTCGTTTTATTCACCGATTTGAAATGGTTCCAGGTTGAAAAACTGCTCAAAAGGGACAAAAGGGCTGTACAACTCCTCAACGGAATACTCGGAGGAAGCAGTGGAGGTGGCGGTGCAGTAAGTACCTTTGAAAACTTCTAACAAAATTTATTTGTAAGATTTATACGTATCTATTTTGTATAACAACTTTTGAGCGTCATTTGTAAAATATTCTGTATTTAACAAGCGTGTGAGGGGCGTTTTTCATTGACCACGGAACGACGCTTCTGGGCAACCTTGCGGTAGATTTTCGTGAATATCACTTTCACTCTCTTGAATATAAACACTTTCTTCATTAAGTCGCTTTTACTTTCAAAAAATACAAAACAATATAAGATTTTTTTTCTTCTTCGAACATCTGATTACACTAGGAATCCTGCTTCCGTCTGAAAACCAACTGGAAGATTATCTTAAACACAAATATATCAGCGAACAGTGCCATGATTAAAAGATCAAAGTTGAAATTAGCACTGAAAGCAATACGGTTGTTGTTTTCCAAAGAACAAAAAATTGGCGTTTTTTTTCAATTTATTAACAAAATTGTCACATTTGAATAATGTATAAGTGATTTTTTCGAAATTTCTTTTTCAAATTGCTATTGTGTAATATATTTTCGGGTTGTCCGGGAAATAATGCAGGTTTTCTCGTTATCTTTCAATTCCCCTTGTATATAATAAATGGATAATTTGATGGATTATTCTTTTGTACGAATATCAACACTTTTTAATACTCTTCCTAACAAAAATGTTCGTTTACCTCAGCAGCATTTCGTTCACAGTCTTTACTAAAATGTCAACACGTGATTTTCGCGTCATTTCGTTTTTCGAGTTAAAACAAGGTCAGAATTGTGTCCAAACGACCAGAAAAATTAAGTCTGAAGCGCTGGTTTACAAAATTTCGAGGGGTAGACTAGCCATGATGACAAAGAAGCTCGGGGAAGGATTTCTCCCTTAAATGATGATGTTCTGCGAGCTTTGGTCGAAGAAAAACCCGGAACAACCGAGAATTTGCAGGAAAATTATTCACTTAGCAAATCGACAGTCGCAAGTTGGGTTCCTCATGTATTAAACCACCACAAAAAAAAATTGAAGTTTGTGCAACACTTCTTTGCCGAAACGAACCTTTTTGGGATTGAATTGTTACTTGTGATGAAAAGAGATACGATAACAGTAGTTCTGGACAGTGGCTCATCAAAGTAGAAGCATACCACATTTTCCAAAGCCCCCAACTCTAAAAAAGGTGATGTTGACTCTTTGGTGGGCTTCATTTAGGTGATTTTCTACAGCTTCTTGATCTCTGGCAAAACAATCAATGCCAAAATGTTTTCATCTAAAATTGAAGCTATCCAAAATTGGCATTAATGTAGCTATCTTTGGTCAATCAGAAAAGGTTGATTCTGTAACACAACAATGCTCAACCCCACGCCTCACATGTGCAACACGAAAACTGTTGGATCTTGGGTATGAGGTTCTGCCTCACCCTATTCTACTGGCTACCATTTTTTCTCTATCTGAACATTTTACAACATAAAAAAATTATTGATCAAGAATTGTTAGAAAATGCGTTTACAGAATTTGTTGATAATAAAGACTCAAAATTCTATTTAGAGGGTATAGAGCAGTTGCCATCAAGTTGGGAGAAGTGTAATCACAAAATAAAAATCATTTATTTAATCGTTTTTATTTTATAACCATAAACCTCCATTATTTTCCTGCCAACCCTTTTTTTTTTCTTCTTTTTCTTTTAATAAAAGGCAGCGACCTAACCATCCCTGACAAGCCTTATAATAGTGTTTATAGCTCTTTTGACTTTTCAGGAAGCAGGCGCTTCAGCTGGATCTGATTTAGGCTCATTACTCAATCTTGTAGGCCCCATCCTTGGTAGCAGCAGCGGTGGTGGTGGAGGCGTAAGTTGAATCAAAAATCAGTCTAAAATCCCATTTAATATTTTAAAACTGCACAAGAGAGTAAAGTAAGAGTTTTCAATTTGCAAAAAAAATTACTATAGTTAGTCCACAATTGCACCTTATTGAATTAAAAAAACAAGAATTTACAAAATTAATCAAAAATAATGTAGTTAATACATTGTAATCATTACAACGTATTAACCCAGGTCACTATTAGTTTTGTGACACGTATTAGTAGCGATGTACAATGTAAAAGTATAACTTTAAACATCGTAAATCACTTGCTGGAGAGGTTGCACAGTAAGTTTTGACCAGCACATTGGCGCAGGGAGGTACTGGAGGTGATGCTGGCTCAGGATCAGGATCGATTCTCAATCTGGCAGTTCCGCTCTTGTCATCGTCATCCGTGAGTAACCAAAGATACATTTCTACATGAATTATAGCTTTTTCCACGTCTTTCTCACGTGGAAATGTTCACCGCAAAAGTTTTCTCTTCAAATTTAAATTTTTGTAGAAATGTACAAAGAAACTAACAGGAATGTGAAATGCATGAATTTAACAACATGTACTCATTTGCCATAACGCTCCACGTTTTACACAGATTAACAAAATCAATTGCCTTATTTTTTTTTTAAATTAAAATCAAATATCCATGTGACCCAGGATGAAGGAGGTGGAGGTTCTGACTCTGGGTCAATTCTAAATCTCATTGGACCAGTATTAGGAAGTAGCAGTGGAGTGAGTAATATAACAATATAAAAATATTATTGGCAATGAAGTACATTTTTTTATTATTGGTTTATGCTTTTGCTTTATATTTTGCTTTTGCTTTTCAAATGAATTTCTCAAGGGTGGGGGTGGAGAAGATGGCGAAGGAGGAGGAGGATCAGACATATCTTCTCTCCTAGGTTTAATTGGGCCGGTTTTAGGATCAAGCAGCGTAAGTTTTATTTTATCCAAAGTGCAAAGGTAGAAATTGGATTTCCACGATAATAATTAGTAATATGAAAAATATAATAGGGAGGTGGTGAAAGTGATGATGAAGGAGGGGGAGGTGCTGGTTCTGACATTTCTTCTTTATTAAGTTTAGTCGGACCTGTAATCAGTTCGAGCAGCGGTGTAAGTAAAAAAAAAAAAAAAACAAGTCGAAACAGTTTGTATGTAAAACTTCAATTTTAAAATAACAGGGGGGTGGAGGAGAAGAGGGTGAAGAAGGCGAAGGTGGAGGAGGCGGAAGCTCAGATTTATCATCAATATTAGGCTTAATCGGACCTTTAGTCGGTTCAAGCAGTGTAAGTTGTCAAAACTAACGGTTTTTCGAATCATAAAATCAACAGATAAATTCAAATTGTCATTGGACTTCTTTATTAAACTATGATCAGGAAAGAAAAAATATAAAAATATAAAAAATACAATTTACAATTATAACAGGGAGGTAGGGGAGGGGATGATGAAGGAGGGAGCGGAGGTAGTTCTGATCTTTCATCCATTCTTGGCCTTATCGGCCCCCTTAGTGGATCCAGTAGTGTAAGTATCGCCTTAACTGCACAAGCAAAATCTTGTGAAAGACAAGTCCATCTTTTTACTTTTTTTAACGAAAAAGCTTAAATGCAGGGTGGTGGTGGTGAAGAGGGTGCAGGAGGGAGCTCAGATCTATCTTCTATTTTGGGCCTTATTACCCCTCTCTTGGGGTCCAGTAGTGTGAGTAACTTTTCTATTAGAAATCTCTTTTTCTATATTCTTTGCTTATAAAGATATTCTGCACTGTCAGACGCTAAGGTATTTCATATTAGAATATATATTAGATTATAATTTAATATAAACCTTTGTTTCAAATGTAGATAATGCTATGATAGATAGAATAGAAAATTTGCTTCTCTTTCCTACTGTAAATAAAATCTTAGGGCGGAGGTGGAGATGGCGAGGGTGAAGATGGTGATGGAGCTGGTGGTTCTTCAGATCTCTCTTCACTTCTCAGCTTAGTTGGCCCACTACTTGGGTCTAGCAGTGTGAGTGTCATGTAAATATTATACTAAACAAAAAATTACACTCCTGCTAAATATTTTAGAATGAAGGTTCAAATTGAGAAATTAGAATTTAAGAAAAAATTGTTACAGTTTTAAGCACATATCTTTTTCAAAATGTGGAAGTGATGGGATAAATTGTCTTGTACCAGAACTTAACACACTAAAAAAATTATTATTGGGGATTTAAGATGACAATCCTCCTTTTTATTTTGGTTGTCACATCAATAAAATAAAACAACTAAACAACAAATAATTTACATCAAAGTAACTTCATTTTGTGAAACAAGATTGTTTTACAGAACAGAATAGAAATGAATTCAGTCCATGAAATTTATCTTTGTTTTATATTAACCCTAGTCTAAGAAAGTTCTCAAATGTTTGTGCAAGAAAAAATTTATCTTATTTCTTTCACCTTTTGAAAAGGCACCTGCCCATATAAAATGTAAAAAGTTTAGAATTAGATCACAGGCTTTAAAGTAGTATCACGTTCTTCGTAATATCTTAAAGGCTTTTAGGGTGGAGGAGGAGGTGCTGACGCCGAAGGCGGAGCATCTGCTAGTGCAGGCTCAGATTCTGGATCAATTCTTAATCTAATTGGCCCTCTCCTCGGAAGTGTGAGTATTCTGCCTAGGACACATTATGTACACACAATAAAACATGTATATATGCGCAAACCGCTTTTTTGTACAAACCACATACTTGTACGGTTTTGGGATGACACGAATTGAGTTTTAATTTTTTAAATTTTGCATGATTAGAGTTCAGGAGGTGGTGCTGGAGATTCCGAAGCCGGAGGTAGCAGCAATCTCGGAAGCATTCTCAGCTTGAGCACTTCAAGCAAAGGTGGTCATGAGGCAGAAGGAGGAGTTGCTGTGGTTGCTGGTGTAGACCCACATATGAGTCTTCTTGTAAGTAAAAATTCAATTTTCAATTTGATAAATGAATTTGGATCTATATCCTAAACATTCAATGATGTACATACATGATGTATCTATGTATATTAATGTATTTACCAATTTTATTAGATAATTCATACATTTATTTCAAAAAATTAAAAAACTTATAAAGAAATAAAATTTGTAGAGAATGTAAATTATAAAATGTACTATATATTTTTAAACATCAAAGTAAACAGAATTGAGGCAAATTGCATTTGACTACATTAGAGGTATATTAATTTTAACTCTTCGTGCTTAGGATGTAAAAGTAAATTCGTGTAGTGAGTGTAAAGACTTGAAGCAAAAAACCTAAAAGGTAAGATATCGATTTAAGGAATTAAACGAAAAAATTAACTCAATCATGGAGCACATAATTGGATGTCCTATCACATAATATAACTGTACGATTTTACTAACATGTTTGCTGTATATAGATATTGTCATGACATTTCCTTTTCGCAGAGTTCACTCAAGGGTCCCAAATTTGCACTGGTTGGTGATAAAATCCAACTTCTAATGAGGGTGAGTCGCACTGTGATTGGCTATTAATTTATTTGTGTTATTAAACATTCTCCCGATGACTAATATAATTAGCACGAATAACTTATGTCAGACTTACACACTTCAACAATTGACATTTTATGTCGAATGTACCTGCACATTGAATGACTCTTCTGACGTACGACTGTTGTTACGACCATTTCTACTTTGTATCTTAAATCTAACTCAAATTTTTTAATACTAAATTTGTAATATTTACCACATACTACAACTGCATGTTTGATTAAAAAACTAAACATTGCGAATAGTGGGTTTAATTGTTTTATTTTTATATTCGTAAAAGTTGCTGATCTTCATTCTTCATTTGTAGGTTAAATTTGGAATTTTAAATAAGATCTTGACAACCCTCACAAACAAAATAGCAGCAGCATCATTGCCAGCCGCCGAAGTACACAGTCTACAAGGCCTGCATTATCCTCATTGATAGAAGGATAATGGTTACTAAAATTTCGGCATGGGTTTTTGAAAATAATATTTGTTTTGTTTTGTCACATAAAAATGCTCAATTGTCATGATCGTCTTTTAATTTATACGTGTACTTAATTCACTGCCACCACAGGGAATATAAGTAACATTAATTTAAGTTTATTAAATTAAATTGTTTTGTGATTGCAAGCTTATTTATTATTTAAGATAAGAAACATTTTGTAAATCAAACCTGACCAGCCATGACAAAATATATTTTTTATTTTTTGTAGATTTAATATTGTAAATAGGATTTATAACAATTGATTCTCTGAAACATTGATATTTTCTGTACATATTCATCGACGTTTTTCATGTAAATTCATTTGAAACATTAAATTGTATTGCGGTAATGTGAGAAAAAAATCATTGTAAATTTTATTAGTAAAATATATTTTAATTTTGTACTACTTTAAATATGTTTTTTTGAAACAATTCCATTTTCCACACATATTTTGTTACATTTAAAACTATCCTCAAAAAGATAGTGAAAAAGCAAGTGTAACCAAGAGGAATCAGTATTCTTGGGTAATTCCTCATCTTAATATGTGTTATTTTCTGGATTATTATATTAAGTTCACTAGAGCGGTGTATCAATCCAAAGGTCGTAGGTTCAAATCCCACTCGTGACAGACTTTTTCATCTCAACTAAAAACCTTAATTAATTGGATTATATTAAGTGTTCAACATCAGTTTTATTTTGCCACTTAACTTTAGTTTGTAAAATTATTTATTAAGTCAATAAGATTTTAATCTAAAACAAAAACTCAACTTAGTTGATTCCTACTTCAGATTTGGATAAAAATATATGGATAATTGAATATTACAATTCCAAGGTTGTTAAAAAGAGATATTTATTTTGTGAACAGACTGTACTGGCATTATCTGAAAACAGCAATGAAGACATAAGTTCCAGTATAAACTTTCCAGCATATCAAATAAGTGAAAATCTAACAGAGCAGAAATAATGGACAAAGATTTTGATAATTTTTTTTTTTTTTTTTTTATTAAAATGAATTATTTTATTGCAACTGTTATTTTAGCCAAGCCTCGCTTAATTCTTTTATAGCATTAAATGAACCACTATTTTATCCACTTATTTGCAGAATTTAACAATTAAAAAAACAAGTGTACATACCTTATGTCACTATTAATTTTAATTGCAGTTAATTTTGATAAATCAGTTGGCAAAGGAACTTACGTTACACATTTTAAATAATCATTTATTGTTCAGTTAATAAAAAGTCATTTATTACTTTTAAATTTTTTTTCATAAAATAAAAATCTTGTTTTTTTACAGGTTATTTTGAAACAGCAAATGATAAGAAAAATTTCATAATTCTCTTAAAAATAAAAGCCTTTACAAATCTACAGTACAATATGAATGATCTCCATTGGTCAATATTTAAAATTGATTTTAATTAAAACTTAATTTATGAAATTAAATTATTAATTATGTCATTAGATGTTTTGTAAGTTGCCTGTGCCCCACTGTGGACTTTTGTTCTTCGTCTAAACAAATTACTGCTGGATTATTTTAATTTACCAACTATAGGGACAGAATTACGCTCCTGAATTCTTCCCCAAGCCAAAATTGTGTTACTGCTATTCTTCTTACTTCTGAGAAATAGAAAATTTGACCCGGGCAATCTGATCTTGAATCGAGATCTGTGTAAATCCTACCGCCGATGTCAAGGTCATTCATAAAGTAAATTAAATGAACAAGTTTGTCCAAATGGTAAAGCGGTAGAAAGTAAATATGTACAGTCACAATATTAATAACTTAAAGTGTAAGTATAAGGCCATGAGGTTGTAACAAGGATGGATCTCTTATGATTTGCAAAAAAATTAAATTAAATTAAAAAAATAAAATTTAAAAAAATCAATAACAAATAAGGATTTGTGCTCTTTCATCACTAAGAGTTATCACAGACCTCTGATAATTATATAATATTTCATGGATTTTATAAACTGAAATGGTCAAAAATTACAATCACGTCAAATTACAATATGCAAAATCATAAAAGATCCAAGTGACTTTTTTTTTGTAATCAAAAACGGCTAAGCCTATGTAAACAATATTTTTTTCTTAGAATTTCAAACATGTACAATATCAACATGGAAGCATAACAACACTTTTTATTGCATGCATAAAAGTATGCCAATAATAAATTGGATCCATTATTTTATTACTATAATTTATTGTAGTGTAGCAAAAGTTTTGAAGCTAGTCAGTTAAATTATAATTTTTATATTTTACCTATTATAAAAATCCCTTAGAGTAATATTAAAGTTTTAGAAATATTAATACTTACAAATAATCAGTGCATACATGATATATAAGAATCATATACAGTGACTTATAAACTATAACTCAATTTTAAAGAATCAATTTATTTTAGTCCATCGGAATAATAACTTTTTCTTGAATTTTGGACACAGTTTAAATAGACCAACTTCAGTATCTTTTTTATAGATAATCCATTAATAATTTAAAATAAAAAATAGCACATTAAAATTGTGTTACTTTTACAAAACTATCAATTAAGTACAATCTAAAGATGAGATGAGATCATTTATATTATTATAATAGTTTGTTGTAAAAACAAAAAAATACAGAGCAACTTTTCAATAGATCAAACAAAAGTAACAAATTCTCCCTAAAAGCAACAGATTTCAAATAACACAACTTTGACAGACAATTAGTTTTCTCAACAATTTTATCAAGTCAATTATCATACATTATTTCCATTCCTTATAAACAACCCCTTTCATTAAAATTGAAAATACATTTACATTAAGAAAAAATAAAATATATTTATCATAAACTCTAATGCAGATATCCACAAGTTAAATATAAAATGATATGATGTGCATTTCAAGTAATAACCGTATTAATGATTTCAGCTGTTGTATTATAATTTACACTCATGCTTTATTTTTCAAAAAAGAAATAACTGAAATACACATATTTACCACGCTGTACCAAATGTGGGATTTTTTAATCACTTTGTTAACAAAACTAGGAAATTACTCACTCTGTTAATGTAAATAAATTGAATGACAAATTTCAAGAAAATACATATAAAATTACAAATTTGTTTATTTAACACTTTGGTATGTGACTATCAAACTTATTGTTCTGTGTGAAATGCAGCAAGTGAGAAATTATTTCCCAATTGGACTCAAAAATAGACTAAATATTAAGTTAATAAAAAATTTATGACCACTGAAACCTAACGGAAGAATAAAAAATACAATTATAATTTACATACATATCTACTGTACAATTAATAACATCAATAAATCATTACAATATTTACAGACTTTCAAAAATATACATAGAACGTTATTACATTTTTGAAAAGCCTCAAGGGGAAAAAAATTTAATTGACATTTGCTTTCATAATTGAAACACTACTTACTCTACAAACATGGAAACCGGACTAGAATCTCTTACGATAATTAGACAGTTTTCTACAAAATACTTGGTTTTATTTGTAGCGGATATCACTGGCAAACAGATTTGGTATAGCATTCACTTTTTAATAGTGTTTATAAAATATTAGAATAGTAAAAAAATGAAATTATACAATAAAAAACTCAAAATTACAGATTTAAATATTATATACATCTTTCTTTATAAAGCATTTGATACATATATAAGCATTACTAACTGTCAGTTCCAAAATAATTTTTGAGTCTTATTTATGTTGTAAATTGTGATATGAGTGACAAGTGCCTTGCAGAAATGTTTTTTAAAAACATAAATTCTGTAGTTAGAAAGAAGGAAGCCAAATAATTTTAGCGCTCCCTTCTCAGCACAAAACATTGCCAATGTCCAACTCAGAAACAGGTGCGTTTGGGAAAGGTTTGAGGACAGATCGGCCAGATACCTTGATACATCAAGCAAAGCATTGCTAATGTTCTTAATGAGATCGCAGCAGTTGTTTCTGAGTAACAGCAATGGCCAAAGTTATTCCTAATAGTTTGTACTTAACTAAACGAACTGGTAGTCATGGTGTTTTCCACCGACCAGCGGTCGGTGTTCAGGTAAATTGGTAGTAGCCATTGGCACATGATAGGTAACAAGCCAATCTGTGGTATCTGGCCTACACAGACCAGCGCAGCTTATTTGGAAGAAATCTACTATGTTTTGACATCTACCTCTGTCGAATGGGCTCCTTCCCGCAGAAATAAAATGACCATACCTACCTGCGTTCATCCTTTCATTTGTAGTCATTCCTAATATAGATATCTGGGAGGGGGAAAAAGAAAAGTTAAATGTCTTTAATTTGGTAACAGTACGGTTAATGAGCTTTACCTGATAAGTCTGACACGCTAAAAGCACTGTCACCCAAATTGTATGGACTGCAGCATTTGTTGCAACAAAAAACACCCAGCTGTCACACTGTGCAATAACCCATAAATCTGAAGGCACAACAAAATGACTTAAGTTTTCAAGGAAATTATAAACCAATAGAAAAATTATTTATAGGCTTAAATAGAAAGAACCGGCAAAAAAAAATTCAGAAGTTTCTATTTTAACACTCACACCACTTTACTATCTACCCTCCAATGTATTCCTCTACAAGGTCTTTCCAGAACGTAAAGTAAGTTTTTTTTAAATCTTTTTATCAAAAATGTAATTATATAGTTCACTTTGTAGATAAAAAGATGACTGGGCCTAGTTTGACCTACCAATCACAGTCCACATCATATTTTTTTCCAGTACAAATTTTTTGTGTTATTTTCAAGTAAGGTCCAGAGCAAAAAGATAGCCACTAAAAATTGTTCCTTTTGAAACAACATTGACTATTGACTTTCATTTTTTGTAATACATAGTTTATTTTGCTAGTTACATTATCTACATCAAGTGTTAATACAAAATAATTTCAAAGAATCAATAACAATAATACTCAATTGTGGTGGAACAAAAGGTTAGCACACTTGTCGTTTATTTACAAATAAAAACAATCCTTCCAAATAAACAAGACTAAGCCAGTTCTGTTTCTGCTTTCATTGTGACATTTACCTGTACAATGGGAAGACCAAAACCTTTAACATCAGTTGAAAAAAATTATTCAGCTAAAATTATAAAAATGAAAAATCGAGGATTTAGCATTTCTGATATCTCAAATACTGAAAGGAATAGAAAAGTGATTTTAAACTTTTTGAAATCTCCAGAAAGCCATGGGACAAAGAAATCTTCTGGAAGACTGCCTGCCATAACAACACGACAAAAGCGGACAATTTTAAGGGCAGCTTCGAACCCTACCTTAATAGCCTGTCAAATTGTTGTAGAACTGGTAGAGACAAATTGAAAAATGTTCCACAGTCATTCGTGCAGCTCCTCACATCAAAAGGAAAAATAGGAAAGAAATACCATCCTTAAGTACGGCACATAAAAGACAAGAAGTTTGCCCGCGATCATGTCCAATCCAAAAGAAAGAACTTCTGTTCACCGATGAAAAAAAATTCTATCTCGATGGTCCTGATGGTTGGGCTCACTATTATCTCAATCTACATAAGGAAGAAAAAGTGTTTTCTAAGAGGCACATGGGGGATGCAGTGTTAAGATATGAGGTGGCATTGGCTACGGTCAGAAAACACAATGTTTATTTCTGACTGAAAAAAAAGTTATAGATTATGTCATATTGATGTAAAATCAATTTAAAAAAATGGTTTCCAAAGAAAACAAAATTTTCCAGCAAGATAATGTGCCAGCACACTCTGTAAAAGTTTTAAAGAATTTTTAAGGAAAGAATATTTTCCAATTTCAGATTGGCCGGCAAGGTCCCTAGATTTTAATATAATTGAAAATGTCTAGGGACAGGCACCTTGCAAAGAGTGTTTACAGTGGAAGCTGACAGTTTCAAGACATTATGAGTTAAAAAATAAATAAATAAATAAAAAGGAGTGGGCCAAATTCCCTCAAGAATTGATTTGCAACCATTTTGATTTGCTTCCCAATCATATGATTGCTGCATTGGAAAAAGGTGGTGCATACGCAGGATATTAATTAATTTAACTTTTTGATAAAGAATTTAATTATTTTGTTATTAACTGTACTTTTTTGTCCCACCCCAAATTAAGTATTATTGTTATTGATTCTTTGAAATTATTTTCTACGTTCACCTAATGGATATAATACAAAATAAGCTATGAATAAAACAAATATTTACAGTTAAAACAATTTTAACAGGGAAAAATTTGGATGGACCATACATTTGTTTGTCACTTTATTAACTTTTCACACCTTGATCCCTTACCCTTCTTCTATTATCCTGATTTTTCCATTTTCCCCAAGCTTTTCTCTTTTCAGTTGTATTCAGTTTCTGTGTGAAAGTGAACAAAATGGATGCTAACTCTCTTTTTATGTGCATGGATGATATTTTGGAAGTTTCATAGATAGGAAGAAGAACAAAACATATTTCTTGATGGACTATATTGTCTTTGCTCTGGCAATGATAATAAATATTTTACCAGATGTGGTAAATTAATTTCTGGAATGCATTCAGGGGCAACCAAAAAACAGGAATGTATAAGTGTGATAGGAGATGTGTAATAACTAGGTAATAAATTTTACATTATTATGAAAAGAACGATAATAAAATTCCATCAAACTTACACTTGATTTTTTTTATAAAATGTAAAATTATATGATGTAAAAACAATTTGAACACACACATGAAACATTTTATGTATAAGTTGCCTATGTACATACTAAATAAACATTATAAAACAACAAAAGACACCTTATTATTGTAATTAAAAAGATACTGGTCTAAAAAGATCCTCCACAGCTGTCCTTGTACTATTTTACTGATGGTGGAGGGAGTGTTAACAGTAATTAAGTTCTGATTCTCACTTTGCTAGTAGCAAGGGGACGACCAGGTTGGTGGTTCACAGATTTGGACCAAACTTTTTTTTTGTGATTCTATGCTCCAAAATATTGTATCTGCCACTTTTCGTAAATAAGCTCTGGTTTCGTCCAAAAAATTTTAAAGTTAAAATTTTCCGTTTTTTAATTTTTTTTTTTCACCATTCTACTTGCTCACATCAACAATGTGAATGATCATTTTACAGTATTTTTTATGTAGATCTCAATAAAAATATTATAAAAGCTATCAGAGTTTATCAATAACCAAAAAATTTTCTAAAAACTAAATATTTTTCAAATAAACTACGTCATAAAAATTTTGTTTGGTGAAACTAATATGAAATTTTGTTTTACCACCTCTAGAGACCCATAAATATAAATTTTTGTTTGGATTTAAATTTATTGATTTTTGAACACTAAAATTTTTCCGATTTTTGAGAAGTCATCGGAATATATGACTAAAACAGCTAAAAGGATTTTAACATCATATATACCATTTGAAAGAAAAGGAAACTAACTTTTTAATGTTGTATATTAAAAGCCATTAAAATATATAAAATATTTCTATAAGAAAATACACAAAATAGAAAAATCATTTCTCAGAAATTAACTTTTTTTTTTTTTTTAATGGAATTAATAGTGCATAACTGCGTATTTCCCAACTGTGCCTGCGATAAACCACTCAGCATATGGTGTTTCAAGCCTGCGATACACAGGGCGACATAACTTCCTGAGCGTGTGATTTTAATGTTTGATAGTTATAAATTGCATTTTACAATTTTTTTAAAACAAATTATTAACCATGAAAATCAGTCAACTAGCTTTTGAGAAAAATGATTTTAGAGTTTGCACTAGAAATGTCAACAGCAGAAAGGTCGATTAAATTATCAGTCAAAAAATAATTTAGACCAATTTCCGCAAAAATTGGTATATAAAAGTTTTATTACACTAGAACCATGACAATGAGGTCAAATCCAAGTTTGGACCATTTTCTGACTTGCTTAAAGAATGTTTGTTAAATATACAAAAAAAAAAACAGTATTTTGTTAATTTCTTTTTAAATTATACAAAATTAGAACATTCTGTGTTATATCCACCGAACCTTTTTATTTTTAAGTTAAGCAACAAACAATTCAATTAACACACCAAAAATAATATTTTTTTAATCTCATAGTTTGAGTTAGTAGAACGGCGAAATAAAAATATTAAAAAACGGAAAATTTCAACTTTCAATTTTTTTGTGAAACCAAGGCCTATTCACAAGAAGTGGTGGATACATATCTGATATTTTGATGTAGAATCACAAAAAAAAAGTTTGGTCCAAATCCATGACCCACCAACCTGGTCTTCCCCTTGTAAGCTTTCATTTTAATTATTCAGAAATCGTGAGATGCAGTCTGGTGCGATGCAGGTTTCAGAAAAACATTTTCTTTATCGTGCCAACGTTTCGATCTTTATTGAGATCATCTTCAGGGCTCAAAGTGTTTGTCTTCTGTGTAATTGTGCCATTCTTGCGTGTTGTATTGAGAGTGACTAAAGATCGAAACGTTGGCACGATAAAGAAAATGTTTTTCTGAAACCTACATCACACCAGACGCATCTCACGATTTCTGAATAATTATCGATTAACGGTCACTAATCTTTCATTTTAACTTCAATAATTAATAATAAAAATGGAAACTGAATTGTTCAAAGTTCATCTTAAAATAATCAATTAATAATTGTTAATAATGTAAATACTTACTTTGAAAAAAATTATCGTTAGTTCCTGGGCACATGGCATTCCAAAACATTGAACAACCGTACAACATGAACAAACACATTGTTACTAGCATAACTAAATATCCTATGAAGTATCTATGATTCCTTGCACCTTAAAAATTAATCATAAAAGTTAATCCTCCTTGTTTCATTGTGGTCTCCTGTCTGCTTCTTAAACTGAACCAAACAAACCTATGCAATTGTTTATCCAAGGACAGTGGTGGTCAAACTTAGCCACACAAACATTGCAAATTGAGCAGTGCTTTGACCTAATCGGCTTCCTGACAAGACAAGAACTACAAAAGTATTGCGTATCAAATCCGCCTCTTTCCGCTAACTCAATTATTGTCTGAAAAAACTTAAAAATTAAATCATATGAATCATAACTAGCCGTTTCTTATTAAAGAATAATTATTGCTGCTTACCCTAAACTTCTGGTCTTGTGACGTCGCCACCACACCAGGATCCCCTCGCCACGACTTGTAAAAGAAATGCCATAGCAAAGCAGACATAAACATGAATATTAACGATGTCAACAATGACATTGTTGGGCTAAGCCACAGTATCCACGTCAAATAAAACCAAAACTGAAAATATAATTATAATTTTTGTTTTAATAAAATTGTTTAATTAACCTTATATCCCTGGTATTTGAAACTTACCTTTGTAGCTAAATAAACCGACAAGGGCAGTATATTTATAAGCTTCTCGACAAAAACAAATTTTGTTGTAAAATGAAGAGCTAATACTGCACACATCAATACTGCAATTTTAGCTTGGTAAGGAATGCTACTTTGCAATGTCATTCCGACTAGATAAAACATGAGGAATGGTGTAGACACCATACTGTAATATTTTATCCTCTAAAATAAAATAAAAAAAGAGGTTATTTATTCACATTTACACCTCTAATGCTGAAAAATACCTTATCATTTTTTATTTTTTGACATATAGTGTTTCTTTGGCTTACAACAGGATGCTCAGCCACCTTATCTAACACTTTCTTCCCCACCCAAGCACATGCATCAGATGTTGATAGCAAATTGTATGCACTAATTCCCTGAAATATCAATAATTTTTACTCTTTTAACTTACAATCAATAAAAAAAAAATAAAAAAAATAAAAAATAAAAAAAAGACCTGTGCATTTTGAATATCTAAACTGGCTCCATTCATAATAAGTGAGGACACCGCAAGGTGATTTCGGGAACTGATTGCCCAATGCAGTGCAGTGTTACCTTGAACTGCATCTTGCATAGTTGTGCTGGCACCGAATGTAAGAAGTAGTCGTGTAGGATCCAAACTACAATAGCAATTTCAACATATTAATTAATAAATATTTATAACTAATAGAAAATTTTACCTTGTAACTTTCTGGCAGCTCCACATTAATGGTGTCATGCCGTTCTTGTCCTGCAGGTTTGGATTGGTCCCTTTCGCAATTAGATAAGCGACGATTGATGTGTGCCCACACTGTGCAGCGACGTGAATACAAGCACAACCTTCAGCGTCCCAGATTGAAGGGTCTGCGCCGTACTGGATTAAAAGTGTTACACTACCTAAGTGTCCTTGCCTGATACAAATAAGGCATTGTTAGTTGTTTTTTTAAACGTGTTTTAATTTTATTAATGCACCTTGTAGCCCAATGGAGAGGTGTAGCTTTTAACTCACCACCGATTGCATCTACAATAGCCCCTTTACTGACATAGTATCTAATTATATCCTGACGATTGTTAATTGCCGCCCAGTGCAGAACAGTTACAGTCTCCCGGTCAGGTTGGTTAACATTATAACCACCTTCAATTAATTCTTTGCACCTCTCTAACAGTCCATACTAAAAAAATTAAGACAAATAAATATTGCCTTCTTTTGTTCTTCCGATAAAGCAAAACCATCAATGTCTGAGAAATCAAATTAAAATTTTTGAAGCATACAAAGAATTTTATTAAAGTTTCTATGAACAAGTCGATAATTTTTTTAATTGATTTTCTTTATTCTAAACGAAACTTATAAAATTTCTTACCTGAGTGGCTTTAACAATATCAAAATCGCTTCCATCTTCTTGCGCCTGAACAGTTTGGGTTTGCTCTTGAAACATTTGCGATGGGGCTGGCTTCCTTGGCCCATGGCTGTGCCCAAAAGGATGTGTCTTACAATGGCCCTCCTTCAAAAATTATAATAATTACAATAATTTTAATAACTAATCAATAATTGAATAAGTTCAATACCAGTTTAGTCAAGAAAAATTGGAACAATTAAAAAATAAACTTATATTTTATAACTGCAACTTAAAATTTATTTTTTAGAAAAATAAATAGATTACAATTAAGTGTTAAGCTATAGTCCAAATAACATCCAATTGCAAAATATTGTCTTTTGTAAATCTGTCTATGCTAATTCTTTGTAAGTCCAATTGCAAAGTTATGATGCAAGTATTCAAAAGATAACCATCAATACTGTTGTTGAAATTAGTTCGCCTAAATCAAGTGTACTAAGTAATTGTAAACTTTAATTCAAATATTTAAATTCAAGTTTAAGGTCTTAGTTGAGATGAAAAAGCAAGTGTCATGAGTGGGATTCGAACCCACAACCTTTGGCTTATACACCGCTGCTCTAACCAATTGAGCTAACCTGAGTTCGATTAAAATTATAATTAATTAATATGATCAATTATGACTCCTAACTGCATAAGTGGTTTAAATTCAAGGCAGATACACACCTACTCAGTTTATTCCAAGAGACAAATTTAACAAGTTTATAACTAAAGAAAACAAGAGGATGCGTATGAGAATAAATTAATATTAGCTAATAAGTGACCGTGGTCAATAGGGGTTAACAGTTACAATTGTTATAAAGTCTCCATAATCAGGGTTTTTTTTAAATAGATTTTTACAACCATGAAAAGCTTGAACAGTCGACAAACTCTATCTAACAATACAATGACCAAAAAGTCATATTTTACAGCTTAATTCCAGTCAATCACATAATTCATATAACAGACTCAGAACTGAAGGTCACTAGAAGCTGGCATATGGAATACTGAAGACATGCAAACCAAAATGTTTGGAAATTGCCAAACTGCAGGTTTATCATCCAGAGAACACAAGAAGAAATTTAACAATTTAAAAATTGTTTTGCATTATTATTCTCAATTATTGAGCCAAAATTTAAGCTTAAACTGAAAGAAAAATAAATTTCCCTTGGTTTTTTGACAGTAATTTGGCAAGTTGAGATAAAAATGAGAGGTTAGCAAGTTAATGAAGAAAGAAAAAATATGAGAGACAGTGACCACCAAATAAATATTTGCCAGTAATACACCTAATGTATACTATATACTTTCCCCTGGGGCATGATAATCACAATGGATTAAATTTTTTTAAATAAAATAATAATAATAATAACATAAATTTGATAACCATGAATATTATAAGTGTATGGAAGGGTTTTTTGGTCAAGTTGATGTAAAAAATACAAATTGATATCAAGTCAATGTTTGAAAGATTTATTTATTCTTTTTCAGGGCTACAGGAACAATTGGCATGTATAACATTCATATTGAAAACCAGATTTTGTTGGTTAAAACCTTTTTTTATTTAAAAATTAAAAAATTAAAATTATGTACGTTTTAAGGTAAAACTTAATAATTAGAAGAAAAAATAGTCATCTGAGGCAAGATGCAACTACATTGTTATTAATTACACAATTAAAATTTCTTTTAAAAATTGTTATAGATTTCTTAAATCTGTAACATTTGCATTTTTTTTTAAGCAGTAATTTTTGTAACAATCGTAAGATTTACACAGACATTACAATATATTCTCAATTAATAAACTAAATTTTAAGCTTACACCAAAAGAAAAAAAATAGTATGAAGACCACTTCATTTTCTCTTTGTATTCCTCTTAAAAATTTATATTTGTCTTAATGTGTCATTTTTGTAATAGTGCTGAATGTACTCCCCAGCGGGATAATATATTATATTTCTAAGCTCTAAGCCCCAGGTGTTGCCAGAGAATAAGTGCCAGTTGTTGAATAAAGGATTTAAACTTGATGATGAAGAATTGATTTTTCTACTAGGTATGACATTTAGTATACTAGTACTTGTGTGTATTCAGATGTGGATTGGTTAAGTTACATTTGTGCATACTTGATGATGACTGGAAGTAGTTCTGATCGTATTGCCAAAAAAAAGGGGGCATTCTTCTTAGATTTACAAAATGTCCTCTTATACTGAATTACTTACAGAATGCTTCCCATAGAAAAGGAAGAAAAAGACAATAACTTAAATTATTAATCATGAACAACTGTGCTAAATAAAAATATTTACAATGCATAATCACTAAGGTTTATACAAACTTTATTACATATTCTCAATTATTAAACTGAGCTTTAGGCTTAAAATCAAAAATTTTTAGGCCGGACAGCAGTTGAAAAATTGTTTTGTTAATTATATAATAAGTAAAAATAAATTCCTATCCCATACAGGAGGGCTTAACATCCGTTGGGTGTCGTGTATGAGGGATCAAACAATTCTACAATACGTTTTGCATACTATTATCAATTAAAAGGCTATGGGCTCAGCCGAGATTCAAACTCAGAACCCCAAGCACGGCACATATAGTTGGACGCCCTAACTACTCAGCCACTGCAGTCCCTTATGAAATAATTATTACGATTGTTAAAATTTTTGTTGGTTAAAACCCCAGTATTTTTTTTTTTCATTTAAAAAATTATTAAGTTGAAAGGTAAAAAAATTAACATTCAGAAAAAAATAGTTCCCTAGTATGAAGACATTTTAGGTGGGATGTTGGTTAATTACATTGTTTTTAATTACAATATTAGATTTAATGTTAATTTGTGCTTTGTGAGGATTCGAACCCAGAACCGTTATCAGTAGCATGGCAAATACTAATTGGATGTCATAACCACTCGGCCAGTAGAGTTCCCTAATTATATATATTGTTAAAAATTTTAGTGCCAAAAACCTTGGTTTTTTTTATTAAAAATTTAAACAAAAAATAAAATTATGTAATTTGAAAGAAAAAAAAAAGTTACCTAGTATGAAGACTTTGAGGTGAGTTATTAGTTGAACAACTAGATTATTACTTATTTGACAACTTTAATTAAAGTTAAATTTAATGTCAATCTTGAGGGGTCGAACCATTCAACAATACACTTTTCATACTATTATCAATTAAAAAGACATGTGCTTTGGCAGGATTCGAACCCAGAAACGTTAGCATTAGCATGGCAAATAATAGTCGGACACCCTAACCACCTAGCCACCACAGTCCCTAATGAAATGATTATAATGATTGTTAAAAATTTGATTGGTTAAAACCCTAAGTACTTTTTATTAAACAAATTTAAAAAATTATGTAAGTTGGAAAAAAAGTTCCTTAATGTAACTACTACTGTGTTTTCAGGCGTGTTGTTAGTTCAATTGTTAGTAATTACAATATTAAATTTAATCCATTTATGTTTAGTGATATAATAGACCAAATTAACCATTTTAATCAATTATTCTTTTTATGCTAGGTCTTGGTTGAGATGAAAAAGCTAGAAACAATAGCAGTAGTATAGTAGTATAGCAATAGCAGCAGCGTATAGAGCTGAAGGTCATGGGTTCGAATCTCACTCGTGACACTAGCTTTTTCATCTCAACCAACACCTTACATAAAAAGAATAATTGATTAAAATTAAATTTAATGTATGTCAAGGAGGTCAAACCATACAACAATGCACTTTTCATACTATTATCAGCCAAGGTATCCATACTATTATTATTAAAAAGCCATGTGCTTTGCCAGGATTCGAACCCAGCGTTAGCATGGCAAATAATAGTCAGATGTTATAACCACTCAGCCATATAATTACATAAATATAATTGTTAAAAATTATTGGTGGTTAAAACCCTAGTATTTTTTATTTATTTCTTATTTATTTTACCGTTTATATATGTGATACTTTAAATGTAAAATAATTTATATTTAAATAATTTTATTCTCATCAAAGATGTAAAAAAAATTTCATTTATCATATTAGATTTATTTTATTTAATCTGTAACAAAGTTAATTTATATATATTTTCTTTATTATAGAAAAACATAAAAGAGCTACTTTTAATTAATTAAGAAGAAGAAGGAGAAAAATAACTTTATTCTGGGACTGGTGTCTCCTAAGAATAATTTACATGAAATAAACAAAAGAAGTTCCTTCTATGAAGTTAAAAGTAAAAAAAAAAAAAGATGGAAATCTTGGCACAACGTATACCAATAAGGCAGGACAGAAGAAAAAATTACGAGAATATTAAACAAAAATAACAAATGTTAACGTGATGTCTCTGCTTGGAGGGAGAGGTGGTAATTATACAGGTGGGATTTAAAGGAGGAAAAGGAGGCAGCGTGACGAATAGAAAGGGGAAGGGAGTTCCAGAGTTTAGGGGCTCGGATCAGAAAGGATCTTTCGGAGGTATGGGTTGTATGTTGCGGAAGGATAAGGTCAATTGGGGATGAGCGGGTCTTAGGATACAATTATACATCAAATTAATTAATTAATTATACATCAAACCTCATATAAATAAAATAATCTTATTCCCACATTCTTACATTATTTTTTTTTAAATGGTTTATTGATATTGTTTACTAGAATTGTTTTCAGACCACCATATCGGCATAAAATTTATGGGAAAATGTCCAAGATCAAGTAAAATTTATAGCATGTACTAAAGTAGTTTCATTCAAATTGGGGATGTTGATAAATTACATGATTAACGTATTTTTGTGGGGGTTTTTCTTTAAAAATATTAGTACACAAGTTATTATTAAACATGTTCAATTGTTTTAAATAGTTTTAAAATATGAAAGCGTGAAGGTGGTTCAACTATCAAATACATAGTTGACGTTTATCTTCAAAATTATCACGAAAACTTACATATTCGCCGAGGTTAACAGGGTTACAAGCTGTGCAATATTCCGGCGGAATCATCGTGCTTCTGGTGCTGGCTTCGGATGCTGTTCCAGCATTAAAGCTTCTGGGCTAAGGGCGAGCTAAAGGGCATCGAGGAGCTGCATGAATAAGGAATCGAGCCGACCCTCAACTTGGCTGTTTCCAACTTCGATCTTTACCTTCCCCAAAGTCGGTTCAGCTGTCATCTCAGGCTCCCAAGCCTCATACTGCATTAACGTCATTGAGGACGTTTTCTGTTACGTCTCAAAGGGAAAAAAACTCTGAAATACATTAGAAATATACTAAACAGCTATTTTATTAGCGCAATAGCTCAATTTTACATAGTTCCAGTTTTCAAAACTGGTTATCCTACATCTACAATAAAGTATTGACAACTTGCCACGTTGTCTAGAATTTCTATATGAAAAAGCACAGTCTACAATCTCTTTTAACTTTGTTGATTAGGTACGCCTAAAATTCTTTTGTTCAATTGACTTTGGAAAATGCTGGAGATCATAGAATACACAGTACACTTAGACATTTTAGAGATAGGGATAGGGATAAAAATAGGTGGCCACAAGGCGTTCTGCTCCTCGCCCTGAGTACTACTGTGCTCCTCTATTTTTTATAACTCACTGGCCAGCCAGATTGTTAATCAACCTCCATAGGCTTGCCAGCAACTCCTTAGTGTAGGATCTTTTTCCAGGACAGTTTTTCCTCTCCTAGTCGCAAGTATCGGCACCTACAAAGACTTTCAGCAAACATAAAACTTGTTCTGTGGTCTTCTACTCTTCCTGGCAGACTCTTCTGTCTGTACTCCTTTTCGGTGCATGTGCTTTCTTAAGTGGCAGTGCCCTTTCAGGAGTCCAACCAGAATCCTGATTCGGTTGCAGTTGTCTTCCAGTAATTCCCTTACTGTAAGTTTTGCAGGTGACCCTTCTATGAATCTTCGCGTGCCTCATGCCTGGGGTGTTATTCCACAAAACTTTGGACTCATTAAGGATCCATTTTAAGATGTGTTTTCTTTTGTGGCAACATGCTAGGCCACAGTAGGGTTTGGGACTTTTTTCATTGCCTCTATGCCCCGAATGTCCAGGGACCCATGCCAGGGTTAGGTCAATGGTGTCGCTGACTTCCGCCAGGGCCTCCATGCACAATTCCAAACACTCTTTGCCTTCACCTCCATGAGACTAGGGCCTTTACGTTGCCTGACTGTCAGAGACGATGGCTATTTTCCGATAATGTATTCCTAACCTTATTTCCCTGGTGTATTGTTCAATTGCTATGATTTCAGACTGGAAAACTTTAGCATAGTCAATTAAGTCTTTGGATTAATCCATGCCCTTGTCAGTTTTGGAATCGTCAGTGTACCAATGGAAGTTTGCCTTTTGCGGTGTTCCTTTGGCTCACTCTTCCCATTCTTCTATCAGTACCTTGTACTTTTTAGTAACGTTGAATTTTGAAGTAGTGGCAAAGATTGGCATGCCTAATATGGCATCTGCCTGTATCCCCTCCCTCAATTTCCACTGATTGTTTACATGGCCTACCCTTGCAAATGGTTGTCCATTTGTGAGTCGTGAGCCGCTACTGCTTTCGCTTCTCTTTGGATTAAAATATGAAGTGGTAGGAGGTATAACCACCTCCAAGGCAACAGTTGGTGTTATGCTGATGGCTCCAGTGACACTGAGACAAGCTTGTTTTTGGGTACCTAATTGCTTTGACCTTCAGAGTCTTGATCCACCACACCACCGATCCATATGTCAGCATTGGTTTTAAGATGCAGGTGTAGCGGCCATAGGGTTTAATCCCCAATTTTTGGCGCAGAGCCTTCCTCAAAGAAATTTCAGCTCTCTGGATGGTTTTAATTATGTGTTGATTCCATGTGAGCCGTGTCTAGTGTCATCCCTAGCCTTCCTTCTCCTCTTTGGAAAATGGGATTAGGACTTGGAGTTTTTAGGCTTCCTATTGTCCTCTTTCTTGTGAATGGAACCATTATGGTTTTGTATGGTTTAATAGATAGCTCCTCCCTTTTGCACTACCTGTCAACTAGGTTGTCTATGATTGATCAAGATGTTGCCATGGTGGCCCTTTACCACTTTGGTCAAATAAAAGGACTAACATTCTCACCAATATTGATGATGGGTGTTGGTTTGCAAGTTAACTCACTACACTCTACACTCATGGGTCAGACAGGCAGATATTGGACCTAGACTCACAAAGTGTTGGATGCTCTCCTGGATGCCAATGCATATTTTCCAAGTGCAACTTAAACTCAGCTGACTTGTTTTGCTGTAAGATTGCTTAGAGAGAACGTGATCAGAGTGGTTTATATGAGCTGTTTCCAGCCAATCCTCAATTATGGGCAGATTTTTTGGAGCTGTTGCTCACACTTAAAAAAGATTTTTCTAAGTCCAAAAAAAATTGTTCGTGTTATGTCCTGGGCTGACCTTTAGGATGGATTAATATTTAAGAAATTATTTTCAGTACTTTTTGGAAATATGAATGTTAAGCAGTGGCCAGACAAGAACAATATTTTATTTATTCATTTTAAAGGTACAAATAGGGAATTTATATCAGAAATAAATTAAGTTTTATAAACATGATAAAACAATAAGAACAGCAATAGTATTAATAAATCATACATTAAGATAGACAAAACAGTAATGACAAAATTAAATACTAATTATTTATAATCAAATGATGAAACCACCTTATGAAAGAAAAGCAGAAAGAGAAAAAAAAGGAAACAGGAAAAAGAAAAGGAAATGATATGTTATTATTAAAAACTCAGATGCCATGGACTTGAACAAGCCAGCGAGGAAGCAGAACGTACTTCCCGGGGAAGCAAATTCAGCCCTCTCATACTACATTTTCACACCAATAAATGCATTCACTATCAACACACTAGTGAACAAGAAAGCAACTATATCAATAAAACAACCCCGTTTCCTCCGAAAAGTGGAACAGGGGACCCAGATACTCTCATCTTGAGTGCCAGTCCTACAGGTTCCATGTAATCCTTTCTTATTGTTGTGCATTTTATTAATACACCAGCAATTTTTGTTTTCGATGTTAGCCGTGTATATTTTTTTTAAACTTATTGTTTTTCTGTGCCCATTCATTGTTTCTTAAAAAACATTTTGTAATTTAGGCAATCTATCACCTGTGTTATGCAAACAATCAAATTCACCTATGTATTTTTTTTTAATTTTTAGCAGAATTTTTTTTTGTAATCAGGGAGGAGGCCAGTTAGAATAAAATACTAAATTCCTTTCTTGCTGAACTGGCAATTAATCATTTATCGGATCTGTTTTCACTCACAGCATCCACTCAGTTCTTCTCTGACTTTGAAACTCACATTAGTAATTGAAATAACATCTGATATGGTTTAGAATGTGTATCATTGTGTATTTTTATTATTTATTGGCAAATCAAATCAATATAAAGTATTTATACAAACTCCCACTCTGTTAAGTAGAGTGAACATTCTTAAAACGGTTTTATTAAGGGGCTTGCAATTATTATTATTATTTTTTTTTAATTGATAAATTTATTCTTCACTGTTGTGAAACTTTATAACATGTCTAATAAACTAATTTCAAACATGTGTTGTTTGATTTTTTCTCAATTATGTTTTAGCTCATAACTATGCACAGAAGGTTTAGTCAAATATTCTTTATTTTAAGTTGTTTATTTCATATTAACGTTGGTGGCAGTGTTAACACAACTCTGAAAAATGAAAGAAAACCGCCGGATAAAGAAGGCAGCATAATGCGAATCTCAAGTGGTGTGGAAGTGAAAATTGAGACTGTACCATACGTAGTGAGACTGAAATCATCTGATACAAGCCTTTGCACCGGTGCCATCATACACGATTCTTGGGTATTGACAGCTGCCCACTGTATTGTCGATCCAAGATACCCAGAAGATGTAACAGTTAGTATTTAAACTCTCATTTTTATCCATTATTATCTGAATTATAGCAAAAAAATATTGAATATTTGTCACTGTTTGATCTGAAATTTCTAAGCAGCAATGATTAAAGTTAAAATACTTCCAACATAAATAATAAAATCAGTCGATTTTTAATACATTTTTCTTAGAAAACAAGCATGTTTAAAGTTAAATTTTTATTAGATTTATGCTGGGATTGATGACACTTCGAAAGAACAAGAAGCACAAAAACGAATAGGAAAAAATGTGGTTATTCATAAAGATTATTGGGCAGAAAGGGTGGCCAAATATGACTTTGCTCTAGTAAAGGTAAAATATTTTAATTATGATTAATACATTTGTCTACAGATATAATTTTGATTCATGATAATGGCGTATTTTGTAGGTAGAACCGTTTAAACTCGATGATAAAGTCAAAGTTTTGGAGTTGTCAGATGACACATGGCCACAAAATGAATCTATGTATGAAAGGAAATGTTTAGCCGCTGGTTGGGGTGCAGATGACATTGGGAGAAGTGGAGTGAATAAGCTAAGAGCTCTTAATGTCACTGCCAGACATGGACAGAAGGGATGCAAATGTTTTCGATCGTAAGTTTGCCATTTCTACTTTTTTTAAATATTTACAATTCAACAATCTTTTTTCATGATCGTCTCTTCTTAGATTTCATAATCGGAGACTTGTTTGCCTTGATTCGCGAGGGAAAGGAATTTGTAAAGGTGATTCAGGAGGTGCACTGGTGTGCGAAAACAAGGGAGTAGGAGTTGCACACATCATTTATTCCAAAGAAAGTTGCAATCCGTATGCCTTCGGAAACATCAAGTTGACCTGTCGAGACACAACAGGAGCGTACATGTATATCTGTCCAGCATTAGATTGGATTAGTCAATATGTTCCGTCGGTTCCTAAGTCACCGAAAAGTTGTCGCGCCTCCTCAACAATGAGCATAAATATTTTGCTTATTTTAGTTTCAATCATATTTGTCAACTTTGAGACAATAAAAGACCAACTCCTTTCTGTGCTCTAGTCTGTTTTTTTTTTGTTTTTTTTTTTCTAACTTTGTTTAATTTTTTGTTTGCAATTAGGTGTGACAAAATTCTATAACTTTAAGTTTTAAGCTATACAAAAAATGCTAAAGATTGTGTGTGAATAAATTTAATACAGTTGTTTTTAAAGGCTTATATATTATAATGTGATTTTTTTTTTTTTTTTGGCGTTATGATCTATGCATATTAGCCATGGTGACAATTCTTATATGTGTGTTCCAATTGGGGGGGGGTTTATCGTGAAAAAAGGGCCAGAGGCGACAGTAGGAATCGAACCCAGTTTTAAATGTGATATTTAAAACTACAAACAAATTTTTTGTTAAAAAATAGTGAACCATCCGTAACTGTAAGTCAAATTTTTTTCTTTTTTGATCTTACACCAGATCCACATCTTACACATTAAAAAATAGGATAGCAATAGTATATAAATATAAAACTCATATCAGTTAATATATTCAAAAGTCCAAAATTGTTGTCTTGAAAGTCCCCCACTTTACTACTGTTATTGATTTATAGGTGAACATAACGATTTGTTTTCCATTTTAAACACTATTATTTAGGAATTATCTAACCATAAGATGTTTTGTGATAGAAGTGTAACATACATTTTTCTAAAATTTAAAATATATATCATCTGTATTCAATGTTTTATTTGCTTGGTTTAGTTGAATATGAATTTTATTATTGTTTCTTGTGTTCTCTTCTTTTTAATTTTTTTACATAGTTCAGAGAACGTCTCTGAGAAATATTTGACAAAATCAATGTCCGTCTATACACAAGTTTTAACAAAATTGGCAAATGCTGAACCACTGGAAATCCGATCTGCTCCTTTTATTGTAGGAGTAATGGTTATGGTGAATGAATCGCTGTTTTCAATTTGTACAGGAACTTTAATTGATCTATCCTGGGTCCTTACCGCAGCTCATTGTTTTGATGACACTACAGACGTGATGGTATGACAAAAAATAATTTACATCTTAATACAGTTTTTGTAGAATTTTTGTCAATAATTAGTCATTATTACTCAAAATATATCTTGTTCGAATTCGTATTGCTCACTTTGAAATAATTTGGAAGCGATTTTATTATTTTCAGACTTTTTCAAAAAAGTCCCTTAAATTAATTATTAATTTTTAGGTTGCTGGAGGCATTGATGATGTACATAAAACTAAAGAACATTATCAATTGAAGATGGTTGAAAAGAAGATACGTCATCATAAATTTTTAAACAAGTATCATTTCTATGACATTGGATTACTAAAGGTATCACTTTTAATTTGTAAATGCAGATTTTTTCAGTAATGTATTTTGATTTAAAAACATAGTTAATTTAATTATCAGCATTCTATGTTTTTCTCAAATTTGTAATTTGGCCTGTTGAATTTTTATAATTTTGTTTTACAGTACAAAACTCCCTTAACTTGTAACTGTGTTATATTTTTCAGACTTACATTTGAGTAATTTACAAAACAGTATATTAATTTTGTATATATTTTAAAAAAAATTAGGTTTCGACTCCATTTAATATCAGTACCCAAGTCAGTGTAATACCTTTGTCAAATGAAAAATGGCCGCAAGATTTTCAAATGTACAATAGGAGTTGCAGTGTTGTCGGTTGGGTCGGTGACATCACACCCGGAAAAAAATTTTCGAAAAAAATTTTCCGAATTAACGTAACTGCAAGACATGGAGATAAGGGCTGCCCTTGCATAAAAATGTACTTTATACAACCAAGTTTTTATGTGACCATTTATTTAAATTATTTCCCACTTGTGTTGTAGGTTTTTTAATGCAAGATTGGTATGTATAAATATATATAGTGAAGATGTCGGGTTGTGCAAAGGTGCAGCTGGAGCTCCTCTAATATGCAATAACAAGGCTGTAGGAGTCACGCATTCTGTTTATTCGCTAGAGATGTGCAAAATTTCAAAAATAAAATGGAAAGAATTTGACTGCACAACTGGCACGACAGTATTTATTTATACTTGTCCATTCTTAGGATGGATCAAAACGTATGTTCCTTCTGCTCCATCATTGCCGCTTAGTTGTAAAGGAGAAGCATTAAACTATAATTATTTCCTTTTTATTTTTATAATGTTAATAAAATTCTTTCTAACTTTTTCCTAATCTCATTTGAAATTTATTAATAAATTTATATTTATATTTTTTCAGTACTGAATAGTGCATTCTTCTTCCCTCTCTTTCTTAGCTGTTTTCTCGTCTTTCTCCCATTTTAAACTTACTAATTTCTTTCCTGTTCCTCCAGTTGTATGAGGTAATGATAAACAATTCTGTCTTTTCTTTATCCTATTGCTAATAAATACAAATACAGTGCTAATAATACAAGTACACGGAAACAAAATAAAAACATGATACTCTGGTTAGCATTTACACTACCCCAGAGTACCCGATATTCCTCGAGGTGATTGGCAATGAACCCTGCCATTCACACTAATTAATTACATGCACACACCACAATTCATTCCCATTACTCCAGTGCTCAATATTCCTCGGGGTAATTGGCAATAAGCCCCTCCTTTCCAGGCAAATACATTAATTTAAATAAATAACCCATCACATTCATGAAGGTACAAGGTCTACATTCAATTAAAAATATTTACAGCCCTGAGATATTGCATTAGTGATCAGTACCTGCTGCCGTGCCTCAAGGCCACACATTTGTGATGTATTTTTTTCGTTGAAGACTTAGATCTTTGCGGACTTAAAGTAAACCCCTCAAAAACCACCTTAATTGCTTTCGTCAAGAAAAGAAATATAGAAATACAAGGCTTACGTTTCTATAACGAAATGGTGCAACTAAATACAATACTGTTAAGGAAACTAATGGATTATAGTTTCACCGGAACTATCTTGAATTGGTTATCCAGCTTTCTCTCCGACAGAAAACAAATAGTCAAAATAAAATCATTTAAATCATGTCCCTTTGCGGCTTCCTCGGGAGTCCCGCAAGGGTCTCATCTTGGACCAGTTTTGTTTCTCTTATTTATTAATGATACCATCTTGCTCTCACTTCTGCTCAATTTTTATTATTTGCTGATGATCTGAAAATCTATTCCATATTCACTTCTCCTTCCGATTGCTTACAATTACAAAATTCTATCAATAACGTGCTAACCTGGTGCTCCAATAACAAACTTGCTCTTAATGTTTCCAAATGCTACACAATTACATTCTCTCATAAGAAACAACCTTTTATTTACCTTTTAACGCGAGTTGAGGTCGTAAAGGATCTTGATGTACTTTTTGATCAAAAGCTCAAGTTTAAAGAACATATTTCTTCAATAAAAAATAGATCTATGAAGATGCTAGGTGTCATCATCCGGAGCACCTATGAATTTAAAAATCCTCTATGTTTTGTCCATCTTTATAAAGCTTTTGTACAACCCATACTAGAATATGCTACACCTGTTTGGAACCCATTCTATCTAAATTATCAAAAAATTCTTCAATCTGTACAAAACAAATTTTAAAAAAACTTTCCTACAAACTCAATCTTCCTCCGAATTCTGCCTACCCTGGAATCCGCTCTGAATTTAAACTTTTCGAACTGGCACTAAGAAGGGATTACTTTGATATTGTTTTTGCATTTAAATTATTAAACATTCTCATTGATAGTCCCTATCTCCTCTCTCAACTACAGCTACATGTCCCTTCGTACTCTCTTAAAACCTATAAATTATTTTATATTGAATTCCAAAGCTCTAACTACAGGCTCTCTTCTCTACACAGAATGATGATCAAGAGTAACAACATCTGCAATAGCATTGACTTCTTCAATAGTTCTGTGCAATCTGTGAAAAACCTTATACTACAACCTTAGTTGAATGCTTTTATATTTCATACTGTACAAAATTATTACAATTTATTTCATTTACTGGTTCAACTAATTCTCGCACTCTAGTCTTATTACATATTTACAAAGAGCATTATTTTCATTAAATATGTACCTAATTATTGTAGTTTCAGTTGTCTTTCAGCTTTATTTTGTTTCCTCTGCCTTATTTGATTAGTAATTATGTCTTTCATTTTTGTTGTTCAGTTTTTACTCTTTATTTGTATTTTTATATTTATCATTTATATTTACCATTTATATTATTACCATGTATATACGTCCTTATTCTTTTTATATATATTATTTGTATTTTTACATATATTATTTATATTTTTTGTTATTGTAAAATGTCTTTTTTATAGTGGATTTCAATCCGTAAATAAATAAATAAAAAATGACGTTAAATACCTAGGAATAATCTTTGATAAGAAATTATAGCAAAAAGTAAAATATTGCTAATAACCTCAAGAAGAACCCTAGGCAAATCTTGGGGATTAAAACCGAAAATGGCCTATTGGCTATACACGGCAGTAATAAGACCCAGAATAACCTATGGATCACTAAACTGGTGGAACAAAGCTCAACGAAAAGTAGCTACCCAAACATTAGGCAACATACAAAGACTAGCAAACCTTTGTATCACAGGGGCAATGAGAACAACCCCTACAAACACTAGAAACTCTGCTAAACCTATCTCCATTGGAAATATTCATACAAGGAGAAGCTAGGAAAAGCTCACTTAGGCTCTAGAAACAATTAAATTGGAAAGGACCTAGGGCATATAACCATAATCAACAAAATCAGACACCCATTATTAGAAATGGGGTCTGATTATATGATCCCGGAAACATTCTTCACAACTTCCTACAAAGTCTCAATGGACGACTTTGAAGGAGAGGAAGAACACATGAGAGCATCAGATACAATGATATGGTTTACAGATGGCTCCCAAACAAACGAAGGAACCGGATCAGGCGTTTTCTGTACAAGCCCAAAACATAAGCAGTCAAATTCATTAGGGAAGTACACTTCGGTCTTTCAAGCAGAAATACATGCCATCAATGCTTGTGCCATGGAAAATCTTAAAAGAAGTTACACTGGCAAAAAATTTCTCTGTAAAAGAATCACATCAAAATTAGTCAGTGAATGCACCCAAAATCTTCAAAACCTGGGGAAATACAACAACCTGATGATACCTTGGGTGCCAGGGCACAGGGGAATTTATGATTTATGATAATAATGAGAAAGCAGTCTGGCCATAGGAGGATCTGCAAGATTATATTATACAGGCCCCATTCTTAGGATAACAAAACCAAGATAGAATCCTTCATCATAAAATGGATCCAAAAAAGACAAAAATAGAAGTAGTTAAACTCTAAATGTACTAGTCAGTAAGTAAGCTTATGCTAAAACAATTCTCACCAAGACTGGCAAGCTCACTGGTTCAATTAGAGAGGGGTAAACTCAGAGAAATGATGGTATACCGATCATTGGCATCTGAGAAAACATCTATACATCATGGGCATACTCATTGATGATCCCATTTGTAGATTATGCGATGAGAAGTAAGAAACAGACACCCATATCATCTTCGAATGTGAAGCAACTGCTCAATGGAGATTTCACCTAACATATGGAAAAAACTTAGGGAATCAAATTGCAGCAGCAGCAGTCAATGACCTGATACTTCTAAGGAGAAGGATTGAGTCTATTGCACTGAACTAAGAAGGAACAATAAGCCAAAAGGCTGCAGTGCCTGGGGAGCGCAAACCCCGCTGCTTCCTAGTATCCTTTTTACCATACCATACCATAGATCTTTGCAGTCAGTTGTTACATGCTCTATCATGATAAGTTCTACACACAATGAACACCTACATGGTCTCACTTGAAGGTGTCAGTGTGTGATCTTGGTATGGCCAATGCACAACTTGGTAAATATGACCTTTTCCCTTTTAGACCTAGCCTCCACAGGCCAGATACCGATGTCTTTTTTACATTTATATAATTTGTATGTGATTCTTTTGTTCCAGCAGATTCTTCGTTAATTTTTTAATGGATTAACAATTGTAATTCCACTGGACATAAAGAGCTGGTGGGATCGTTTGGTCTCATTGTGGCTAACTTCATTGCCTTATCTGCTTGTTTGTCCTAATTGTACTAATGTACCCAGGAACCATGCCATGACAATCTTTTCCCCACTGTCACATTTTCATGATCAATGGGTCTACAGATGCTCTTCTCCTGAGTTTCTGTATCCTGCTTAGGGAGTTTATCTATATGAATGTATTTTCTTCTTTTCTTTAAATAATCCCTAGCATGAAGGAAAAGGCATTCAGTTCCACCATTGATATACTTGCTGATGAGGGAATAACAATGTTTCTACCTCACTTACCATGCAAGTGGCAGCATCCATGCCCATTGCCTTCCATTTGCAAATGGAGTTTATTTTTGAAAAATCAGGGGATGTATCTGTCTTTCCATTTTATCATATTCCATCGGATGAGAACTGATGGGAGTGCCTATGGTGGGCTTTCAAGAGGTTTTTCCTTCTCTGCTCTGTACACGGTTACTCTCCTTGCTATTATTTCCTTGGTTTTTATGGCCGAAGGTCTCATTCAGATCCTACATTGTGTGTTTAAAAAAAAGTGTATTAAGTTTAAGACTAAGTAATTTTGTTTTACAAGGAGGAAATTAACAAATCGACAAGTTAATGTAGTAAACACAGTTGGGAATTACATAAAAGATTCAAAATAATAATAATAATTACCTAGAAGAACGTGAATCAGTTCATTTTTTATAAAACTAATTGGATTGTATCTGGATGAATCACTACGATTACTCCTATTGCAGATAACTAGAAGAAATTAAAATTCAAGAATGGTTTATCCTAAGTGCTTTGTCAATGTACTACAAACAAAACCCATAAAAATTCAAAATTTTCAAAAAATTATAAATTATCTTTTTTTGTTTCTTTGTATCTGTTAGAAATCTTGTAGTATGAATATAAATTTGTATAAATATGACAGATGTTAAAATTTTAAACAATGTTATTCAGATTATTTTTAGCAGTAATATTGTTTATAGTACAGATCCTGTTTGCAGGCTTTGTAGAGACTCGCAATTCATCAAATTACTATGCGACCAAATTCGAACCTCGGATTACTAAAGGAAAAGATGCGAATATTGAAGAAGTACCATATGTCGTGAGGATTGTTTTTGGAACCGCAATATGTACTGGTTCTATTATTAATGAGTCATGGGTTTTGACGGCAGCCCATTGTGTGGACACTACCGAAAAAATAAAGGTCAATATATGTTTGGATATATAATTTAACTCAGTAAGATAAAAGCCAACAACATACTTTGTATAGGTCTTTGCAGGAATTGATGATAAAACTGACAGGACAGGTCAAGAACGAGATGCATTAAAAGCATATATACATAATGATTATAGCAAAGGGAAAATATCTAAACATGACATAGGACTTATCAAGGTATGTCAATTTCTATTAAACAATGGTAATGCTTTACAAAAATACTTTAAATTAAATATTTATTCCTTAATTAAGAAGAATATTCAATAAGTATTCATATAGTCTGTTTTATTATTTATAAAGTCCCATTTGCTTAGCTTCCACATCTTTCCAAGTCGAAATAAGCTAGAGTGAATGTTTCATCTTTTATGTTGAACACTCTGCCAAGCTTGTGATATGTTTGACTTGAATGAAGTTCAATAGCTTCCCTCAATTAGTCGTCAAGTCAGAAGGTTTGTGGTTCATCTTCATTCCTCTCATTCCCAGAAGCAAACTTTTGAAACACCACGGGCAGTGTACTCACTTATTGTTTACAAGCTGCCTTTACCATTGCAACACCTATATTAAATTCATACAATCAGTGTACGTGAATTATGGCTTTTGAAGCTGTGACAAAGAAAAAAATTTTCATAATTTACAATGAATTGTTTAATACGCTTTTTCTTTATGAACTGATGCATTATCCTCTTGGTATTAAGTTATATAAACCCCTAATCATCCTGTATAAATAGAAATGTTGTAAAAAATGAAAAACCACATGAACTGTTCTGGTTATCTGGAATATTGTAATTGTGAAGTTACGTTGAATCAATAAACAAAAAAATCATGACCCTTTATCAAAACAATATTATAGATTTTTTTTTTTAAATATTCCTTGAAATGTTTTGGAATTTTTCATTTTTCTCTACTCCATTTTCACAGGTTGAACCTTTTCAACTCAACAAGAAGGTTGGTATAATTGAACTATCAGGTGAAGTGTGGCCCCAAGAAAGAAAATACAAAAGACCCTGTTTAGCTGCGGGGTGGGGAGTCCCAGAAATTGGTGAAAAATCGGTAACAAAATTACAAAAACTTGACGTAATTGCAAGACATGGAGAATTGGGCTGCAGATGTTGGCAGACGTAGGTAAAATTTATATCTCCATTATTACATTTTTCTCATTAATTTATATTATTTACATTTTTTTTTATATAGATTTCACAATAAAAGGTTGGTATGCCTACAAGGTCAGTCTGGATTTGGCGCTTGCAAAGGCGACTCAGGAAGTGCTTTAGTTTGTGATAAAAAGGCTGTTGGTGTGGCACATATGATTTATTTGATTCAATCATGTAGTTCATTCAGTTTCGGCAATTATGATTTCAAATGCTCAGATACTTCTAGTGCATATATGTACATATGCCCGTACTTGGACTGGATACATAGCTATGTGTCAAATGTTCCTAAACAGCCTCTCTCTTGCAAAGGATGTCAAATATCACATAATTTAGTGTACTTTATGTCACTATTTGTTACTTTACTATTTTTAAAATTTTAAATACTATGTCAAGTCATTTATAGATTGTGTATATTTAAATAAAATTATTTTCTGAAAATAAATGACAAAAACATCTTGCTTCAGTGATTTTTCGACTAAGCACACTGACTAATTAATAATAAAAGGGATGTGAATATAAAAGGTATTAATTTCTAACTTCACAGTAAAACAATAAGAATAAGCTCAGTTAATGAAGAATTTAGGTTGATGAGGTGATATATAGACAGTTTGATAGCCTCAGATCATTCTAGGCTGCCTAATCTCACTTGTGTTAATTGTAAGATTATTTTGTCATTGATTCATCTTGAGTTCAACAAACCTATCACTTAAAATGGAATGCATCTGACAAACAAATCCAGCATGAATAAGCAGTTCAGGATAAATTTTGGTAATGAATTCTTAGGAATATTTGGGTAGAAAAGTCAAATCAGAAGGAAAAGAGAAACACAAGAGAGAAAGTTTCCTAGCTGAACAATCACAATCACAACAATCCACATCAAAAATTGATTTGATGTACTGCTCAATTCCATCTTTGTTTGGTTTAGTTTCCATTTATTTGAAGAGTTTATAAAGATGATTATGCATACTATGGATTTTTGTTCCCTAAGCACTGCAGCTTTCTGGCTTATTGTACTTTCCTAATTCCTTAGTTCGAATCGATCATTCTCCTAAGAGGTCATTGACTGCCGTTGCTACAATTCCTTTCTCTGGGTTTTCTTGGTATCCCAGGTCATTTCTCCATTGACCAGTTGATCCACATTCAAAGAAGATATGGGAGGCTGTTTCTTCCTTCTCATCGCATAATCTACAAATGGGGTCATCATTGAATATGCCCATGTCGTGTAGATGTTTTCTCAGATGCCAAATTGTCATACCATCATTTCTCTGAGTTACCCCTCTCTAATTGGACCAGTGAGCTTGCCAGTCTTGGTGAGAATTGTTTTAGTATAAGCTTACTTACTGACTAAGTAGCACCTCGGGGGCCGCGGTAGCCGAGTGGTTAAGGCGTCAGACTCTTGGCTAGTAGATCCCGCAATCGTGGGTTCGATCCCCACCGTCGCCTCTGGACTTTTTCTGATGCCTAAGGGGACCAGTGGCTGCAATTGAAAGAAATTGACACGCACTCATCAATGGAAGGAGCGGGATCGGATCTCAGCGACCCTAAATTTGGTCCTAACCACCTTCAAAAATGAGTTTCTTCGAAGGAAGAACATCGGCACATTGAAAAAACAAAAAATCCTATCCTATGTTGGTTTTTGTTATCCTAACAATAGGCTCAGGGCCTATATAAGGTAATCTTGCAGATCCTCTGGCCTGTGTGTCTGCCTTTTCGTTACTTAATTTTCTCTAGTGTCCTGGTACCAAAGATTTCATCAGGTGTTGTATTTCCCCAGGTTTTGGAGATTTTGGATGCATTCACTAATTTTGAAGTGATTTTTGACATGCTAATGTAGCTGTTGGCTAGCCAATCTCATAAGGATTTTTTTGCCTGTCCCTTTTAAAAATTTCTAAAGCACAAATATTGATAGTATGTATTTCAGCTTATAAGGCCAAGGTGTACTTCTTAGAGTTTGATTGCTCATATTTTGGCTTGTACAGAATCCAGTCTCTTCATTTGTTTTGTAGCCATCAGCATACCATATCATAGTATCTGATTTTCTCTTGAATTCTTCTCCTTTGTAGTATGTTGAGACTATAGGATTGTAAGTTTTTCTAGGATAATGTAGTTAGCCCCTCATTCTAAGGATGGGTGTCCGATTTTATTAATTATTGTAATGTACCCGAAGTGTTTAGCTGTCCCATCCAATTTAACTGTTTCTAGAGCCTAAACGACCTATTCTTCACTTCTCCATGGAGGTAGGTTTAACAGTGTTTCTAGTGCAATTAATGCGATTGTTTCATTGCCCGTGTGATATATATGTTTGCCAGTCTTTTTATGCTGCCTACGTAACCAGTAGCTTGTTTTTCCTATGCTTTGGTCCATCAGAGTAATTAATATATATAGATAGCTTATGTATTCTTATTAAAGCCTATGAAACAAATTACTATACATTAAAAAAGGTTGGGCAAGGCAGTTTGAGCCAATAGGGTGCAGTTCTTTTGTTATAGACAAATCTGGAAATTTCAAATTTTCGTTAGTTCATAGAAAAAGAAAATATTTAACTTAACAAAAGTAAATTTATATTATGTATTTTTTTCTAAAACAGAGTAATAATTTATGTTTTAAACGTACATTGCTTAAATAAAAATATATATTGTATTCTGAATTCTACAAATCTCTTTAGCAGCTGACTACTAGGAACAGTTAAATAATGATTATTTTGTCAGTGATTTGTTGGGTTGCTGTAATAAATTATCTTGTAGTTTATGGTGATACTGAAGATAACATCGAAGATGAAATTGAAGAGGAAGATGCAGTACAAAACAATTTTCCTTCATATTTAGTACTCATTAAAGGAGAAAAAAACTGTTTAGGGAGTATAATTTATCCTAAATGGGTGATCACTGCTGCACATTGCATCGACGGAAATTCAACAATAAAAGTAAAGTATCAGAGTCAGATTAAAATTAAAATTGTTTATCAATGTTATTTTGCAAACTTTTAGTTTTGTTTGAAAATGACCTTAAAACTAATTTTGACAAAACTTGGTTATTTTTTTAATTGTTCAGTAAGAAGAAGAAACTATTGTGAGATTTCCTCTTGTGCCCTGCAAGGTGATGAACCTGCAATTTGATCCTTACTTATCATCAGTGTTTAGTGCTGAAAATGGCAAAATGCTCAAACCCGTCTGACAGACCAAGATGATTGGTAAGGATCAAATTTCAAGTAGAACTATGTTAATGATTTTTTTTTTGTATATTTTAAATTTTAAATTTTTGTTATTTTTTATCAAGGAGTCAGCCAGGTTAAGGTATAAGACTGTTTTTTTAAATATTATATTTCCCAAATTTTCAGCTTTCATATAGCCATTTTGGGGAATACATATTTTACTGTTTCCATCATTTTTTAGTTTGCTTTTAGCTGATTTATTATATTATTTTTGTTTCTAAATGAAAGGTGGACTAAAAATATGAAAAAACGTTGTTTTTTTTCCCAGGCCTACTAAACAGTGAAAAATTAGGAAATAAGTTTGTTGTTTTTCAACATTTGTGTTTATATTTAACTTTTAAGTTGAGCTAGATTAAAATATGACATTTTCAGGTATATCATGGCAATAAAATGTCCAAACCTGACAACACTTACATTCACCCTAAATATAAAAAAGGATATTTCGCTGAATATGATGTTGGGATGCTTTCGGTGACTATCATTATTCTATGTCATAATGTAGTTAGTATTTTGTATTATATATTTTATAATTATGGAAAATTATGATATTTAGTTTGAGCGGAAGTTAATCTTTTCATCTGGAGATAATATAAAGTTTCCAAATCAACCAATGGACAAAGAACATAAAGATTGTTCCATAATGGGTTTCAAAACTTTAAAATCAGAATTGAATTCAACAGCTAAATCATATTATCACTATGATGTTACTGTACTGAGAGGCTATAACTCTTGTCCTTGCTCAAAAGAGTATGTCGAAATAATATCAACTCATTTGTGGAACTGTAAATTAATATTTATTTCAGCTTTTTCAATGTAAGACTGGTTTGTGTCAGTTATCCTGGCCACTGCCCGATGGAAGGTGGCTCAATTTTGGTTTGCAATGGTGTACTGTTTGGCATTGGACATGTGAGCTATAACCCACGCCAATGCGCACACAAATTGCAATTGCTATCACACCCGTTTGGTGGTATGAATTGTGTGTTTGCCTTCACAAAATCATGCAAATTTCAAAAATGGATTAAAAAGTATATTCAAAGCACACCGATACCAAAATGTACTTCTGAGAAAGAGTATAAGTGGTTCATTTTTCTTATTTTTGTATCTATTTTAGCTATGGTTGTTGTCTATTCCACAGTTTTATTATAAATAAATGTTTTTAATCAGTTGATATTCATTTTGAAAATTTGCACATTTATAATATTTAATGAAAAGCATATACCACTATGAGCAAACTAATAGTTTATATCTTAAAATCTAACAATATTACTAAATTGCAAAGAAAAAATTTCAAACTAGGCATCCTTGTAGATAAAACTTGTTTTTCATTAACATATTTTCCAAGCTACACAGAAAAACGAAAAAGCAACAACGGAAGTGCTCTTCAATGAATTAAGAAAAGAAAGAAAATCTAAGTTAGAATGAAGGTACAAAGAATATATTTAAATTAAACTAAAAGTTCAGTTGTGAGTACACTTGATGTATAGATCGATGTAGTGTTGTTGCTGTGCGGAAAGACTGATGAAGTCAAGTCCACTTATGCTGCGGTGCGGGAAGATGTCAGGTGTGTGGTCGTTGTGAATCAAGGCATAGAACACAACTGATTGTAGTGTGGCGGGCGAATAATAATAAAAACACCCGTATTGTTGAACAGAACTGAAACGAACGAATTCATAATACAAAATAACTTGTACAAAATATTACTGCCTGAAACGTCTAACTTTAAAGAAACGGAGTGTGTGCTGTCTTCTTGGCGGTTGAGACGCGACTGTCCAGTTGACTGGACTTAACAAAAGAAAGGGCCATTTCCTTAGTAATTTAACACAAAAAAAAAATCAAAAATTTTTTTATATTTATGAAGGGATTTAAGATTATTTATTGTAATTATCGTATTTATGTGCCAGTGTTAAATTAATAGATTGCTGCCATTGACCAGTTTTAATAAAGGAAATGTATTAAAAAAAATTAATTTTTTAAATTGTGAACATTATTATGAAGATGTCCAGAGATTTTTGAAATAATAAAGCGTATTTTCTGTTGCTATGTATTGTCATATTTTCCAACATAGATACATACAGATTTAATGATTTAATAATTTGGTCATATTTCTACTTGAACGATCATTAGTAACCAATTTTTAATTAATTATTTAACATACAAGACTTCTTGAAATACCTTGGAACTAAGACAGTTGACAAGTGTGTAAACAAGTGGAACAAGTTAATTGAACGTTAATAATTTACATGTTTACATCTTTGAATGGATCAGATTGCTGTTCGTTTTAGTCACTAGAAAGTTTTTGAAGGGAGTTTATATTAGATCAGTAAACTATTAATAAAGCATAAATCTTTTAATGTTTTGAATTTGTAGAAAATAATTTCTTATAATGAATAAGAAAAGTATTGATATTAATAATTCGTTATTTGATAAAATTGTCTATGATGTAAAGTTTGCCAGTTTTAACATAGAAAATAGAAGAGTATCATTAACGATCATTGGCACATATATCGTTTTTTTTGTTGTAACTCTTATAGTTATGGGACACACTTGTTATTACTATATCAAAGACAGAGACTATGTAATCATCATGGTTCATCATTTTGTGTTAACAATAGAGTCATTGATTGCTGTGACTTATTCCTATATTAAAAGGGATAATGTACATTTCTTAATTACAAGTAAGTGCTAATTAATTTAAAAAAATCAAATTTATTTTGAATTATTAAACATAATGTGTCGATAATTTTCAGATGCGAAGAAAAGTTTCAATTACAACAGCCCTTCAATGGTTTCATACATGAAAAAAATCGTGAAAGATAAAGTACCAATTGCAAAAAAAGTGCATTATAGTATAGTAATTTTCCCATTTTATGTTTTGATAAATGACATGTTATATTCCTCCATGGAGAAGTATTTCTGGGGTGGAGAATATCTGTTATTATACCCGATTTACACAGCTTTAGATCTTGAAAATTGGTTTTTCTATTGTCCAATACTTGTTTGGGAGATGTCTGTGATTTTCTTTGTAATTGTAGTCATATCTGGGATAATTGGACTTATTTTATTAGTATACATTCACTTAATGATAGAATTCAGCATGCTAGAGCATGCGATAATGAATATGAATAAGATAATTGAAGAAAAAATTGAAATGTATTCAACACCCAAAATGTCAGAGGATGTGAAGAAAAACATCATTAAAAAAATACAAAAAGAATGCATGGATGAAATTGCAAGGCATATGGATGATATAATAATGTAATTAATAAAAATTTACTTATGAATAATAAATTACAAAATTGAACTTTTGGGTTTATTAATGATTATAAATGACAAAATGACAGAACAAATATTTCAATTTTTGTTATAATTACAGATATTTTAATAATGCAAAAGGGTATTTGAATTTTATATACTCTAATATAGTGGTAGCTGGTATCATGATTACTGTCTGTACAGGCGTAATATGTCTTTCAGTAAGTAATAATTCGTGGAAATATAAATACTTGAAACGTGTATTCTAATAATCATATTTTAGTTTTATGTATAGTTTAAGGCCTCTTCCAGATGAGGCGGTTTGGTTAATTCAACTAAGTTGCCCGGTTGACTCAATTTACTGCTATGTGTAGAATCTTTGTTTACTGGTTTCACACCAGGCAATTTGTGGAATCTACCTCTTCCCAACAGGAGGTCATTACAATTTTAGAACCTGAGAAAGCAGGAGCAGTTCTTGTGCTTGCTCTTCTGCAAAAGGAGAAGCAAAGAAGGAGGAAACCCAGTAGAAAAGTGTGGGTTTATTTGTTGTTATAAAATTGGGAAACAGGTGCTTTCTCTCAAATACTGATGTGGTCCAAGCATTGCTTCTTTTAATTTTATCACTATACTCCTCATACTTCATGACCCATATCGTGGAACTAGTACGAATATCTTCAATGAACTGCTCCACATTGAAACTTGCAAATGCAACGCTTTCCATGATGAATTCAGTTGACTCAATTTGGCGACTGGTGTGAAGGACGACTGACAAGCAGTGCCTTTTGTGTTGAGTCAACCAAGTCAAGTATGAAGGGGTTGGGGCAATTTCCAAACATATTGCTACTAAGTTACATTCCTTGACACCTGTCCATCCAACTAGTTGAATCAACTAGCCACCTAGTCTGAAAGTGGCCTTAGATTATAAAAATAATTATTAAACAAGGTTTTTTAACAGGAAAACCAGGCTGTAAGGATGAAATTTTTTGGAATTTTTGTAGTGCAAAATATTTATTTGTATGCAGTTTGCTGGATTGGAGAGTCGATTGCTAACAAAGTCTGAAATAAATTTTTTACAAAAAACATATTAAAATGATTTTTGTGATAACATTTTTTTTTTTCAGAGCGAGAACCTCAGAATAGTCCTATACGACATAGAATGGTGGAATTTTCCCAAATCATGCCACATGTCGATTCGGCTGATGTTAGTGCGATTGATGAATCCATTTTACTTCTATACATTTCTGGGACAAAAAATACAATTAGAAACTTTCATGGATGTATGGATCAGCTCTTGTGGACTAAATGCAAATTTCACAAATAAATTATTTTCCTCTAATGTTTCAGATGGTGAAAGGTTCATATTCGTATTTCAATATGATCATTCAATCACAGTAGTGGTTTGTTCACAATTAATTGAATTTGACCACATTGTACCTTGTGTGAACCTTTATAAAGATATCATTTAACATTAAATGTTGAGCTGATTTATTATATATTTAATGGAATTTAAAAAAAAAAATTGCTCATTGTCTAAATATTTAGCTTTCAATTCTATTGTCTATTAATTATCCTATTCTGAAATTTCAATAAAGCACTAATTAATAATCATTTCTAAACCAACTTGTTCAATAGAACTTGATCTTGTTTAGCTCTAGATGCATGGTAATTCTCTTTAGAGGAGCTTCTTTGAAAAGATATGTTAAAAAAATGTCCAAGTTGAACAAAGAACTATTGTGCTAAGTTCAAGGAGAAGTTGTAATAAAAACTTGTGTGTACTTTTTTACACTTTACCTATAGAATATGGGGAAATTTTTTGCAAAACATGAGAAAATTATTTGTATCCAAAAAGGCACGAACTTTATTTCATTTTGAGTCTCAAATTCAATGTTACACATCACATCATTGTATCCAAAATTTCTCTAAAACCCAATTGTATTTTGTATAAAACCATAAATAAAACTTCAGATCCATTTTCAACTTCATTATTAGCTTCTTTCCATGTACGTTTGTTTTACAAACCTCAACAGCTTTTAAACGAAGCACTAAAATAGTAGAAAAACATTCTCTAAAAAAGTCCTAGAATCAAATTCCCTCATCAAAATTATACCTTCCAAATAAAAACAATAAATAAAGTTCCTCCACCCTGGAAATGTACTGTACATCATACCTTTTTAAATTCAACTTTTCATTTAAAAAAAACCACCTTCAACAATACGGCATAAAGAATTTAAAAGACTTTTTCATTAAAAAAAACCACCTTCAACAATACGGCATAAAGAATTAAAAAAACTTTTTCGTTAAAACCAACCTTCAACAAAATGGCCTTAAGATTAAATTTTTTCCCATGTAAATATAATAAGAAAAAGAAGGCCAACAACAAAAACCACAAAAAAAGAATTTTGGTTTTCGTCTGGGTAGGCAGTTACCCTTTCTTCAATAAAAAGACTCATCATGGAATTGACCCTTCTTTAGATCCATACCCAAGAAAGTGTCCTACCCCTAAAGTGGTTCAGCACTTTCTGGTGTGCCTCTTTGCTTATTTTCATAGGCCTATCTAAAGTAGCTATACCATTTCTGGACTAATGCTTTGGAGCCATATAAGGTATCAGCAGGTTCCTATCTGAATTTGATTTTTTGTTTTAACTTTGTGACTTTGACCAGCGTGTAGTCATGTTTTTCTCCATCACTTTGTTCAGTTCCACTTTTGACACGCTTTGTGATGTGCCAATTTGTGATTCTGGCCCAAAGGATGTGAGGGATTGTAATTATATATTTAAAAAATAAACAGGAATGAAACTTTCAGTTCCTTCCACGAGCTTTCAAAGAATATATCCCCTTCACCAGGAGTTTGAAACTTTATTTTAACAGCTTAAAAGGCTGATAGAATGAACAACTATTCAAAATTGTGAAACCATAGATTTCACATACATTGATAAATAAATATTAAGCTCATTCGAGTACCAAATCATACATGAAAGTACATTAAGTAATACTTTGTAAGACAATTACTAGTATTCAACAAAGACACTCCATTTATGACTTGTTGAGATTCAAATTGCAATTTAATTATTAAATTCATTAATTATTTTGTGGTCCAATCGACCAAATAACTTCTTTCGATTAATTAATCTTTATGTAAGGTATTGGTTGAAATGAGAAAGTTAGTGTCACGACCAGGATTCGAACCCACGACCTTTAGCTAAATACACCGCTGCTCTCACTTGAGCTATCTTGACTTGGATTCACTCGATCACCAACTTCCCATTTCAACCAACATTTCAAATTTTCCCTCCTTTTTGACATTTTTCAATGGCAATTTAATATTGAACAGTGTCCAGAGTTGTGCTAAAAAGTCAATGGTATCTTCAAAAAGGGTATGGCTTATTTCTCTGCTGTTTTGCCCTTGGTTCATATCTGTCTTCAGCATCTTAGTAGCTTCTGTCCATGTAAGAACACAATAAATGATTAAGGAATAATCTCAAAATTTCTTTTAAATAATTTCCTTGGTATTTGCAAGAAATGTCCATGCTTTTATTTTGCACAATAACAAACAGTATAGGTGAAAAGGCAAATATTTGATTGAAAACAATAAAAATAAACCTATATGTGGAAACTCTGCTGAATGTTCTTCAGAATTTTTTATTTCTATTTTATTGAAATAATGCACCGATTTTTTTATTGTTATGTCATCTTCTCTTTGGGTTTGTTATAATTATATGTTTACATATAAGTCTTGTTTTTTAAGTGTGGTTTGATGAATGTATAATAAATAAATATATATAATGTACTAATAAGTGCTACAATAAGACTCTGGATGTAACTATAAACTCAATTCTATCTATTATTTTATGTAAACTATATAGATATAATACAAAAAAATTATGCAGTGAATTGAAGTAATGTATCTAAACAAATCTTTCTTAACTGTTCATGTTTGTATATATAAGTAATAAATTTGACACGGATGTAACTTATATATATATAACAATAATCTTGTAATTAGTACCCAAGGGTCTCCACCAAACCGTTTACTATCACACATCAGTAAATATAACTGTAAATATAAACTTTTTTTTATAAAGAAAGATCTTTATTTATTAATTTCAAAAACCACAAAGAATGCAAAAAAATTATAATTTCAAAAATTTTAAAATTGTAGTTAATATTTTAAAGTCCATATTTAATTTTTTTTCTTTTTTTTTCTACATACTACACGTTTATTCTGTATTATGTTTATTTATTTTTCATTATGCTTTTATACAGATATATTTTGTTTATTTCTCACAGGATCTCTAAAGCTGTCTGGTACAAGCTTTGCTTTTTGACAGGAGGCAGGGATGTACCAAAATATTAGTTTTTGTTGTAAATTTATATGTAATGTACATTCCTGCAAATAAAGCTTTATTATTATTGTGTGTGGTAATTAGTGACCGTTAATCGATAATTATTCAGAAATCGTGAGATGCGGTCTGGTGTAATGCAGGTTTCAGAAAAACATTTTCTTTATCGTGCCACGTTTCGATCTTTATTGAGATCATCTTCAGGGCCTGGGATTTACAAACATTGTTTACATTTAACAAATACATTTAGGATGTGAAAAAGTGAATTTATACAATGCAAAATATAGGAATACTTTGATTGAATATAAAAAATATATTTTGCATTGTATAAATTCCCTTTTCCACATCCTAAATGTATTTGTTAAGTGTAAACAATGTTTGTAAATCCCAGGCCCTGAAGATGATCTCTATAAAGATCGAAACGTTGGCACGATAAAGAAAATGTTTTCTGAAACCTACATCACACCAGACCGCATCTCACGATTTCTGAATAATAATTTATTATTATTATATATAAATGTAATATAATAAAGGTATCGATTATTTTGGTTTCTAAGTTTGGAATTGACTACCAGTATCGATAGGTACGCAGTTCGTCTTCGTGTTCAGCTTTGAAACGAGGTGTATCCGTAGGCCGTAAGCCCGTAACCCGTCTAGGTTCGTTCTTCATTGTTCTCCACCGTACTTTTAAGTTTCATCCTAAGTTTCAAAGTAACAATGAGTGCTAAGACCGGTAAGGAGTTTTCTCTTTTCCAAAATAATAATAAATTTCACTTTTATTTGAACTTTAACTGTGTTTGAAATATATTCGTTAGATATACAATTGTTTATGTTTAACGGTTTATTCTAGCGATACCTGCGACCTCGACAGAAAGGAGTGGGCTTTCAGGCTTAAAACGTGCAAGGACGTCCTCCGATTCAGAAGGTAAAATTCTTTAATAAGTAAATGCTTAATCTGAATTTTTTAAAAATATGTATCACACATTTGTATGGCCAAGTGGTACTTTTTGAATAATGGAGTTGTTTCGACATATTTTTTTTTCTTCAGATCTGTTTAACAGAAACGCCCCAAGGGTCTCCACCGACCGTTTACTATGTAACCTGCCGTTGGGAGTTAAGTTTGATCGAATATGCACAAAATTGGATATTGGCAGTAATAAGTAGCGGAACTAGCCAGTTTGTGTACAACACCGTACTTTTACTGAGCTGTGTTACTAAATGTTCAGGTCGTCATTCGCTAGTTTTCACCTCGTTTAGGATTGAGGAGGTTCGTCCATACAGTAGAGCTGTATACGATTTGGCACACACTCTGGGTGATCCAAGACAAAGGTGGTTCTCCTTATCTTCACTCTTTGAGCACAATTTCTGCTATTCGTGACAGATTCCCGGTGAACCCTCTCGACATGCTCTTATTAGAGAGATATGTTAAGTTGGATCGCCTCAGAAAAATAGTAGTCGACTGGGTGGTTGAAAAATGGTAGTCATTGCAGACGAAGCTGGGATATCTTGACAGAATCACCATGACCTAGCCAGGTGAAGATGTAAAGTACACATTAAAAAAAAGAACATTAGGAGCATCAATAGAGAGGATCATCCCCTCTTGTATGTCAAGAGCACGACTGAGCGATGGCCCATCCAAGGCCTGAAATACAAGGAAGGGAGTTTGAGGATAGGCCATACCTGATTGATAAATGGTTCAACTGCATTTGGGGCAAACCCCGCAGGTGTTCTGCTTGTACAGAAAGGTTATTCAGTGTGTCATATTTAGTTAAAGCCATGCATTGGCTTTTTTTTTTTCTTTTCCCTACAGCCACAACTTTACAGCCTGATACGTTAGGAAATTGTATGCCGAATTGCCTTGGCCCCTTACAGAGAGCGAATAGGTGTGGCACATGACATAAAGAGCCCTTGGGCACAAGAGTGGGTTGATGGTATTTCTCAATCTGTAAATATTGTGTATAATTTTGTGCAGCTATACAGTGTGTATGTATATACAGTCAGCCCTCCTATAACACGGTGAGTGCATACCGCATTATATGGAAACCGCGCTATAAGAAACTCGGATTTAATCGTACAAACCAGGCTAATTCGTAGCGTGTTCTATGGAAACCGTCTACCGCGTTGTATGGAAACTGCGCTATAAGAAACTCGAAATTAGTACAAATCACATCATTCGTACCGCGTTATATGGAGACCAATAAATACAAAAGACAAGATAAATTATGAATTATTTTTATTGGATTGAAGAGTTCATATAAGGATTGATAAAAAAAAATGAAACAAAAACTAAACTAAAAGACTGTTTTCCAACAAAAACAAGAAAGACTTTTGTAAAATTATTTATTTTTCAACACTCATCCTCTCTGTCAGATATGAGTCGCCTAACTCATCTTCTTTTAATGGGCAAAATGTCTTCCTCACTTGGTTCTTCTTCACATTGGTTTTCGATCGTAGCTTTTTTTTCTAACTCCACTAAAACCTCTATAGGGAGCTAAGCAATTTCTTAACTCTCTTTTAAACTTTGCGCTGCGCACCGTTGAATGATCAGTTTGAATGAAATGAAGTTCTAATTCTTTAGCCAAATTTAGCCCTTGTTTCACATCTTGTAAATTGAGATTAGAAAGACTTGGTCACCAACAAAACGTATGTACTGTGAAAGATCTCTGAGATGACTGAAACCGATGTCTTAAACGACAATGAGATAAGCTGGCATGTTTACATAAACATATTGTTTATGTATCTCGGCTGTGCTTTTGCGTGGAAAATAAAACTTACATTAAAACCTCTTACAATATCTAGTTACTAGAGTCATTCATAGGCTGTGTGGAAGGGACTTATGGGATTCTGTTAAACGGAAACCGCGTTGTAAGAGTACCGCGTTATGGGAGGGCTGTCGCAATTTCAGCTCCGTGTTATATAGAAACCACGTTCTGAGAGTACCGCGTTATAGGAGGGTTGACTGTATATATTTGTTTGTGTTAATAAGTAAGAGGATGTAATCCATCAGCCCTATGATATGGCTCTGTTGTTGGTAGCCCGTCATAAAAAAAAGTTGTTGCTTTGACCTTTTTTTTTCTCTTCGTGATTGGTATTTCCAAACTCTTTCTATTGTATAGTTTGTTCGTTTTTGACCATTTTGACACGCTTATTGTTGTTTTGGTCTTTCAGAATATTTCAGTTTTCATCTTCAGTGGTGGGTTGTATACTTTTAGTTTAGATCGCAAACTAAAACATCTCTGACAGGCCAAAATAAAATACAAGTCAGACTGAATTCATTGAAAAAAAAAAAAAAAAATCTATCTTTATATTTTGTTGTAAATTTTTCATACATAGCTTTTCATTGACAGTTTAGATTTTCAATTGATGTTATTGTTTCTATCTGGTTGTCTGATATGAAATTTTTGTTTTTATAACACTTTACAGAGGATTAACATGTTAATTTTCTGTTTAATAACAATTTTTGTTTTCTATCCAAGTAAACATTTGCATTTTAGTTTTATTTAGCATTTCATAATTTCATGGAGATTTTTGCATAATTTTTTGTGATCAAACCAGAAGGAGGAAGTTTTAATGAAAGAATTGTTTGTCTTTGGTTTAGAAAGTTGTCTTTTGGGAACTTAAGGACTCACCCAAGGACGACCTTCAACTTCAATCAGTGGTGAACTTCTTATGAAAACTAGAAAATTCCTGTCAAACCGTAAAATAACTTGCATCACATGCATTGCACATCTTGGCACTAATAGTCTCTGGACAAAATTATTTAGAAAAGTCAAAAATCTTGTCACCTTTAAAAACAAGAGTCTTGTGTTTCTCTGCTTGAAACATTTCTTGTACAAGTGATGAGATGGAAAATGTGTATGGCAATTGAGTCATTGCTTGTCGATCTGCTGTCTAGCCACATGTCAAAACAAAATCTTCATCTGGAACAAGTTGATGCTAGTCTGTGGTTGGAGTCATCCATCTTTTTATTTTCAACCGAGGGGAGAGACAACTGAATGTTGAATTGGCCATAACTTTACCAAATTCATCTAACTCAAGTTTTTTTGCACTAATCCTAGGAGGATGGTATATCCTTCAGAGACCTTCATGCCAGACTTTATCAAATGCTTGGGCCACATCTATAAAAACTGCTTATATTTTTTCTTCAAGTGCTTGTTCAATGATTCGGTGGATCAGTCATTCGTAGGTATTAGCAAGTCCCCCTTATTCTTTTGGAATGTTTCCTTCAGATTATCAGTTTTTGTTTTGGACAACATTAAAAAAAGGTAAATTTCAATAAAATTATTCACTTTTTTGTTATTTTTCAGTTGACAGGTGAAAGTCTTCAGAAATCTTTTTTTTTAATTTTTTTTTAAATTGGAACACTTCTTTTTATCATGTTATTAATAATAAATCCAGTTGAGTTGTTTATAAAGTATAAATAAAACATTGCATATTTCCACTTATCACATCATTAATATTGTATTTTAATTAATTATACTTATTATCTAAGGTCTTGGTTAGATGAAAAAGCTAGTGTCACGAGCAGGATTCGAACCCAAGACCTTCGGCTCAATAAGCTGCTGCTTTAACCACTTGATTAGCTGTGTCATCACTGTTTGATAGCTCAAGTGGTTAGAGCAGCAAATTGAGTCGTGGGGTCTTGGGTTCGAATCCTGCTCATGTCACTAGCTTTTTCATCTTAACCAAAACCTTATATAAAGAGTAAATTAATTAAAGTAATTAATTAGGTCAAATATGTCTACTAAATAAAATATGGTTTACTATCCCACTTGATACTACGGTTAATTTTTACGCATTTTTTAAATTTTTTACATACTTATGAGAAGGTCCGAATAATTTGAATTAACAGCTATTATCACTTGTTTTGTTTTTTTCCAATAGTGGTTAATTAACTTTTGATTTGTTCTAGATGATGTTACAACCAAGAGAAGTTGTATATATGTCCTTGCTCCTGAATCCGATCTTGAATCTGATTCAGGTACTGAAAGCATATTAAGCATCCAAGACAAGTCAACAGGTACAGATCAATTAGTACATTTTTATAAAGAACAATTTTTTCATAATCACATTTCACCTATCTCAGATATTGTTAAATCGCCCACCGACACCTGTTCGTCGTATTCTTGGACCAGCAGAAATAGTAGCGGGGCTTTTATTGATGTGGGGGTCGTGTCGTTGACAGAGTCGGACAGGGTTTACGATTGCATCCATATCAGAAACTCTTCCTCTACGTCTGAAGTGAGATTGTTTTCAAACCCCTTGATAGTTTGAGATGAATTTAATGGGATCTTTTTAGGATGCGAAACCTTTGGCAGCTGGAAGCCCAATAGTCGACCACAGGATTTCGAACAGTTCCGTGCAAACGATCGATGATGAGAGTTTGTCCGAGTTAGAGGAAAACGACAAGAAGTGGACTTTCAAATATTGTCTATGGTGCAAATTATTAAATAGCAATCCTTATTTCAGATATTGTCAAAAATGTTATCTGGTGAGTTCTTCTTTGCTTTAATGTTGGTTTTTGCATTTTTTTAGGTATTCTGCCAAAATAAAAGTAATGCTGGATGAAATGAGTGATTTTAAAATAATGAGGTTTGAAAAAAATATTAAGTTCAATACTATTTTTTTCAAAATGGATAGAAAATTGACGTGACAAAAAACGTTTATATAAACGTTTTGAATATTTAGGATTTTTTTTTATTGAAAAATACTTCACATAGGTCTGAAATTACAGAGGTAGCTTATTGAGTTTTAGTTAAATTGTTGTAATTAAGATAATTTAATAGGCTTGTTATTATTGTTGAAAATGGAGGAAGGTCATATTGGAAGGGCTTTTATGATCCCACTTTCTTTCTTTTTTTCTTGCTCTGAAGTGATTTAGGATAAGTACAATTACCTAAATACAAATGATTATTAATTATAAAAACCACCTTTAAAAAATTTTAAAAAAATATTCATGCATTAATCTAGATAATTTATTTTTACTTTACTTTGACTTGTTTTTTTAATTTTAGGTAATTCTTAGGTCAAATGTTACTCGGTACTGATGACTATTTCTGGTAGGTGTCTGAAGGAATTTTATTTAGTTATGACCTGATGGTGGCATGGTTTGGATGAAGGGGTCAGAAAATACCAGGGGCTATAGTAGGAATCAAACGCAAGACCGTTGGGTAGTGAGCGGCTGTCTCTTTCTCACCTGATGGTGGTGTTACAATGACAAAGCAGCTCTGCAATAAATCTCCAACATACATATTTGCCCAACAAAAGTTTCTTTCTTGTCAGGGAATGCACTGGGCATGTTAAAATTTAATGTTATATGGTCTCAATAGTTGATTTAATTATATTTAAAACGTGTGGTGATTAGTGTAAATGTTTATCGTGCCAACGTTTCGATCTTTATTGAGATCATCTTCAGGGCTCAAAGTGTTTTGCCTTCTTTGTAATTGTGCCACTCTCAACACGACATGCAAGAATGGCACAATTACGCACGATAAAGAAAATGTTTTTCTGAAATCTACATCACACCAGATCGCATCTCACGATTTCTGAATAATTATATTTAAAACCATAACTTTCAAAATCAGAGATAGATGTTTATATTCATTAACCTTTTAAATAATTAAGTTAAATTATGAAGTGGTCGGAATATGGAAGGAATTCCTCTTTCTAATTATTATAATTTATGAATTTTAAATTATCTAATTCATTATTTATGTAATTGCATGATTTTTTTATGTACTGAAAATTTTATATTTCCTTTAAATTGAATATATACTATACTGAAAAAATTTCTACAAAAAATAAATTATTCATATATTAGTAGGGTGACATCGACAGTTTTGGAAGAAATTAATTGCATATTTGAAGGGTTTTTAGTGCATAAAAATGCCATATTTGAGAAGTTTCAGTCCGAGCTCTAGTTGTAAGAACTTAACAATTTGATGCGAGCGAAAGCACAGGGAAATGTTTGCACATGTCTCTGACGATGTCCGTAGTAAAATCTTTTTTTTTATGACATTCACAAACTTACCTGAGTTGCAGCGGTACTTGGCAGTTTGAGTGTAGATTTGTAGCGGGTTAGAATGCCCAAACTCAACTGCACACGCACCTGACAGTTTGCTGATGGTTTTGAAGTATGATGGAACAAACGTATATAATACATTTTTTTATTTTTTTATTAGATTTATTTATTAAAACTGGTCTTATTAGACCAACCATTAATTTTACAATAATATTATAGAATAAATAAATGTTTACACTCTTATAAACCCATTGGTACAATTAAGGTGGCCATTCACGATCGCTCCTAGCAGTCCAAACAGAGCAACACCGTTCCAAGAACCATGTCAATGGCAAAACTGAACTGGCGTGCCCGGCTGTGCCGAATATTCGACCGGTCCAAACTCCATCACACCACTCCGAATAGTAGTTAATTATTCTCTTGTGGATCACAGAAATAGGTTTAAAACTGAAAGAAAGAATTTAAAAGAAAATAGAACGTGTTCAAATGATGTATAATGATGCATAACTGCTTTTTGGAAAAAAAAAAACAAAGAAAAATAAGCAAAAGATATATCTTTTGCTTATTTTTTTTTTTAATCTTCCGCTTGTGTCCAAATTGTCCTTTTGAAAGCTCGGTCCGATCTGGGTCTTCTCTCCTACTCCCCTCCATCCTTTTGTTACGAATCCTACCAGCTGGCAGGTATTTTCAGATTTTATGGTCATACAATAAATTATCACTTTAAGAGCATTAGATGAATATTGCCAAGTAATGACAACAAATTGGGCAATGTTGCAATGCAGTTTGCTACCATTACTAGGCAAAAATCTTGAAAACTCCTATCCCATCCTTAAAATTCGGGTGAAGACATCACTACCATTCAAAGGGCCACAGGGTGGGGAAATCATCAGCAGGCTTGGGTGTTTTCTTAGACGTGAGGCAAACCTTCGACCGGGCTTGCTCTGAAAACATCATCAAGGTCATTCTTCCATCCACTTGTCCTAAAATCCTATTTGTCTGATAGTTACTTCCAAGTATGAATTGGAACATCTCCCCCATCAACTATGCAGCTGTGGGTGTTCTGCAAGGCACCATCCTTTGTCCCATTTTTTATTCAGTACACACATGCAAACATTGATCCTGATACAGTACTCGTTAGATATGCAGGCGTTACTGCCATCCTTTCAACAAACTCAAAGCTAATTCATAAATCTCCTGTTTGGAAGAATTGTTCAAGAAATGGAGGTTCAGACTCAATGAAATCAAACCCCAGCGAATAACCTACACCCTTCACTGTATCACCTCAATAAACTACTCTGAGTACTACTTGACAAATTCTTTCTACAAGCAAACACCTCTTTAACACTACTACAACCAATCTAGACATAATTGTACTCTGGGATTCAACTAAGCATTGACAAAACTTGTACTTTCTCTATGAATTGTTTATACCTCGTGACCATACGTGATGATCGGTGTTGGTCTGCCTATTTGCGAAGACCACAAATGTACCCAAACCCAATAAGTAACTCACTGTCGATTCAACATGAGTTTTCTTGACTATAATAATTTTAGTTTTAATAGATGGCCTGAAACAGAAATATTTTTAGTTGGAGTATTTTGGGCAATTAAAAATAATCCTAACATATTTTAATTTGTTATTAATATGTGATTTTGTTTTATAGTTAAGAAAAAGTTACCTTCCGATGAGGCCGTGTCGAAAAAGACGTCAGACGAGAGTGGACTTGTTAAGTGATTCGTGTAAGTTAGACTCAGCTGACAGTGGCATTGCTTTATCACAAAGCCAGTCTTTTCACAACGATACCGACGAGATGAAAATCGATCCTACTGGCGAGTTGTGCCAGATCTGTCTCGTCAGGAGGAAAGACGGTGGGTTCTGTCACGGCAATATAATCCATGTGTATTCATGTTACAAATGTTCAGTGAGAGCGTACAAGCAGAGTGGGCGTTGCCCCGTTTGCAATATAAGGACTAGACAGATATTTAAAGTAGTATCTGTTTAACGATAATCCCTTTTCTAGGCAAAAATTATTTATAACAAAATCTAATTTATTTATTTTTTTCTTATAATAACAAAAGTCGAGTTTTGTTACGACGGCTTTGACAGAGTCATGTTAAAGAAAACAAATGATCTTTTGACATTGGTATGTCGATTGTTACATAGCAGATTGGCATACTTAAATTATTTATGTACATATTGTATTTATTATTTGGACGTTAAAGATCATCTTGGTCTGCCTAACGTTGCTGTTATATATTTTTATGTTATGTAAGAGGTCTAAAGTTTTGGACGCACTTAGTTACCATTTATTTCTAAGTCAGTATATTTTTTTATTTTTGTAAATAATAAAAACCTTTAAAAGGAATGTCACTTATTTTTTTTCAACAACCCTTGTTTAAGCAGCTTTATTTTAATGTGTAAATTCATTTATTTTACAGCTCTTAATCATTGTGAGCCTGTCTGCTGGCCTGTATCGATACCCAAGGCTAAATTAATTTATTAATTAATCAGATTGGCGCATTAGTCAAGAAAGTTGTTGTCAACTGCAGCCAAGGTTTAAAGGAACTCAAAACAATCAAGATCATCAATAGTAGATTGAACAAGAACAGCGATAGAACCTGTTCAAGAAGTTTTCAAATAATTAGAAAGAAACTTGAGCTACATGGATGGAAATGTAATACTAAAAACTCACTTTCTGACTAATAACTAACTCCATGACCTTGTTAAAGATAGTCGTAAAAAGGGTTAGTATAAATTTTGAGCCATATTCCAAATTGTATATAATCTTGTGGGCTTATTTATGGAAACAAAATTGCATTGAGGGCCCAGGGTCCTTAAAACAAATTTCAGATTATTCCCTGGGGAAATCAATTACTTTATTTATAACTTCCCATTACTTGTTACAGTGTGCCATCTAGTATGGAGAAAATATAGGGCCTACCCTATACCAAGCGTATTAAAACTTAAATCGAACTGTAAAATCTTAATTCTATAAGGGATAAGAAATTTTCCAATATTCATGATTCAAGATATTTTAGTGAAATTTTCTCTTGAGGCCTGCTGAGTGATGAACCTGTGGTTTGGCGTTAAATATAATTAATAATTTAATTATTTTTATTTAATTAATAATTATTATTTTGGTCTGTCAAACAGATTTCAGCTCGGTCTCTTGACTGTCTAAAACTGTGAAAGGCAAATGAAAATGATAGGAAATGACAAACTGTAAAAAGTATTGAAATAAAACTTCAGGATTAGTCTAACAAAAGAAAATGAAAATTAGAAATTAAAACTGTCAAGAACCACTCTGCAAGTTGGTAACATCTATTACAAAAGAAATTATAGAGGGAGAAGTAAATCAGCGCAAATTATGAGGGTTTTTATTTTTTTTTTATGCAGGGTTTTTTAATGCATAAATATTGCATGTTTAATGTTTTATAGTGCAAAACTGCAAATTATACGACATATTTGAGGGGTTTTTTAATGCATATTATATGACATCCTTAATGTTTTATTAGTGCACATTTATATGGTGGAGTTAACAAACCGCTGACAGGGCAGTACCAGAGACATTTTAGAACAAAAGATACGTAGGGAAAGTAATCAACAATCCTGTGCCTTTAAAAGTTATGAACAAAAAGAAAATTCAGAATCCATAAAACAGAAAAAATTCAAATTGTGAGAGAACCTAATGGCAAAAAAAAGTTTGTAACATCTATAATATTCTTAAAAAAAATTTGCATCAGGAAATATTGAGAATGAAATTCATTCATTGAAAAATAAAATTCATAGTGAATTTTGGAGTATAAGGTGTATGGAAAGAACAGAACTGAGAATTTTTAAAGGGCACAGATGGTGAAAAAGAATGTGAGAATATCGCCTCATTTGACTCATTACAAGCCCTCTGATTTTGTTCATTAATTTAAATTAATTATTCTTTTTATCTAAGGTCTTGGTTGAGATAAAATGAGTATCACGAGTGGGATTCGAACCAATGACCTTTGCATCAATACACCGCTGCTCTAACCACTTAAGCATTGTGACTTTAATCCACTCAGACACCAACTCACTCAACCTACAACCTTTCGAAGGTGGGTTCAAATCCCACTTTTGTTACTAACTTTTTCTTCTCAACCAGAGTATATAGCAACTTAATTTGCGGTATTGCATATTTGCAAATATGAGTTATTTAACCACAGCAGAACAGTTTATTACTTCTTCTGTATATTTAATTGTAAACATGTATATATTTAATATTTTATTGATTTACTGTTAATAAAGACGTTTTCCACAAAAAAGAAGTTTATTTAACAAGAGTTAAAAGTGGAATTTAGCATTCATTGCACAACTCTATGATTTGGATAGAGTATAATCAAATAATTTAATAAACAACTTTGTCAGTTATTGCATTTTGTTGTGAAATTTTTCCTGCATTATCAAGTTCATATTTATTTATTGATTAGGGGTAGTTTATGTATTTATTTTCTGTGGTATAAATTTTTGTTGCAAATATTGAAAGTGACATACATTTGCTGTTATCAGCAGTGTCTTATAACAGCGAAAAACTTAACCTTTGGCCAGACATGTAAGGTTTTATTTAACGATAGAAAGTAAGGAAAGTTTTGTTGTTATTTTTGTGAACTTGATTGTCTTCACATTTCACATTTATCATTTCATTTTCTTTTTCTTTTTCCCCTCCTTCGTCAATTGACTTAGCCGCAAATATGAGAAAAGTGCCAGAATTGCAGCGCGACTGAGTCATTATGTAATTAAATTAAATATGAAAGACATGATATCGATTTGAATGGAGATTTTCCTTCAAAATTTGGTTCAAACTCCCTTTCGAATGTTTTCCCAATATTTTCTATAAGCCATATTAAAATATGAACAAGCTGAATGCCACTCTTAGGTTCAAAAGTTTGGAAACTTTAGACCAGAAAGCCCAACTCCGCTACATAAAACCGAAGAAGCTACAAGAGTAAGTATTAGATTTAACGATTAACTTAAACTTTTGGACTATTTTGTTAAATTGTAACTTCTTTTGGTCGCAGTCTAATAATTAATATGGAAAACCTGTACGACAGGATTCAACACCTGTCAAAATCCAACAATAAAGATATAGAAGTTGAGTATATCTACTTGTCGCGTTACTTTACAATGTTGAAAATGGCTCAAGAATCTCCCGATTTCAAGAAAAAGAGTTACCCGATGGAGTTCATAAAGGCGAAAGAACTCTATAATCGTTTAGCAGACGTAACAGACCAATTAAAAAAATGGTAAGTTGTCAGGGCACAACATTTTTTCGGATTGTTATACCAAATTTTTCATTGTGGTCATTCGGTTTATATTTGATTACTTTAGGTATAGCAATAACGGTGCAAAGACCTTGGAAAACAGCACTCCAAACGTTACCAAAACTCAGACAGCAGATCTTAACAAAAACAATCGGGTCGGCAACGCTGTCATTGAGAGGGAGAAAGATGTACAGAACGGAAATGCAGTTAGCAATGGTGTGCCACTTGTCAAAACTTATGTCATTTATCAACTTGTTTCTTGTTTAAATATATATATTTTACATTTTGTTTTAGAGAGAAGGGAGGAGAAAGAATTCATTGAGCCAAGTGAATTTTACACGCTGGTTAAAAATAATGCTGTCAAGCCTATTCTCATTTTGGATGTACGGTCAACGGATGACTTTAAGAGTTCCCAGATTATACCACCGGTACAAATAATTAACATCCCACCTGAGTTACTAAAAGCAGGGTAAATGCATCATTCTGAGCCATATAAATGTACATATTAATTACATACCTACATATTAATAATATATATGTAATAAAATATGTATATATGTAATTAATTACATATATTAATTACACATATATTTATTGATGTTATTAATTATTTGTTGAGAAAATTGAATTAGGTAAACTATTAAATGATATTCAATATCCATCATTAAATCCAACAACCAAACAAAATAGGAAAAACTGTATTTACCATTTAAGAACATTTCCATAGGTGAAAAACGTACATTTTTTAAAGTTATTCAGATATCGTGAGATGCAGTCGGGTACACCCCTCTGGGTCTCACGATATCTGAATCGATTAACGGTCACTAATCTCTACACATATTTTTTAAATTTCAAGTTGTCGAAAAAACAAAAAACTCAACAATTGAAGTTTTCACTCTCTCTTTTTTTCTCCAAGTAAATTTAACATTCACTTGCCATGAATGGTGAAACAACAATATAACATAGTAAAATTAATTTATGTATTATACAGTCGCAACACTCCTAAGTGTTGACACAGCAATTAATCACTGGAAGGTCCTGGGTTTGAATCCCAGTGTTTCGAAGCATTGGGTTTTAAAATGAGTCTATAGCATTCCTCAATTATTTGATGTTATCTCTTTTGTGTTTTGAAGCAATGTTTATATAATCAGTATTACACACTCTGAAAAGGGATTAGTTACAGTGTTTTAGAGGACTATGGTTTGCCAATTGGTTAGAGTGCAGACTTTCAGCTGATAGACCCCATTGTGGGTTCATTTCCCACCGTCACCCCTGCAATTTTTGACCCATTTACTCCCCCCCCAAAAAAAAATATATTAAAAAAATAATTGAAATATTTTAATTAATTATATGCTTTCTCTCTTGGTTGAGATGAAAAAGCTAGTGTTGTGAGTGGGATTCGAACCCATGACCTTTGACTCAATATACACCGCAGCTCTAACTACTTGAGCTAGTGTGATGCTCAATCTCAACAATCTAAGTAGTTAGAGCAGTGGCGTATTGAGCGGAAGGTTGTGGGTTTGAATCCTGCTCGTAACACTTGCTTTTTCAAGTATAATTAATTAAAATAATTAATACAGTCAATTATGACTACTACAATAAATACATGTAAGGATTTTTTTTTTAAATTGTTGAGATCTTATATTTTTACAAGGTATTTTGTCTATTCAAAATGGAGGAAAAATAGTGAATTTTTGTCATTTAATAGTTTTTTTTAATTGCTGCAAAGAAACTACTACAAGGAAAACATGTGATTGAAAGTAAAGAAAGCACTGTCCGTAAGTAGTTTGTTAGGTTCAGAAGAGGAAATTTGGTTTGGAAGACAATGCGCTCAGGTTGTCATGCAGCCGTTGACCAAATTCAAGCTTTTTCACAAATAACGTGCACTGAACAATACAAGACATCACAAAGACAATTATGATAAATGTTTTAATGCATCTGAGAGCAGCTGGATATTTTTGTCAGAGCGATATATAGGTTTCTCATAGAGAATAATTTATTAGGCCGCATCTCCATGTGTAATTACCTCATCAAACGGTATCTAAATGACCCATTTTGGGGGCATCACTGGTCGTAACGGTTTAGGCACTGACATGGCACTCATCACTCTAACAGAAAGGTACAAATGGGCTTTTTTCCTTCAAAAACTAGCACCCTCACTCATAGTTGAAATACCCTCATTAAAAAAAAGACCCATTTTAAAAAATATTGATAACTGGGCATGTAAGTTCTATCCAGGAAATAATGTCCAGAGAGGAAAATCCTCGTGAAAATGCAAAGGCTGTAATTAACAACACCAAAGCTGGATTATATCCCAAGAAGGCAAAGTTTTACATAGGAAGGGGTATTTTATTATGACTTTATGAGTTTGTTGTGTCAAACCAAACCTTAATTCTAATGTAGATTGTACACATTAAATTCAGTAATTGTCCCAAAACTGCTTTGGCTACTGGGATCGTTTTCTAACAGAATAACACTTGCTCCACTAGTGTTTGCACATATTCCAGAAATTTTTATAGCTTGGCTGTGCTACCCTACTCACCACATTCATCGGATAACTCTGAAAAATTACTTAACTTGTGGACTACAGAAAACTCACTGTGGTGGAGTTCATCACTCAAAACCCTGACAAGATCTGGGATGACATAATTACAAAATGACATGGAAGATGGCAACAGATAACAGAACAAAATGGTTCATGTTTTGGTGATAAATTTGTTTACAAAGACAACAAATTTTCATTGAATTTACCATCAAAAACCCTACAGGCTTATTTCTCCACCCCAACACTTTCAAATAAGCTCATTCAGGAGAGCCACAGGATCATATAAAAAGAAAATGAATAAATAAAAATAACATCAATCAAAGGAAAAAGCCTATTTTGCTTTCCTTCCAGTCTGTAGACAGTTGTTTAATTAGCAAGCATGTTCTCTGTGGCACAAAAACACTTATTTCATAAACTGGGCTAACCACAGATTTTTCTTTTACATTATTAGTACAATTCTCAAAGTATAGAAATTGTAATACACAATTATTTTATTTGTTATTAGCAAAAAATAACTTCTTGAGACATATATTAGATAATTTTTGAGTTTCACTTAAAAATATAATGAAAGCATTATTTAATTTAACAGGTTCAGTGGGTCCCTGAGTGGGATATAAATACTCCTATGTTTTGACTGGAATTAAACTATATTGTTAAAAAAAATAGGATTTATTTGCTCAACTTATAAGTATAATTTATTGTAGTTTGTCTGCCGCAAAGCTGCGTGACAAATTGAAACAACACGACAGGTTGGTCTGGGATAAGAGGTCAGAAATTGAAAGGATAATTATTTTGGACTGGAAAAGCACTAGCACAAAACAGCAGAACGAGCTGAAGCTCATGAGGGATATAATTTTAAAAGTAAGCTTCTGTAAACTTATCTCAAGTCAGCCATATACTCAGTTTATTTTGTTTTAAATTTTATTTAAAAAATAATATAATTTACGAACACAAGCTGCTGCTAGATAAATAGTCAGAATTTTATTTTTAGTGGGATCCTTCAACATCGTATAAATGCAAGCCAGTTTTTGTCAATGGTGGCTATGAAGAAATTTTGTCAATGTACCCAATGATAACTACAAGACCTAAAGTGAATCCACCCAGAAACCCTAGTCCTGAATTGTTCAGTTCTTGTAAGTGACCAATTAATTTATTGCTTTTACCCTTCTAATTTAACATTATATTGCAGTACATTCCTTGAATTATCCTGATATCGACATGAGCATCGAACAAAATAAACGAGTCAAACAGATGGAGGCAAAATCTTTCGATAGATTATTGAAGGTTGATTTTTTTTTAAATTTAAATCCATTGTCATGTTTTAAAGTAAATTTTGTATTTTAGCCGAAAGTGCATTCAGAACTGAGCTTGAATAATTCAGTTATAACCCCAGCGGCATCTCAAGTGCAGTCACCAACTATTTCTGAAGACAAGTCAAATGATAGCGATTCAAATGTGACGATTCCAGATTCCTCATCTGAGGAAGGAGAACCTATACCTGTAAATTTTAATCATTAAAACAATTCATAATATTAAATTAGGAAATTATTTAATGTTGTTTCATTTCAGGTCCAAGACATTGAAGAGTCAACCAGTAAAGAACAGTTTGATTTAAGTGAAATGAGGAAGAAAAAACCTGCTTTCCAACCATCCAAGTAGAAATTAGTTTTATATACTCAACATTCACAAATTTTAGTTTCGATTTTTTTTCCAGAACACAAATTAATAGCTCATCTGACCTCATATTCTCAAAATCAAGAAATGGAAGTTCACAAGATATGTTTTCCAAAACGTCGACTCCTTCTTTAGACCATTCCAAGTAAGTATTTTATATATACTTCGCCATTTGTTTTTCTATGATTGATCAAATAATGATTTATTTCTTTATTTTCAACTTTTCAACTTGGCCGGTTGCATATCTTTGAAATCCCTTGTATAATTTCAGTTTTGTTATCCAAAATGATGGATGAGTCATACAAATAATATAGACCTGTGTCACCTGTTTATCTTTTAGTATATTACAGTTTTCTAAAATAAATATATATAAAAACAAATAGTCCACCGACCAAAAGCAACGCAGGATTGACTTTTGACGTAAACGATTCAGTGTAGTGAATGATGTTGCACCTAATAGTCAAATTAACAATTAAATCAATTAAAGACAACGATTATGTCACAAAGACGAATTTCATGCTCCCTTGGTAAGTTGAAAGGGGTTCTGAATTGTAAGGTTAAGTTAACAAGTTGACATTTCAATCCAGTGGAAAATGGTTTCATTAGGCTGGGGTTCCATGACCAACTTTTTTTTGTGTCTGATTGTTGATGAAATTTTAGATAAAATTCATTCAGATTGATTTACAGGTAACAAACCATCAACTTGTAACTTTATTAAGTCAAAATAAGAATATCTTCTCTAGTAATGAATATGCTGTATTTAAAAAGAAAGAAATCTAAAATAGAGAAAATTGTAAGAAGGGGCTAAGTAATTAAAGATTTAAAACAATTTTTTGGTATTAGGCATGAAACCTTCAAAGAATGGTTACCTAGACAACAATTAATTATTTGAATATTTTAGAAATTTCTCATCTATAAACATTTTTTCAAATACTTAAGGTTCACTGGGTACTGTCTTCCTTTCTTCCACTGTGACCTAAAAGATCTGTTGGTTTCAATAATTAATTATTTGAATATTTTGGATATTTCTCATCTTATAAACATTTTTTCAAATACTTCAGGTTCACTGGGTACTTACTGTCTTCCTTTCTTCCACCGTGACCTAAAAGATCTGTTGGTTTCAATAGTTAATTATTTGAATATTTTGGATATTTCTCATCAGATAAACATTTTTTTCAAATACTTCAGGTTCACTGGATACTGTCTTCCTTTCTTCCACCGTGACCTAAAAGATCTGTTGGTTTAGAATTGACCCTTTTTTATTTATAAAACCCAAAGAGGGCACGGCGGTAGTTTAACTCTTCTGGGAGTTCCTCTTCACTTATTTCTTTAGGCGTTAATATTGCCTTTCTGAAGAGGCCGTACCATTTCTATGCTAATGCTTTACAATCATAAAAATAGACATGCTCTAATGTTTCTGCCTCTTCATGACAAATTAGACAAATTTCTGTTTTTATTTATTTTATTTTACTTTATTTATTTATTTTTATTTATTTATTTTTTTGGTAATTGAATTGGCAATGACCAATATAATTATTTTCCGTAATTCTTTCTGCTGAGAGAGTGGTAAATTACTGTTTCCTGGTTGAAATGTTAAGTACTTTTTTGATTGTTTTGCACCGGGTGATTTCATCCAGTGTGTGATCATTTCTTTTTATGTTGGCGGCACTTTTCATGTTCTTCATCTATTTGTTCCGCTTTCAGCATGCTTTGTGATATGCCAATATGCAGGTCTGGTCCAAAGGGTGTGAGGGCTGTTCATGTTTTGGTTAGTTTTGTCAGCCTTTTGTTGCTTTCACTCCCCTCATGTCCTGATACTGACATCATCTTGGAATATTGATGGTGTGGGGCCTAGAGGTTTCATTAGGTCGTCAAAATTTGGGCCCTTGCTTCCTGACTCCACACCATGTTCCATTTTAGGGACCTGTATACCATAATAGGCTTTTATTTATTTTTTAATATTTTTATTATTATTTTTTAAGGGGTTTTTAGTATTCCAAACATCTCTCGTTATTTTTATTAGACTGAGTCTGTCAAAAATTTGGTTTCGTTTTTCACTCATAAAACTTCAATGATTAATTGTTGTTAAACTGTTTGGCGCTGTATTTTAAAAAAAGTTGAAATATGTAACCATATTAGAAAACTTAATTTGTTTCTGTATTTTCAGGGATGCAGACAGTGACAGTGAAAGTAAGTTACTTGACTATTTGTAATTATAAATTAGAATTTTTGAAAAAATAAATTAATTTTAATTACATTGTTAGCGAATTATATTACACTCAAAGAAAATGGAACTTCAAGTGTGACCCCGTCATTCAACAGCAGAAGACTGCATAAAACGTCATCCTCCCCTAATATAAGCAAGGTAAATTAAGGTTATCAAATTTCTGTACACATTGCAAACATTCGTATATATGTTTTTAATTTGCAGCTTAATGATAATGAATTGATAATTCCAACGTTTTCAAGATCAAATAAGCCAGTTTCCAAATTCCCTGCGTACGGAGAAAGGGCTGATTCGACCTATGGTTCCTCCACTGTAAGTACATGAGACACTAGAATTGTTAGCAATACATAATATTGAAAGGGAATTAGCACTAATAGGATTACCATATATCACGTTTTTTTGTTGTTGTATGGATTTAACTGGTCCACGTGATTTTCAAGGTGGTTTATATAACACTTTCCTTATGCCTTTGGTTGCCTAAAATTTATTACACACCTTGTAAAACTTGATTTGTACTTCAGTCTATTTAACTGTAAACATTTTGACAGTTCAAGGAAATGCATATTGATTTTTGCCAAGTTATGAAAACTTAATTTATAAATGAAAATAAGTTATAACATCCTTTAAAGTAAGTAAACCAAAAATTTTAATTGTTATAAATGTCAGAATAATTGTTTGATGTACGTTTTATTCAAGTTCTACGTACAATGAAAGTATTTAAATCCAATTAGGAACCACCTGTCAAATGTTTTATAAATCCATTTAGGCTCGGCAAATGGAATTTCAATGTGATTGTGTTCGATATGGGTCTAACTGTAAAATGCCATCATCACTTTAACTTTTCATCCAACTATATTTCATTTTTTGGGAAGCTTCTCAAACGAGTGAGTAACTTAACATTTCCTTACCAAATAAATCTAAGTATTGGTCTAAAAAATAAAATTCTTGCTTAACGTGCTATCAGTAAACTCTAAATTATAGTTTGCACATAAAACTTGTGGAAATATCTATGAGGAGGATAATTTAGAATTATGTTTTCAAAACATCAATTATGGTTTATTTGGACTTATAACGTTGAAAATACAAGAAATCATTTTTGCTGGATTTTTTAATGACTGTGATTACCATATCAGCCATAGCAAGGTATTGTTGTGTATGATACGTATTTTTGTGGGACAGGCGAATCAAATCCCAGGGGTCTCCAAGCCAAGAGTCTAACATGCTACTCAGCTACCGCGGTTCTTGCTGGACTTGATATTAATAGTCATATATTAATAATTAACGTGGAGTTTGGCCTCCATGCTACTACTAAAATCTGTACAGATACAATTTAAAAATAGTTGAATTTTTTTAATTGCGTAAAAACAGTTGTCATTTTATGATGTGGGAGTAGAACACATGGTTTTCAAGTAATCATCAAATGAAGTGAGGTGGAATAGCTGTCAAAATTGACTTTTTATTCATTTTTTATAGTTTTATTTACATTTCAATGTTTTACAAATTACCGTGATCTTCATTTATTATTGAATTTCTAAACAAAAGTCTGCATAATGCATAGGCAAGAAAAATCTAAAAGCAGGCAAAGTAAGAAACAAAGGAATTATATTGATCCGAAGTCAAAAGAGTTGGAACGTCAACAAGAAATAAAATGTAAGGCTGAAAAAGAGATGTATGAGAAGAAGAAAAGAGATGAGATATTGCCACAAATAGACATTTTGTTTAAGAGGATAAAGCATAAAGTACAAAAGGGAAAAATAAAAAACAGAACTTTAAAAGAATGGTTGAGGTATATAAAGTGCAATAGACCTACTCCAGAATCAGCTTCCAATTTGCATCTCTGTTTTTATGAATGGGAAATCCTTTCAAAGAATTTTAAACTTGAAGATGTAATGCAGGAGTTTGAACAGCTAACATCCTTTTTCAACATTGTCACAGAAATCACTGAAGAGCCAGTAACATTGACTCAGATTATGGTGAAAAACATAAAATCCATTATACATGTATGGCAGTATACAATTTTAAAAGAAATAGATTTTGCATGTTATTTACTTATAAGGAATGTTGAATCGTCTTTCTCTAAAATAGACTATTATACAGGAGAATACACCTTTTGTTCAAAATTTGTAAATATCGGTATGTGGTCATTCTTTGAATGTCCGTTTCGATTAAATTTTAAAAAGAACCATCCACCAATTAAATTTGAAAATTGTGCTACTTCATTGGTCTTACCTAGAATACCTTATAACACTAAACCGATCGTTTTGCGCTGCATGCACATAGAATTAGATTTTTACAGTACTACAAGTAGGAGCAATGATCTTTTTGTCAAAACAGCAACGTTAAATTTAGTGTCAGAAGTAAAACGATGTTACGACATGGTCACTGCTATCACAAAAGAATTCCAGGAAGCTGAAGAATTCAAACAGCAATATGGAAAGCTTCAAAAAGAACAAGGCAATGCAGATAAAGTTACAAATGAAGTTTCATCATTATTTCTGCCATCGTTTTCATCACATAATTTAGTGGACTCGAGAAGATTATCTTATCTATCGTTGAACAGTCAGCATTCGTTGGATAAAAACTCAAAACCATCAATTGTAGAGGGTTTTGGAAATAGAAGTACAAAAGACAGCAGCAGTATTAACTCGAAACAGTCTTTTTTTCATAATCGACACCGAGGCACTGTAGAAAGTAATGAAAGTATCAATTTTTATCATCGTTTTACACAGACATCAGCTGTTTCTATAGATATGCATGTTTTATTTAATGAACAAAATGACATGTTTCTCGATGCCATGTATGATGAAGATGATGATAAAGAACTCATAGCTATTTTAAATGAAACAAATGATCCTGCAAGGAAGTCTGCAACATTCACCGATCTCTTCCTTCCTAAAGAAGAAAAGAACCAGCAAGTTAAATCGGATTTCAATTCTATTAAAGAAGTTTTAAATAGCACATTGTTAATAAAGAATGTAACTGATATAGATTATGAACAAAAGGTTAGCGTTCTCTCAAAAACAAAATCCCAGATATTTAATATGCGAGAAGAGGAGGCACATAATGATTTCATTGAATCACTGAAACAAGAATTAGATGATGATGAACTTAATTTGAGAGCTTATACTGTGTTAGGAGGTGTTTATTATATTGATATCTTGAAATGTGTTTTTCAACCGTTTCCACTAAAAGGAGGCAATTATGTTCAGGTTACTCAAGGTCATTTTGATATCACGAGAGAACCGTTGATGAGCAGGTATGTCGAACTATCGCCATTTAATATGGAACTTCATGAGATGTCTATTTTTGAAAATATGGAACAAGAGGAAGACATTGAAGAAGAAGAAGAATCTCAAGAAGAATATCGGGTTGAGGAAGATCCCAAAGATGATATGATTTCAGTCACTATACATTTGGAAAATGGTCTGTTTAAGCTGAATGACCCAATTCCAGTAATTTGGGATGAAGAAAGAAAAATTTGGTCTCGAAAACATCTTTTTCAGTGTCGATATTATAAAAATGAAAATGTAGTTCAATTTCAACTCAACAAACTTGCACCATTCGCCTTCGCACTTCCACGTTTCCACCAACTACCGTACAAAGACTGGTGTCTTACTCCTCATGAACAAAATTTAGTATCCCTACATCTTACATGTCAAGATTTTACAATTTTGTTCTTAATTGGTGAAGAGAAAGTGTCCTTGGAAAATGTAGAATTAAAAAATAACAGCAGATTCTTGGAGGAAATATACGGAGAACCTTATGAACCGGATGATCTCTTTTTTATCTTGAAAAATAATGGAATCAACATATTCCCTAGGACAGATACCTTCCTGTATGTGCCAGGATCTTCTTGTAAAAATCGATCTGTCGAAGACCATGTCTATCTCACCATGTCCTTATTCGTTCAAATTCTTGAATATTGTTCATCAGAATGGAATAGAGCTGTCGGCTGGAAAAATATCATCTTTCAGGGTCGTCAAGCAAATTCCGTTACTACCCATTACATGACGTTCAGATGCAACAATTTAAGAGCTGACTGGTTAACTTTGAAAGAAGGTACGAACGTTTACAAAGAAAAAGTACATAAATCAGTTGGATTTGTACCAGACATGTATTCATTGTTTAGCAGACTGTTTGGAAGAGAATTCAACCAAATTACAACAAATGCAGCACTTATTTCTACCGTTTACTATGTACTTTCACAGACCAGGGTTCTTTCTTATTCTGGTGATCCAAATAAACCTTTCATATAACAATAATTTCTTATTTCGCCTGCCAACATTAAAAATGACACCATTAAAAATAAACACTTTGAACATTAACTAACACAAAAAATGAACACGTATGTACATGTGTTTTGTTTAAACTAAAATTATTTCTACACATCTGGTTATTTTATTTGTATTACTTGGAAAAGTTCTTTAGTTTGTGTAGTCCAAAAGAAATATAATAAATTTAAACACAAAAATAAATAAATGCAAAAATGACCAGCTATTAACATTTTGTTGGTATTTCAATGAAAATGGAAACTTCTCACAAAATTTTTTATTTTGCAATTTTTATGCACTGAATTTCGTTATAAAACAAGAATTGAGTCCACTGCTTAAAAGCGATTCAAAAAGTTTAAAAAAAAGTTGCCCACCAAACACAGTGACATCTTTTGTTGGTGTATACTGTAAAACCCCTCTATAATGGACAGCTAAGAATTGTCCGTTGTGGAGAGGTGGGGTAACAAAACAGTAAATTTTATTAACCAAATGCACTCTCTATAATCAATATTGCCATATGTACATATAAGTATATTTATTATATATTTAAAATAAATATATTATATGTAAATATTTGAAATATGAAAAAAATTAATATAAAATAATTTTAAACATGTAAACATCTTGAAATATTATGTAAAAATTTATGTTTTAAAATATTGTGTAATTTTCATTTGATTTGCTTTTGAACTTTTTTCCTTTACAATAATTTCTTCTTGATTACATATTAGTTGTATTATTGTACTATAACTCTTTGACTTTCCCTTGCTAAAAACTAAATAAATAAATAATAATAAAATAATAATAATAAAAAAGACAAAAATAAGGCTTTTTAAAATTTTAATTCTCTGACTTTCTTGAGGGCCTCTTCTTCAGAGTACAAAGTAATTGTCAAAGTAAAAAAACAAGTCTTTTTTTGGAATGGAACAATTTCTTCAAGAGAATAGGTCTAGTAGGGGGAAAATTAAACAACTTTTTGGAAAAAAAAGAGAGAAAAAACTGTCCGTTATTTCATTAAAAACTGCATGTCCGCGTCTGATAGAGAGGTGTCCGTTGTAGAGGGTTTCAAAATACTAATTCACTACTTTCGTGGCCCGCTTGACCAATTAATACATGACAATTAATTAAGGTTTTTAGTTGAGATGAAAAAAAGTTAATGGCATGAGAGGGATTCGAACCCACGACCTTCGGCTAGATATGCCACTGCTCTACCACCTGAGCAATCGTGACCTCGATCCACTCGGACATCAACTCCCTATCTCAACCCCAAGTAGAGCAGCGGCGTATCTAGCCGAAGGTCGTGGGTTCGAATCCCTCTCATGCCATTAACTTTTTTCATCTCAACTAAAAACCTTAATTTCAAAATACATTGATTCTTACATCATTGAGTCTGGACCAGACAAAATTGTCCATCATGAGGGGTGTCCGTAAGAGGGGTTTCACTGTATTTGTTTTTCACGTCAATGGGACAGGATCATTCAGTGGTCAATGGTACGACTTACTGGTGTTACTGAATAGGATCCATTTTATACATTCAAAAAACATCTCTCTTTTTGCTGTGGAAGCAATGAAAGGCAAATGTTTAGACATTGAAAATTGTTACCGCCGGAGCTTTGTTTGCTCAGCTTCCACATTCCCAATTCGATGTACACCAGACCAAATGGATTCATTGATTACGTTGAGTTCCTGACACGTTGATTCAAATCAAGTTCTACAGTTTCCCTCAATCCGTCATCATTTAAAACAGAAGATCTTCCAGACAGACCTTGGTACATCTTCAATCTCTTCATTCCTAGAATCGAACTTTTTGAACCACTTTTGGGCAGTGTGCTCATTTATTGTTTCATCACCGAACCCAGTGCAAATTTTACAAGCTGCCCTGGTACTGTCCTAAAATTCATAGAATAAGTACGCACGTTTTATGGGTTTTGAAACCATGAGAAAGAAAATCTTTTTTAATTAACAGTGAAATGTTCAAGACACTGTTTCTTTATGAATTGATGCATCTTCTTAGCATTATGTGACATAAACACCTAACCCTTCTATGTAATTAGAAACCAGTATTAAAACAATATCAAATGAAAATCCACAAAAAAATTTCTGGTTACCTGGTAAAAAAAAAATTACAAATTTAATTTTGCAATCCCATATAATTTTTTAAAAATATTTTTACAGGCTGAGGGCCTAACAGGACTGAAAAACTTTGCCAACAACTGCTATATGAACTCAATAATCCAGTGTCTGAGTAACACTCAACCTCTTGTAGAGGCATTAATCGGGACCACTAAAGACAGTTTAGAAGTTGTATGCAATCCCAGGAGTCGGACCAAAGGGAAGATTGCTACCGAAGTAAAACAGGCGTTCAATCACATGTGGCGAGGTGGGATTCGAGTCTACTCCATCTCAGACCTTAAGGTATTTATTTTAATTTCATTGGTGGTATAACATCCAAAGAACTTATTAATTATTTATGTAATAAGCTTATCAATTAAACCTAAACAGTAGAAATCCTAGTTTGATGAAATAGATATCCATGTGTTTGGTTTTGTTATAATGAATTTATAAGCATAAAAGCCATAAAATCAATACATTTGTTTGTTGGGTATATCAAGTTAATCAATTTGTATAATTTAGTTTTTTTTAATATTTTAATCAGGAAGAGATGGGCAACGTTAAAGACATATTCAAAGGTTCTGCGCATCAGGACTCCAATGAATTTCTCATCATTCTTCTTGAACATCTTCATGAAGATTTAAAAATGGTAACTTTTGTCTTTTGACTAGATTACGGCATTTAGTTTCATGTTGTTTTGTCTGTTAGCCTTCAGTTCCTGGGAGTTTGGCAGGTGCCAAGGAAGAGACCGGTGAGAAAGCCTGGGGTGAGTTCAAACAGAAGAACTCCTCAATAATACAAAGGCTGTTTTATGGACAACACAAATCCACAGTGTCATGCGCCACGTGCGATTATACTTCTGTGACGTTCGAACAGTTCTTTAATCTTTTTGTACCCCTGCCGCCGAGGCCTGGAACAGTTTCCCTTATGGTAATGATTTCTTGATTTGTCATTAATATCAAAGTTTATTTAATGTGTTTTTTTAAGGAATGTATTCAACTGTATATGTCAGGAGAAAGAATAAGTGGTTGGAAATGTCCAAAGTGTAAGACGGAAAGGAACGCCACAAAAAAATTTGATATATCTATCCTGCCTAGGATTTTAGTTATAGCTCTTAAGAGGTCAGTAGTAGGTTTATGTAACCTCACACGTGCACGCGTGTGCTCACACACACACACACGTATATATAATAAATTGTACGGATTTTCAGGTTTACCCAAGATGATGATTCGTGGCTCCACAAAAAGGAAAACATTGTTTCATACCCGCTCACAAATATGGACATGTCTCGTTTTGTGGTGCCCGGATCAGAACAGAGGTTTTATAAATATGACCTGTACGCCATGTCCATTCATTCTGGAACACTGAAATCTGGACATTACCGCGCCATATGTAAAAATCACCATACTAACAGGTGGTTTATTTTTTTGCAAGATTTATTTTGTGTAAAATATAAATAAATAGAAACTAACAAACTGTATTTTCAGATGGTACATGTTTGATGATCAGTCTATAGAACCCCTTCCAGAAGTAGCGGTGGAAAATAATCCTGAGGTCTACATTTTATTTTATAAGGCTGTTAAAGAAGATTAGTTTTCTGGTAGTTTTACCACAACCAAAAAAACCAAAACTCATGTTTTTGTAAATAATGCAATATTCTTGTACATTTGTATAGTGCTTGAATTTACCCGTTGACTGCGCCATCGTCTCTCACAAAAATCGGTCCTAGTGCTTGAAATGTATCTGTATTGATTTTTCAGATTGAATTTCATTAAATTCTGCTTCATTTGGTATGTTTATACTTCCAAAATAACTATTTGCAGTAAATTAAATTTAAATTTACCTGCTCAGTTGCACGTAGGGCTTGTCGCCTGGTGCGATGCACAGTCAATGTGTTAAATTATAATACAAGCAGGACTATCCAAAAAAAAAAATATATATATAAAGAATTTGAAAAATTAGACTTTGTTTGAATTAAATTGCACTGAACATAAATTGTTTTTACCATAACATTCCATTAACAAACAAAATTTACTGATTCATATTTCAGACTAATTGTTGTACATTTGTTGATTTTTAAATGCGTTGTTGACTTTTCAAATATTTTTGTAAGTTTTCTTCTACACTTTGTTATGTTTTTACTGGTACAGCTCACTACATTAACTTTTTATTGGTTCTAAAAATAATAAATAAAATAAGGTAATACACAAATGACATTAAGTAAATGAAATCTTTTAAAATGAATTTACATATTTTATCAATCTTGATTGATCATTTTACTTGATTTCATGCTTTAATATGAGTTAATTTTTTTTTTTTTTTCAATTTACAAATAATGCATCTTGCTTTTAAAGACATAAAGACTTAAATAAGGAAACACAGACAAGAGAAAATATTTTAATATTAGTTCCTGTCTGTGGACAAAAGAAAATGAAATTTCTAAACTGTGACCAAATTCTTTTCTGTCACTCGGGAAGAAGATTTAGTAGGTTTAGTTAGTATTTAACAAGTATAACATTTTCAAAAATGAAATTTGGTCATTTCCCAATCATTTTGGTCTGCCTATCCACATTGGGATGGATGGTCTGTCAGATAAATTTTATGAGCTATATGATATGATGGAAGCAATGAACAATTAAATAATGTTTATTTTATATTAGGTATATTGTTATCAAATAGAATACATCTTATTAAAAAAAATTCTAAAGAGCAAATTATATTTATTTTTTCAAGTTTGTTTATTGCATTGTTTGCCTTATTTTCGTCTTTTTATATTTTCAGCATAATCGATACAATAATTTACTGTTTTATTATTATGTCATTGTATTTCATCTTCGTATTAAACATGCAGTAATCCTTTCCATCAATATTGATCCCCTTGCAGCCTCCATCTTTAGTGATGATCATTTTGGACTAATTCTGATTGAATTTCACCTTATTAAGTGACTGAACCAAATGAACAGTGCTATTTTAAAAGTTTTGAAATAATTATTGCCTTATTATCTTTACTACCTTCATCATCATTTAGTCAGTTTGTTTTATGATTTCAGAAGTTCTGTTACACCGCAACCTTTAAGAGCTGTTCTATCCTGTTTTATTCATATAATACACCAGTGAATCCAAATTCTACTCTATAAAGTTTAAGTTGGGCTTGCATTGTCTTGCATAAAAATAAAACCATCGCAATTCATGGCATATAAGGAACTTCTGATAACACGTCTTCAACATATTGCACTTGTTAGGGAAACCCTCGATGAAGATCAACTTTGTGCGACCTTTGTTATAGCCTGCCCAAACCAACATAGCTAACAACACCACCACCTACATAGCTTTTCCGGAGTGAAAATGTTGCAGGGATAATATCGCTCTCTTTTTTCTCCAAACCCCCTCTCGGCCATCAGAAGATCTCAAACAAAACCTTGACTCATCCGAAAACAATATTTTAGTCCAATCTTGTTCAGAACAATTGATGTGATTTCTTACGAAACTTAATTGAGCTGTTCTGTGCCTTGTCAAAAGTTCTCGACCAGTGGCAGGCATATAATCCGGCTAATGAAAGTCTTCACCTTGCAGTGCATAAACTGACATTTCTAATTTGTTGAACTAGTTGCTTGATCTCAACAATAAAATGATCTACCCTCTGAGATGTGACATGATGTCGACCTGATCCATGTCTTCTTGAGTGACCTACAGGATCTTGGAAGCGATGGAAAACCACTCTTCTGACAATTGTTCTGGGAATGTTAAGCACCCAGGCCACATACACTTGACTTCTTCCATCTTCCAATAAGCCGAATCTGTATCACTTAGAGCCATCTCTCAAATAAATTTGAAACTTAAAAATGGTATAATTAAAAAATTTAAAAAATCAAACCATTGGAACGTTAGAAAAAAGCTTTAAAAACAAAGAATAGATTGACTATTCAAAGAATTATGAAATTCCATTGTAAACACAAGATGGAGATTTTATCTGTTTTATTTATCTCTTTTCCTTTAGGCAATACAAATGATAATAATTGTTAATAATAATAAATTCATAATCGTTTGCAAGAAGTTGGCCTCACATCATATGGTCCTTTGAGACGACCTGTAGTAACAGCCTGCCATCAGCAACTCAAGAGAATATGATGCAGCAGGTGCTTAGAAGATAACAACCTATAGAAATGATGTTACGTTTACTGATGTCTCTGAAGAGTCTACCGAGAACAGGGGATGTGCACAATGCCCCAGTTTGTGCTCCTTTCAGTGCAGTTTGGAGGAGGCGGTGTAATGGTCTGGGCAGGGATTCACACTGGAGAACGAACTGGACTCCATATTGTTGGAGGCAACCTCAACACAGTTTGTTATGGCCAAGAAATTGTCGGGGAATATATCACTACATCCCTCAAACCAAGGATCTCATTGACAGGGATTTTCAATTTCTAGATGACGATGATAGACCTCATAGAGGCAGAGTTGTTCATCAGTGTTTAGAAAACCTGGGCATTTCCCATCTTCCCCGTACCTCATTGTCTCCAGACCTCCATTGAGCACATGTGGGATACTTTGCAGAGAAGGGTTTTCAACAACTGAGGGCAACAATCCAACATCTATGAAGTGAAATTCTTTATGAAAATACAGACATTCTTAATAGTATGCCTAAACAGGTTTTAGCTAACAGAGAAAAAAAAATATTGTGTCCCAAAAACAAAATTATGGAATTAAAACTTTTTACTTTATTTTTCTAAAATCCCTTAATTAAATTTTCTTTCAGTAAAAAACCAATAATTTCTAATAAATTTTAATGCAATTTATAATAAAAATAAAATAAAAATGTTAGGGAAAGTAAATACTACAAAACTGGCAATAGGGGAAATTGTTTTTTTTTATTGTATATAATAAGTCTTATGTGTTGTATCTATATGTTTTGTCTGAGTGCATGTATTTATTAGCGTGAATGGCGAGGGGTGAGGGTGAAATATAAAGTCATCATCACCCATCAAACGTTGAGAGCGTATGAGTGTGTGTGTGTGTTCGGGGTCGATGGCAGAATATTTATAATAGTACTCCATCGACCCCAATCTAGATTAGTTTGAGTATAGGTCAGTGGAGGATTATCAAGTACTCCACCGACCAAACAGAATGAGTGTACTGTATGGATGTATTTATGTGTATGAATGTATTTATTTGTATGAATGTAGTGTTTGAAAGGGTAAATAGATTATAGACAGTTGAGGGGGGGGAAGCAATAACCCTATTCATTTTTGAGCATTTTAGTATTTATTTTGAGTTAAATTATCTTTCATTATTTATATAACAATAAAATGTTTTTAATATAAATTATTTAACTTGCACTTTTGTATGTGTATGTTGCATATTTTCATACTAAACTTTATATTATTTCTAATTAAAATTTTTACTGAATATAATAAATAACAATATAACTGAATATGCACAAAATAATCTTATTTGTACTTACTAAATCAACATTTTTATATAATTGTTTTCTACTATTATTTTATAATATTTTAAAATGTTATATTATTTTACAATGACAATTTAAAAATTTTTAATAACGTCTAATGTGATCTTTTTTAGGTATATTTTTATATGAAACATTCTTTTAAGCTGTTTTCTTACTTTAAATATTGTTGAATACTTAAGTAATTTTTCCTTTCTTTTCTTAGTTTTGCTTTATTATATATTATTGTTTTATATTATTATTAATTGTTCTTAGTATACTGTGGTCTAAGAGTAAGGGCATCGATCGTACGAATGATAAAATATAAGTAAAATGTTTCAAATAGGGAAAAAAGTGAATTGTAAGTTAAAACGATGCGCTTGATGATGTGGCCATCATCATTCATCAAGAATCATTAGGTGCAGGTTTGCGCCGTGGGGAAAGCGGCTGCTTAGGTTTGCCAGCCTGGCGGCAGCCCAGTCGAGTAGCACCTGTGAAATCTCCTTAGCTCTTTGGGAGAGAGTGCCGTGAAGTGAAGTATGCGTGCAGGTGAAGTGTAATGGCCTTGTCGGAGATTCGCGTAGGCAACGTTCTCGGCACAAACAAAATCGACTTTAAACAGGTAAAGAAAGACTGAAAATTTTCCTCCCAAATTCGTGCAGTTGTGAGATTTCGCGACATCCCTCTCGAAACTCGACTGTTAACCTAATCCCTATTGTTTTAATTCTTGCCAACTCGGATTCTCTCCTTGTGAAATATCCGGCCGTTTTTCCTCCTTCCATCTCGTACGCCTTTTTGGCTTTTTTTTTACGATCTTCCCCTGATGATTTTCCGTTTTATGGTTCGAATCGGTTTCTTCGTCGTGCCGTGGCCCAAATACGGTCTGTAGACCTTTCCCCTTCACTCTCGCCGTTCTTTACACGTCCGACGTTTTTCCCATTTTACTCGACGTCTCTTAAAACAAAGACGGAACTTCAAAAGTCCACTCGATAAAGTGACCGTTTGTTTAGAATTTGTTTCCAACCCCGTACGAGAAATAAAAACAGTGAAATCTGCCCGTTTTGAAAATTAGGCCAACCGAGTGGCGAAGCAACAGATGGTCTTTTTACAAATAATACTCAACCGCGGAGACCCTTTTTTTGAGTCTTTTCACACCGATTTAGCCTTTTTCATCTCACTAATCGGCTTTTTTTCTTCAAGGGCTCTGGATATAATGCACTTCAGAAAACATCTGGAATGGAAACGGATACCTACTCCCCTTGGTCGTACGAACTCACTCCCTCGGACTTTTTACAGGTTTTCATAACATTTTATTATTTATATTTTCATGAGATCTAACGTTTTAATTTATATAAACACATTCGTGATAAGGCGAGATAACACACTGATAAAACTGATAAACCCTTAACAACAACAACCAACTGACCTGTCGTTGCATGAGCTCAGCTTTGGATTTTGTCGCTTCTTTTCACTGAATGACTCCATAAAAAATATGAAATTAAAAAATATCATCTCAGCGTAATTATAATCTATACTTTGGAACATATGCATGAAATTAAATTCTCCACTTTTAATTTTTTTTTTTAATTTTAACTAATTTTATTCATTTTAACGTGTTTTTTTGTCATTTGGTCGTTTCAGAAAAGACGTTTGGATGTACAGTGAAACCTCTTATTAAGGGACAGTCAGGGTGTCACTACTTTTGTCCTCTTTCGGGATGTGTCCTTTAAAGAAAGATTTCGAGAGGAAAAAAACACTTCCTCGCAAGGATATCTATCTTTTTAGCGATGTGTGTGGTGATTAGTGACCGTTAATCGATATTTATTTAGAAATCGTGAGATGCGGTCTGGTGTGTGCACTCTCGACACGACACGCAAGAATGACACAATTACACAGAAGACAAACACTTTGAGCCCTGAAGATGATCTCAATAAAGATCGAAACGTTGGCACGATAAAGAAAATGTTTTTCTGAAACCTACATCACACCAGACCGCATCTCATGATTTCTAAATAAATATCTTTTTAGCATCGATCAACACCTCAGTGACCCCAGTATTTCCTGTACCAAATGTTAGTCTGGAGTTGACATCATTTTCCAAAGGAAGCACACCTCCATGCATTTACAAGAGTTTTTTAGAGTTAAAGCATCCCTATTGAGACCAATGCGTGTTTGCACACATGGGTCAAGAGAAGAAAATGGTACCGATGAAGCATTTGTAGTGGACAATCTTATGTTCTCACTTCCCAAGCACCGTAACAATTACACTGCCGATCTAACAGCAATTAACAAATGTCTGAATATCCATTGACTCTGGTTGTACATACAGATTCACTAGCATCACTCCGGATAATTAAGGACCCTTTATCAAAACAACCCATGGTTTAGGATGTTCTCTCCCTTGGTTAAAAGTACAGAAATGCGAAAGTCTTGTTTATCTAGATAGCAAGACACTGTGGAATTATAGGGAATGACAACGCAGACATTGCTGTGAAACGTGCTATCACGGAAGGTGTGCACTTCACCCCACATACTGACATAATGGCCCATATTAGAAAAAAGATGTGGCAGCAATGGTAAAAAGCATGGACTGAAATAAATAACAAACTCGGGGAAATAAAGCTAAGTGTTGTACAGTGGACTCTTCTTGCAAGCAACAAAACGGGAAAAACCATATTGACTCGGCTGAGAATAGGGCACTTCAAGCTTACCCATGATGGCTAGAGAATTGCTTTCTATTTGTGAAACATAGAGTTGGTAGCAGCAATACATGTAATTGGGATTGTGTTAAATACAACCAGGCCAGACAACTGTCAGAGAGAGATTCTTACGAACAAACCCTCGAATATAGACAAGCTGTTCGTCTTCTAACGAGCCACTGGATTATTGCACAAAATCAAGATAAACTTTAGCTGCTATAAAATGAGTAAGATAAAGAAAAATAACATTAAAAGAGAGGAACAAACACATAATTTAAACTAGATGGTTTAGTATTGAAGAGACCTGGCAAGCAGAGCATAACTAATAAATGGGCAACAATTTATTGTAGAAAGGAACTCTAATAGATGAGAAGCTGAAAACTGCTGCATATCAAAAATGTAAGGCTCAAGTTCCCATCCCCAAGAGAATGTTGCCCATGTGCCCCCTGTGTCCCTCTGTGCTGCCTGGCTCCTGGGGTCCAGTGTTTGCCTACCTCCACAGGCCTCACTCAGTTCAGATTCAAGGCAAATATAACCCTCCCATAAAAAAATTAGTACTGAGCTTTAATTTAAACCTTGGTTAAGTATTCAAATGGTTAAAGTTAAATGGATTAAATGTTGAATGCCAAATTCGCTCAATATTTCTTTATGCGTACAAATTTTGTTTATTCGACTGAAGCTTTTTGCAAAATATGCATGGTGTTCATGTGTTTTCTGTATATTATGACTATTGTTTATACTGAAATGGAAATAAAAATGTGGAATTAAATTATTTTAATGTAAAACTTTTATTTTGCCTTTGTTTGACATGTCTAATCTGTCAAGAGTAATCAGTAATCTTTTTCCTTGTTATATTTTATCAGGCATTTTCTGAAATAATTTTACACTAAAACTGCATATATTTTACATTTGGTACAGGGGATATTAATGAACTTCACCTGCGTCAAAGTATGTAAATACACAAGCTCAGTGTATAGATTGTATTGTCAATTCTCTGTATTATTGAGTCATATTGATTGCAAATAAAGAAACGAGAAACAAGTTATTGTTCAGTGACAATAGTAATTTTCTAGTAAGACAGGAATTTTGGTTTTTTATCTGTAGGATTTTATTGACCTTTTATACTAGTTTTTTCTGAGTTGTAAAAGTTCTATGTGCATGCGTGATTATTCAATGGTTTTGTTTTATTTGGGTTTGTGATGGGTGTTTTAATATGTTCCAACAAGAAATAATTTTTGTTAAGCTTATAAAACAAAGTTGTTACTCCTACCAATTCAGAACAAATGTGTATTTGTGTTAAATGTTTTCCATAAGATTTCCCATTTTAAATGTCTCGCCCACTAGAAAATAGCAACTTCTGTCCTTTACCTTATGTCCGTCTGTCGTTTCAGACATTTTTTAGAATTTCCAGGACGAGATCGACACCCCCGACGTTCATAGCCACCTTTTGTGCCGCCAAGGCCACCATACACGCTTGTTGCAATCTCAGATAATTTTCATCGCTGTCTTTCGTAACACTGTACAGTGATGCCCCTGAACATAACATCCGGAGATGGTCCAGGTTGACATTGATAGTTTCACGATCAGTAGATTTATTTTCAATGACTGTCAAAGTGCAAGCCGTGGCCATGACTGCTGCTACGAAAGCAGAGGCCACGACAAAAATGCCACTGTACAAACTTGAAATTGTGAATGTTAACCCTGCCTACGCGATTGGATTTTTATGGAAATTTTGTTTGCAACTTGACCATTGTTTGTGAATTAACTGAACATATGTTTATAGATTATTTATCACATGTGTTTTACAGTTGAAATATGATAATTAATTTTTGAATAATGATTATAAATTTACATAACTGAACTGTCATTATTACTGAAATATCAAAGTTAATCATAACATTTTATTATTTCTCACATTCCTCCAAAATTTACTTTTTTCCAAAACAAAACCCTAAATAAAGGAAAAATTCTTAAATGTGCTAATTGCTTAATCTGTCTTCACTTAGAAACTAACAGTGACATCTTTGATTACTGCATGGTTGTCAGATTATTTGACGAGTTAGTTTGCATATCTGGTTATGGGTTAATTGTCAATTATATAACACTTTCCTCAATCAAAAATTTATAGCACAGTGTTGTTTATGCTTTAATAACAGAAATTAGTCAGCTATTGGATATGAATTGTATATTAGTAAGTGTAATTCAAATTTATCCATCAGAGGAGTTTTGGATAAAGGAAATAATAACTTATGTTAATGCATCACATATAATGACATAAGTTTGTTTAACATGTTTATTACTATAATTGTAAATACAAAATAATGTATTTAAGAGAGTGCGAGAGGGTTAGGATTTAGAGACTGATTGCATTGGTGGCTGAAATGACCTAACTGTTGATAGCCCCTCGAGCTTAACCCAGTGGCTGTATGGATAAGACCAAGGTCTGATCCCAATCTGCCTACAGTCGGTGTGGGTGATTCCCAAGGCCTGACGGTAATTTATTGTAAATTTCACAAAAGCCGGAATTATTGGCAGACTGTGAGAAGTGATAGGTTCAACATTATACATGTTTTAACTCCTCACCTGCTGGAATTTTTGTTTTACTTTTTAGCACATTCCACATCATATGCATTACACGCATTGATTGTCATAATTTATTACTAATTATACAAGAATGAGAAAAAGAAGAGAGAAAAAAACATTATATATAAATAAACAGTTTTAGAAGTAATATTTATATAATTCATATAATTAAGAGAATGAGATAGGAAAAGATATTTTATGTATGTGTAAATTAATGAAATAGGAAACATCGTAACAGTAGCATACAAAAATCAATCGAAGCCACAAATGAAACAAACGTCTCGATGTTCTGGTCTTTGGTTAGAAATTGCCCAGAAGGCCACTACTGGCCTGGTATTATCACTCTTGACTTGATCCAACAGGGTACAATGTAGAATTATGTGTTGCACAGTTTGGGGTGGTTTGAGCATTGACTGGGGATGTGGAAGCGTAGGAAATAGGAATGGTAGGATTCTACCATGTGTTCCAACGGTAGGACAAAAGTTATGTTTCAGTCCTTTTTCACAATTATGCCATTCTTCATTCCATTATGCATTGCACATGAGTCTCAAGGGTCGTTCAAGGAATAAGAAAGACACTGTGTTGTACCTGATTGGTGGTGGAGCATGCTGCTTCCTTGGCAAGCTTTCCCTCCAGACCCGTACCAATTCCTCAGGTAAAAACCATAGTTTTCTTACATAGGCCAAAACAGTCTCAGCAATCAGCAATTACTACAATTTTTATAAAACATACAATACAATAATAATAAACTACAATAATCATGAAAGCACACACACATTATCATTAGTACTTGTCAATTTATAAATTTTTTATACATAAATTAGATAAGAAAGCGAAATTTTACATTGCATTTTAATTTTTATACCCTTAGCACCAGTAGCTATTTTATGTTGTGAGGTGTGAGTTGAGGAACTTGTTTGATCATCTTGGATCATCATAGTCTGCTTATTCCCGCTGATATATTTTTACTGTGCCTGATATAATTAATTACAGTTTTATAATACACATCAATTGGCCTTTTCCCCTGACGTTTAAAATAAATTTTTATTGAGTGCAGGCCTTTTGTCGTACTATATTAACATTCTAGACTTGAAGTTGGTCATCAAGTTTGACATCAAAATTTGTTAATTTGTTATGCTTCTCCTAGGTGTTGTAATGTGTTTGTGTTCCACAGTTTCTATTTCCTTTAATGTCTTCCTCACTACTGCCATCACAATTATTGGCTGTGTCTCCAAGTCTATTTACAAGCTTCTTCTAGTCAGTTCACCGCCAGTGTAGAATTGCAGTTGCAATGAAAATATTGGTTTATCGAACATTTGTCTAGTTAGATTTCACAATTGTAAATGGAAGCCACAAACATTTGAGTTCATATGAGTTTAAGTTGTTTTTGAGGATAATTTTTGAAAATTTGTAACAGAAAGGAAACATATACAAGCTGAGTTCGTTGAGTTTTCTGATTAGTTTCTTATTTTAAATGCTTCAACAAATTTAAAATATTTCTCTCTCTGTCCTTTACTTATCAAACAGCTTTAGTTCTAGTTCATTACTTTATCTCCTTATTTCCTTTATGTGAAAAAAGTGAGCTTGTTTTGCCTGTGTATTATCCTCCACTAATGTTGATATTGGTATTATGTGAGTTCAGTTTTCTGTAGATTCGATTTTCGGCTTTTTTATGTTTGTTAATATTGTGTATATTTTTTCATATCAATCATCAAGGTTTATGGTGATGATTTTCCAATTAGTTATTACTAATGTAACTTGATATGTTCACTAATATTTTTACGCCAATTTGTACATACTGCATAACTTAAAATATCTCCAACCTCTCCTCAAATAGTTTCACTACTTCACACAAAGCTAGATATTCATATTCACACATTTTTGTATTGACAACAAACCTTGAAGCACATAAAATACGCTAACTCACAGTACCTTTATACATATCTGTGCATGCCAGTCAAGCACACAACTGTTTTATTTTCAAATGGATTATTTTATATCTGTTCAATAAGTGAATTATTAGGAATTGTTATCATTATATTTATTATATAAATATGTTTTAGTTGGTCTTTCCTGACCAAAGAGCAATTATTCTAAGTGGTTTACAGTTTTTGTGAAAAGTGTGGTTGAGATGAAAAGATTATAGTCACACGAGGGACTCGTACTCACAATCTTTGGCTCAATAAGCCGCTGCTGTTAACACTTGAAACTATCGTGACTTCGGTACCCCTGAAACTCCAACTCATCATTTCAACTTACAACTTTTTCAAATTATTCTCTTTTTGTCTACCTTACTTTCAATGTATGTGCAATCGTTTGGATTTCTTCTCTAACACCTCTCCATGGACACTTAAAGTTCGCCGATGATCCAAAATGATTACACAAAATTTGATTGTAAGGGTAAAAAGAGGTGAATTTGAAAAAGGTGTAGGTTGAGATTATGAGTTGTTATCTCGAGGGTAACGAAGTGACGATAGCTCAAGTGGTTAAAGCAGAGGCGAATTGAGCCAAAAGTCGTGTGTTCGAGTCCGCTCGTGACACTAATCTTTTCATGATTATTAATCACTTTGGATTATATTTATTGAACAATTGGGGGGGGGTTGTGGTTAAATATATCTGAGTATAAATGTGTTTTTATATTTTTTACATTTAACTTGTATGAGATAAATAGTAAATAAAATGATAAACTAAAAAATGGAGGCTGCATTGTCTGCATCATCTTTACAGAAGGAACTCAGGACTGTAATTTAAGTCTAATTACAAAACTGAATTTTTACTAGCCAATAGAGTTAACATGGCAAATTTCATTTGCGTTCATTTTTTCATTTCCAGAACGGTAGAACCATTGACGACAGCTCATTATTGGGAAACCCAATAGTTAATGAAATAGTTACAAAACTTCTTGATGAAGACTGCCCTGTGATAAATGAAAGAAAAGAGAAGTAAATAAACTAAAAGTAACAAATATTTTTATATATTTTTTGTTAATTGTTAATTTCCCATAGATTTGATAATGTCAATACTATATACAACGGCGAAGGTGAGGTGTGGTCAGGGAAGAGCAGCACAAGGACCCAGAGCCCTTATATAAATAACATATCAACACAGGTTATTTTCACTTTCATATCAATCAATAATTGTGTTTTTTATTCTAATTCATTGATCTTGCAGGATGTTGAATATGGACTTGGCCTATTGAATATTGATACCCAGTGCACTACTCCAGTGCAAGGAGTTTCAGCAAATTCTACCACTCTTTCTCAAGTTAGTATCTGGTTGTATTACTACACATAAATAATGAGATAAAAAATCTTTATGTAATAGGATATTTGTATCCAAGTTTCTCTAAACATATTTTGATAAAAACGATTTATCTACTAAGTTCTTTGATTGTTTCAGAATTTTCCTGTAAAAGAATCCCCGTTTTATCTGAATTCTTTTCCTTTCCTTCAACCCACAATGGCTCCTCTATCGGATTTGGGCCCAGGTAAGCTCTATCCCATTTATCATTCTGTTTCTGTAAGACTAGAAATTGAACCTAAACATTTAAGGTGCCGTATGCGGAAACCTTGATACAGAGCTGCCCAACGAGCAGCAGATGTACAACTATGTGCAGATGCTCAACAAGGACAAGCTCAATTTAAGCCTGGAAGGGCTGCTGCACTCAGCTCACCCAGATCCAGTAAATTTCATACTTGAACGTTATATAAATACGATGTTTATTTTTTAATCTTTATCTTCGATAGATCGACATTGGAACTGGTTTCAATGGAGACATGCTGTTTTCCAGCAAGGGCGTCAATGGAGCCATCCCCCCTCATCCGCAACCGACACAGATTGACATTTTCCCAAGTTCTTCAAATCAGCGTTATTCTCCAATTGGTTTCCCTCGTAATCTCTCACAACGCAATCATAACCATTACAAAAATAATCAGGTATGAGTTATTGGATTTGTGGAGACTTTTTATGGGAACGGTTTTATTTGCAAAAATACGGTGAAACTTCTGTATAACGGACACTCTTGGGAAATGAAATATTGTCTGCTCTTTAGAGGTGTCTGCTTTTGGGATAACAATAAAAAATAAAAATAAAAAGCTTAGTATTACCAGATGGGCCTCAATTGGGATTACAATATTATCAATACCTTTGAACATTGAGGATTTTTAAACTTTCTATAACCAGAGAGTTTTTCAAATTTACCAAGCATACTTTTGCATAAGAGCAAAATTAAATGTTCCTTTGAAACTTTTTCTGACAACACACATTTTTAACTGCATAGTTTTTTCCGGATGTGCTCTAAAAAATTAGATCATTTCATCACATTTAAAAATGTTTTGTGGTTTAAAATCAGTGCAATATGCTTTAAAATCGATTTGCCCTAAGTGTTTTGCAACTTCTAACCCATTTTCTCTGATAAGTGAACCAGACAGTGGTATTTTACAAACCCGAACATGGTAAATCATTCAAATATGTCCTGGTCTATGACCAAATCAGACTTTTAGGAAAAAATCGATGGGATTGGTTGGTCGTTGTTTGAAATCAGTTTGTAAAATTTATCTAAAAATTCCTTTTTATTCTTTAGAATTTTATTTGTCTGGGTCTTTCCTATGGAAAACCTCTCAACCAAGTCATGCATACTTAGTTTTTCACTTTCATTCACTTCAATTAATTATTATTAATTTTTTCTTTAAGTTTCAAATGCACTGAAGAAGTACTTAAAATTTTTGCAAAGTCCAGACCGCATCTCATGATTTCTGAATAATTATTGATTAAGGGTCACTAATCACCAAAGCATAATCAAAATTAAGGGATATTGTAGGCGAAAAAACCCACAGTAGAAACAGCATTTTTCAGAAAAAATTCATTTTTTGGAAGCTGCTGTCTGTTTTTAAAAGAGTTTTAGAGTCTAAAAAGCTATCTGAATCCATTATTGGGAGTATTTGCTTTAGATTTTATTATGAAGAAACTAAGGGGAAGACAGGAAATCAGATTTTTTCCAATTCAGGGTAGGTGTCTATTAAGAGAAGTTTCACAAATATAAAGTTGTACTGCATGATTTTATCACATTAAAAATGTGAAATTACAAAATTCCTCACCGTTCCCACAAGAAATATCTTTAAAAATTGAACATTGTTGTTTAACAATGATTTCATTAAATGAACAGTGTAAATCTAAAAAAAGTTTACTTTATTTTAAAGAACATGAATAGTCGGCGAGATGTCGGATTGATATACAACAATAACAATCCATTTGTGGCCAATAACAACATGCCAGCTGGCACAAATGATAAAAATGTTCCTCCTCATTTGGATCCTGTCCTTTACCTGCGAGCAGCGGCAATGGGACACCATCTTCCACCTCCTCCAGGTCCTCATGATCTCTTGCACTGTTACGAAGCCTTTGCCCCAGGGCTGTATCGGTCATTCAGGTAAGATAAATAATTGATTAATTATGAAATTAATAAAGCCAATGTTATAAAGATGATATTTATTTAAGACGAAGCAGCGGTTCAGCCGATCTCCACAGTGTGCTCGAACAGTGCTACGTCCAGTTCAAAGAGCTTGAGAGTGAGAGAAAGAAGACAGAGGCAGATCTGGCCCGATACAATCCAGGGAAGAAAGTTTCTTCAACAAATACCATCCATGTCCCGAGGCTCCCTGGCTCGCCCTCTCGTGTTGACCGCTTAATTGTGGACCAGTTGCGAGAGCATGCCAGGATCGTGACACTTCTTTCTAAAATGGAGACTCTTAGAGGAGGACGTGAGTTGTCCCCAGACATCCACAATTCCATGGCCTCTTGGTTCGATACCATAAAACAGGTACAGACATCAAGACGGGAAGAGATTTTAAACTGTGCTGGAGGTCCCAACCACGATAACGGTAAGTTTTTAAAATTTTATATAATTGCCTGCCTGCATTTTTTTTTTTTTTTTTTTTTACTGAAATTTTCTTGTAGTTCATTAGTTGAAACTATCAGTTTTTCAATTTCTTCATATTTCTTAAATATTATTATTAAATGTGAATCACAGGTTATTTGCAATAACTTAGTATGTCCAGCATTTTAGACAAGTTTAGATCTTTTACTTCAATTTATAGTTGTTAAAATCATGAGAGATTAGCTCACAAAAGATTTGAATTCATTTATAAACTGTATTTATTTTTGTTTAATCTTCAGTATTTTTCAAACTTAATGTTTAGTTAACATTAATTTCACTTGAAGAGGAGGAAAAAGCACTAATTGTGGTATATTTAATTTATTGTATTGAAATTTAAGAAGGGAGTCAACCAATTTTGACATTCAGATTTTTGTTTAATTTTAAAAAAATATTATACTAGATATTTTTCTGTATCATTTGGTGTAAAGGATTAGCAGTTTTGAGAATTGGAGGACTGCAATCTATTTTTGGAAATTTTGACCAAAAATTTCAATTAAAAAACTTAGTAATTATTTATAAACTAGATTTTTGTGTGCATCCTTGGTGCAAAGGATTTGCAATTTTGACCTCTGGAAGTGCTCGACGTCTATATAGATCAGAATTGTGTCTAAGAATAGATAAAGCTCAATATAATGGAAACCCTGAAATGTCTGAATGACTAAACATCTCAAAAACTCATCATCGGTAGTATTGTAAGCCACAGGGTAGTGTAATGAAACGATACATCACAAGAAGCTTGCTCAACAATTTAAAAATCAAACGTAAATTTAAAAAAAACCTCTAGTGAAAATTCGCGTTTTTGAATCTTTCTGTTACCTTTTCTCTGCTTCTGTTCAATATTTTGAATTGCTTATTTTTTTAATTTAACAAAAAATTTTTTTTATGTTGAACAGTTTCTAAAACAACTATATGTCTTAAATCATAATCAAAGTGTTGACAAGAAAGTCACAAATAAAATGGGATGAATGTGGTTGTGATCGGACTGTTAAGTTCATGAGATCTTAAAGTAAGAATGGAAGGATTAGGAAAATGAATCCGAGGATTGTTTGATCCCCTTAACCTCTTCTATTTAAAAAGTGAATAATAATAAAATTAAAAATGCTGGATGTTACTAAAATTGGGTTTTAAATTATTTTAGTTGATTCTCATTTCTTTTGTAATTAATTATTGTTTAGATATTGCACGACTGACAACAGCAATAAAAGCTTTAACAGTAGCTACAAGGACTGCTCGGACACAGATGTATGCAGCCCTGATCGTAACACTCCATGAAAATAACTAGTCGCCGACTAAGCTACTAATGTTTTAATTAGTTTGTATGGTTTATCTCTAAGCTTCCTTTAAGCTTTATCTTCTTCAGTCTGTTGTTACAACACAGATAGGTATTTCCTCTTCTGGACCCTTCTCTAATATAACACTGTCCTTACACAAATTTAATTTACATTTAAACAAAAAACAACAGAAATTATAAGAAGACGGAAATCTAAAAATTTCTAGTTTTCTAAATGAAATAACTAAATTGCCTCTTGTGTATTAGACTGACTAGCTCTTAAATCAAATGAGATTTATAGGGGTTCTGAATGAATTTGGGAAATTTTTATTGGACTAAGAGAACAAGGCCCAAATCTCATAACTGATAATACAAGGTGGCCTAATATAAATGTTTTATTACCATGAAATATATTCTAAATTAAGCTAATACGTTAACAAATGAACAAAAAACAAATTTTTTATGAAAAAAAAAGTTCCCGCCCTTTTGCATCTGCTCAAAGAAATGTAACGTTATTTTCTCAATTTACTAACTGAGAAGGGATTTTTCATTCACTACTTGTAACATGATTTTAGATGATAAATAATAAGCCCACTTCTAGTTCCCGAAAGTTTAATTTTTCTTTCTCTTGTCGAGAAAAAGCAAACTTTCATTCTGCTTGCCATGTTTATTAACAGTAATTTAAATGTACATAGTTGTATTTTGGAGAGAGTATTCAAGTTTTAAAGCTAAAAATCTGGGTCCATTCGAGCTAACTTATAATGGTAGAATCAAATAATTTATTAATATTATGAAAAAAAAAGGATTTTCAAGGCCACTACACTTCCCTGCTCATTTGCAAAAAAAAAAAATTCTGAGGTACATAATTATATGGTATGAATTTGTTAAAGACTTAATCAACCTCCGTTGGTTTTCAGACACTTAGAGACTAATTATTATAAAATAAATTACTTAAAATTTTCTTTTATATCTTAATTATAAGCATATTATCATGCTCTCTTATATTAAAGGAACTTGTAACTGTTTGCTTCTTGTTGTTCAATAATTAGTGTAGAAAAAGGTAGATATGGTTTAGAGTGATTTAGCGGTTTTTGTTTTTGTTTTCAATTATGCCATTAACAAAGAAGGCAAAGTATTTTCAAAGAGCTGTGCTTCGAAAGTTTGGTGGAAAAGAGAATTTTTAAAAATGGAATAACTCGTCTTCAAAAGTTTTCATATATTTATTTATATATTTTGTACAACAATTGACCAGTATGTTGCTCAAGAGATTAAAAAAGTAATACTAAAGAAATACTGATATATCAATGGCCCGCATCGGGTTTTTTTAGGCTAAAGAAAAAAAAAAAAAGAAGAAAGAATTGAAATACTGATATCATTTTGAACACATCGAAAAACATATTTTGTAAAAGTATAAAAGACGGGATTCATGCGTATGTATTATAAGGGTAAACAGAGTATAAAAAAATTTAAAAAATTGTGTTCTGTTTGTTTGTTTGTTTGTTGTTTGCATTGCAGAGCATCTTAGAATCGCTCTAACAGATTGTGATAACTCTGTTTCGCCCTCTGGTGCCTGGATATTGGAATGATAATCATGTTGTTAGCAAGGGTTGAAATTAAAGAGAAAAGTTCAAAAATTGGGTTTTATCTTATAAATTATTAGTATATACTATTTATAGCTGGAGAAGTGGATATATGAAAAATATTCTTTAGGCACACTGCTAGATGATTTGTCTAGACAATCTTAATTAATTTGTAATTTGATGTGATATTATTGTAATTTAACACACACATATAATATATATAAAACATTGAACAATTAGAGTGAATTTATTCAAATCTTTCTGGTAGGATTTCTTGTTTGGGGTTTTCAACAGAAAATAACCAATTAAAACAAGTGGCAAATCGACTTTTAGCAATATTTCAGAGTCTAGGGGATAATGTAATATATTTACTATTGCGAACTTCATTTTCTTATTAATAACATACGGGTATTTTGAAATATATTCCATATAATCGCACAAAATGGTGAATCGCCTGGACTGTAAACAGTGATTTTTAGAAGAAACTTATTTACTGGCATTCATCTCATTAATAAACAGGATTTTTTTAAACCGAGTTTAAATCCAGTTTTTAACTATTTAAGAAGCCACACAGTTTTCAGTTTAAATATAAATGAAATATTGGTATCAGCCGATTTGTGAGGGCTGTTTGAACAGGAATTTTTTCTAAATAAGTACATTTGTTTACATGACAGGGTAGGATGTAGGTTTGCAGTACAGCTGCCGAAAATGCCCTACATGTGGCACATAATTTTTTGTATTAAAAAAAAGTAATAAAATTGTAACTATATGTATCACATGTTAGTTACTAATTAATAGTTTAAATTAAAAAAGAAGATATATAGGTGTTTTATAATATTGTCGTTATGTAGACATTCACACAAAATAAGAGATGAGAATAATAATTGTATCACGACATTAAATATTTATGGGATAATATATATGATACAATATAATAATAATATATTTTCTGCAATGTTTTTACAAGTGTTAATATATAATATTAATATAAATAATCTAATTATTGAGAAAAATAATGCTTCCATTCCGGTGTTAGTATTTGTAGAGTGCTTTGTTCCACAAACAAAATAAACTTGTTTGTTCGTATAATATTGATTAGAACTGTAGGAAATTGATGTTATGTTTGTCCACAAAAGGTATTTAAATATTCTCTTCTACCAATAATTCTTTACATCTAGTCCAATTTAGAAGAAGAATAAAAAAAGAAAGGTTTTTTGGATTTGTCCCCATAAAACAATTAAATAATAAATGGAAGAATCTCATTTGGCTCTAATCGTCTCCTGTTACAAAAGAAATGTCATTCGACAAAAGTCTTGTAATATTGTTGAAACAAATATGTATATCAATTACTGCCTTAACTAACTTTAGTCATAAAAATTTGTTTAACTTGTGATTCAGTAGAAATAAACTTTTGAAATAATAACTAGAAAAAGTAGCTACATTCCCCAATTTTAGTAGGATAATTTAGTGCTTTTTTGGGCTGTGTCTATTAAAATAACTAATAAACAAAACCTTGTTCTTCATGACAAATTTGAAAAGTTTAATGTCGGGAAATAAAATCATGAAAGAAGCGAAAAAATGTCTTCAGTGTTTATTATAAGTTTGCTTTATTTAATTTTTTAAATTAAAATTTTTGTAAATACTCAACATATCGAAGTATATAAAGAATTGTACAAACAGTCAATTAAAGTGTTTTGTTTATTTTATTTAGTGTTAATATATTTATTTATTGAAAGGGAAAAAAGTTAATACTAGGTTTTTCGCTTTTTTCATGTTAAGAGACCATTTACAACATTAGGCTACTGATTACATTGAAGTAATAGTTAACAATTTACACTCGTTAATTTCTATTAATAAAAGTAGATAGAAAAAAATCAGTTTATATATAAAATTGAGCAGAGATAATTTTTTGCAAATTATTTTTAATGTCTTGGAATATTGAATAAAACGAATAGCTCCACTATAACTAAAATGTTAGGCATTCACAATATTTATATAAAGAATTGTTATTTATTACTACATATACTAGTGGTTTAGGGGATAATTTGTAAACAGTTATAGTAAAGTCTTGATTCAAGTAAACTCTGACTAAAATAAATAATATAACAGATAATTATAAATAAAACTGAGAATATCTTAGATACTGAAAATGAAAAAAGGAACCCCATATTTTTAGTATTCTTTTTCGGTTTAATATGACATTTGAACAGAAATTCTCTTGGCAATATTGGTAAAAGACTAGATTTTTTTAGTTTGATTTCACTCAACACAAAAGACTCAAATTGGGTTGGATAGTAATGCTAATTGGAACGTTCTCTCAGGGAAACCTTAAAATGAAAACAGCCATAGATTGCATAGGTTCAGAAATTCATTACACGTCGAACACCATTAAAAACCTTCGCTTACGCCATTAAAATCTAATGTGATGTATTATAGTTGCTATTTAGGGAGGTTTTATCATTTATTCGAGTCGTTCAGTGTTTTATTTTAAGATATAAAACTGCGGAAAATGGGGTAAACCTTGACAGATTTTTTGACTGAGAAACCCAACTTCAATAACTTTGACCATATAATGTTCAGAAACTGCTAGTTCGGTGTGCCTGATTAAGCTATCGCAAGCATTTCTAAAATGGGAAAGCCTTTTAAGTTAGAATGTTTATCAAGAAAATATTATAGCATTTACGTTGTATAGAAGAAACATATGAGTGTGCATTTTAGTGTTAGAGCTATCATTTTTTTAAATAACTTAAATTTTTAATAATTAATGGCTTACCAATAAGGTTGAGTGGACATGGAAAGCATTATCTTGGGTGTTTTGTTGTAATACTTTTAATTTTAATTTTGAATACGATATTTAGAATATTTAGCGATTGTCAACAGAAAGGTTTGTGCAATTTGCAATTAATAATCCCATTTTCAAACTATAAAGAAAACACTGAAATGTGTATAAAAATGAAAAGTGTAAGACCTTACTTGTTCCTAGTAGTTTCTATGTGTTGGGCAATAAAAAGCTTTAGTATTTGTTAGAGAAAAAAAGAGCCAGAAAAGTTTTTCCTAATGTTTAATTAAATAGAAACTTTTCAGTGATTGTAAATTACGCTTCCAATAGAAAAAATAACCACTTAAAAACTCACACATTATTCCCTGTTTGTTTCTTTACAGACACAAATTTAAAGCATTTTTATTGTTTATTATATTCATATTTATTAATTTAAAAAACTAATTAAATGGGCTGTGGTAGATGTTTATATATATATATTTGAAAAATTATACTATTAAAATAATACTATAAAACATATATATATAAAAGTAAAAACTATTTAAAAAGGAAAAAAAAAGTTTTTGGGTGATAATCGTGTCGTCAGGTTGTAGGTTTTAGTTTAGTTGTGCCATTTTGGACCAGCAAGTGTGTTAAAATGTTGACATAAAAAAAAGTTATCATCATTAGCAGAAGAACTAAATAGTCATAAAATGCTCACATTGTACTAATCCTGCCAGCACATATTGTGTTTCCTTTCAATGCATAGCCTACTGTTTAGTGTTAGATAGTTTGTTGTGCTTCCCCTTCTTTCCATTTGTGCGAAATAGTCAAGAAAGAGATAGAATACTCGTGAAATAACAATTCAAGCGGAATAATATCACTATTAATACCGTTAACTGGACCAACTCTGCATACTTGCAGTGGCTAGACGAATAGATATCATTAAGAAAATAAATGCGTAACATGAATTGAAGACAAGCATATTAATATAACTTAAAACAAAAACCTTAATACAGTTATAAAGGAAAATAATATAAATAATTTGAAGAACAGTTACTTTAGTTAACATTATTTTTACATCTT